TAGAAATAAGAGGGGCACATGTTAAAATGAAAGGTGTGATCATCCGAGTTTTAAAAAGGGGTAGTTATTAAAAGGAGAAGTGGCACTTCTAACAAAGGAAAAAAGGAGAAGTTGTCAAAGTAAAAGGAGCACCTCTCAGTTTTTAATAGGGCAATTATCAGAGGTGAAGGGGGCACTTATTAAAAGTGAAAAGGGGCAATTTTCGTACCTGAAAAGAGGCACTTACTAGAGATTAAAAACTTATTCAAGATAATTTCAAGATTTATGAGAATGGAAAATGGACATTTATTGCAAAGGAAAATGGGAATATGTCGAAGGAAAAGGGGCGCGTGTCAAAAAAAAGGGCACTCGTCAGAGGTGAAAAGGGGGAAGGGGCACTTTTACTAAGTAATAGGGGCACTTGTCAAAGTAAAAGGGGCACCTTTCCTATGTAAAAGGGGCACTTCTTACAAAATAAAAGGGGCACTTTTCCTATGTAAAAAGGGGCACTTTTGGGGTATCTGAAAAAAGTGGGGGGGGGGCACTGTGCCCCCCCCCCCTGCCCCCCGGGAGGGCCGCCTCTGCATCCAATTTTCGAAATTTCCCAAAACTGTATGTTACCTTCAACTTTCATTCTAGAGGCGATGTAAACACCTTACCATTTAAAAAGCATTTCGTTTCCAGTCTATCGTATCAAAATTTGATAGTCATTTTTATGTTTTATGTAATGTTTTATATGTATTTTCAATTGTACAGACAGTGCCCCTTGGAAGAGCAATATATGTTATCGTTAATTCACTCATGATTAATTTTTTCTGCTGACAACCCCAGAACTAACCAGCTTACTCCGAATCATCGGGTCGACGCCCGGCAGCGAAATAAGCCGGTAAGTTCTGCGTTCGTCAGCCGTAAAAAAATGGCAATTAAGTAAAACCTATTAATCAAAAGCAAAATCCAGCGAAAATAATGTCTAATGCTAAACGTCATTCTCTCGGTTGTCGACTCCTTTTAACGAGTTTAAAAGAAGATAAAATTCTTGTAAGGACAATTTTGTAATATCTTTTTAAAATATTAATTTTTGAATGAAATACCTAATAAAATCTAACAAGCAGTATGTGGTATATTATATTAAAAGTCCTGCAAATAAAATTTTGGGAAGATACTACATTTTGAAGACATGTTAAAGTCTTCTTTCTCAACCTTTTTCTAGCAAACAAAAATGAGTAGATTATTAAAACCGACCTATTATATTTATCCTGTTTCGAACAAAACATTACAAATCATGAGCAATTATAATCATGTACAAAAACTAAGGAATACACATGGGAAACAGAGGCGTCCACTCAATAGCAATGCTTGCACAATACGGTTGTTAGGGATAATGAGTATTTTGATTTACAAATTCGTTACTACAACAAGGAACTAAAGGAATAGGAAAAAGGGGATGCCAACAGAAACGAGAACGGGACAAGAAAGTACTTTAAAAGACAAAGATAGAAGTACACGCACAGTCACAATAACAAAGTAGACAATGTAAAAAAAAAAGATGTGAGAGATAGGGGGTACAGAAAATAATACAAGAGGATGAGCTGCATGTGGGGTTGAGAAGCAGATGAGGAAGGAGAAATGCGCATTAGAAAGGAGATATGCATGTGAGGGCACAATAGAATAATTATATCAAACTACTTGAGTCAGCGAGTAGAGAATGCATGGGTGTCGATCCGTAACTGATACCTATTCATCAGGGGGGGGTGATCTATTCATTCATCCCCCCTGATGAATAGGTATTACGTAAGTATCGACACCCATGAGAGAATGACTTTGTTTCAAATAAGAAAAGAAAGAAATGAAAAAGTTTATACATATTTTTTTAAAGACATGAGGACGGGGAAAGAATAAATGGGGATATAATTTAATGAGGTTCTCAAGATTGTAATCAAAACAATATGTTTCTTTTTCTTAAAATATTAATCGATGGTATATTTTTTTTAAATTTCCGGTCCGCTTTCATATATAAATGTATATTGAGCTATGAGGGTCTGCAAGAGAGGTAAATGGAAGAACCGAATGTCTTGTTTGGTAATTATGTACTGAGCTATTAAAAAAAAGCATTTCTTGAAAAACAAACATATTATTTTTATATATTACATAAATTGGCATAGTTTAATAAACTATAAGTCTTTTACCTTTCGTATCTTATTCCCCCCAAAATAAAGAATCTGTATGGAAGAGAAAGGGGGAATTACAAATAAAACGAATAATCTTCTATTGTATAATAACAACACTTTATCTTCTGATGTTTGATGTGTGTTACCCCAAACTTATAGACCCTAATTTAAATATGTGAGAATCAAAGAACTAAATAAAACACAATTAACGAATTAACACCAATATTTCGGGAAATAATTTTACAAATATTGTCGATGTGATATTTCCAAGAATTTTTTTTTAAACCGTTACGACACCCCCAAAATGTATGAAATGAAAGACACTCGAATGGAATATTTTCCAAAACGATGTAAGCTAGCATTTCCTGGCAGCGAATCTCAGATAGATTACTACAAACAACGTATACTTCGTTTTCTGGAGATTCAATAATACATTTTACGCTCTAATTCCAAATGAAATATTACACATTTTAATATTAATTATTTCAGCTAATCTATGAGAGTCATTGTGAAACAAATTAATAATTTACGTCGTCAGCAAAAACTATGAAAGACAAAATATTAGATAATCGACAGAAGTCATTAATATATAAAATAAAAAAGAGTGGGTCGGAAAGTAATATGGTAATTATGTACGGTTTGAACCGTCTAAACTAATAAAAGCACGTGATAGATATAGCTCTGTGTTATCTCTTTTCCGATTGATGTCTTATACGATATGAAATAAATTATAAATTGGTGCCTTATCCGACGCAGATGGCATTAGTGATTAACCATAAAATATATTTCACAAAGAAACTGTGCCTAGATGGCTGCACGGTAATCTTTAGACAAGGGATAAGGGAGTTTACAGATACAATCTGCGCATTGGCAGATAAAGGTGATTGTACCAAAAAGATATAAAACCCACCAGAGATGAATACTGGATATGCGCTCATGAAAGTTATGTAACATTATTCATTTATGCACCAACGGTACATTCTAAGATACGCAGGTGGAAGTATTCTTTTCAAAAGGGCAAACAAAAGGTATTCATGAAGCACATCTAGGACTTTTGCAGTTATTATTCTAAGATGCTCAAAGTGGAACTTCTCCATATGTTATTTGGGGTCATTTGTACCATGTGCTATCTGTAAACTCCCTTATTAATGTTCTTATAAATCTCGGGAAAAGATTTATTTAATGTTCAATGTATCCCCGGGGATCTCAGTCATATAGAAATACTGTAAGCATGTGTGACCAGATGTTTTCCAGACAATCCCCTAAACGAGGATTTCTTATGAAGTCAAAATACACCCTAAATGAGGATTTCGCGTGTTTTTTCCCCGAATTCACACCTTAAACGGGTATTTCTAAAAAGTGGACTCCTAAACAAGTATTGTAAGATGGTAAACCCTTGAGCATTTTGAAGAGCGATAGGGACTGCATTTTAAGTTGTTGACAATGTAAAATAAATCAAATTGCGCTTCTGATATAAAATTCACAATCTAAGTATTTATTTCAATAGAGAAGCAACGACATCAACCTGTAGGCCTACAATTCCAAATGGGTTTAATGCGCAGACATCATTAAGTCCTTTCTATGAAGAAAAAAAAATACATTTAAAATTTGATCTATATTATGTGCAGTAGATGACAGTGTTTACAAAAAGTACACAATGTACAATGAACAGTTACTATTCTGGATTTCTGGCTATATGCAAAACAAAGTATAATTGACCTACTATAATGCGTGAGACTGGTAGGTCTGGGTCGGTATCGGATGGGCATCCATCTTGATCTACTGAAGATCTAAATAATAATAATAAGATATTTCTATACCGCAATTAAATTGCATATTGCGTCTAAAGACCGGCAGGCGCAGGCGGCGGCCGGTAGTCATGCCAATGGGCATTATTACCCCCCCCCCCCCCGGTTAGGCCCTGGAGAAAAGAAAGTTACCCCTAGATGCATATACCGGCGTGTACAGCAGGATTTTGAACCATCTTGAAAAAGTACCCTTTATTTTTAACGAAAATCATTCCCAAAATGGACGTTTTTGAATCCCTTAATGAAAACTGGCAACGGGAGGCATTTTAATCCTTGCAAATGCATAAAATGGCATGTTTGGTCCCCCAAAAGATTGCTCCCCCCCCAAAAAAAAAAAAAAAAATAATAAATAAAAAAAAAAAAAAAAAAAAAAATAAATAAATAAAATAAAAAATAAGTAAATAAATAAATAAATAAATGAATAAATAAATAAATAAATAAACAAAATAAAAAATAAAAAAATGAATTAAAAAAAAAAAATACGGGCGGCCCGAAAATGACGAGCGGGCGGTCGAGGACAACCAAAAGATTTTTTTTTTTTGCCCTATGATACGCGTTTTCTTGGTCACGCATCATCAGTATTTATATTTGACTGAGACCCCCGGAAATGTTTTTACTATATAGCATTCCGTATTTTTTTGAAAATATGAACAGTTTGTTTGAATATTGACAGTACACTGCATGGCCAATTAACCTGAAACAGACAAACAAATGAATAAATACATAAATACATAGTCTTCTACATATGAACTCTAAATAAATGAATAAGTAAATAAATCTAAACTAACTTAACAAGATTATTTTACAAATATTTAATTCAATTTGCAATGTAATTTTCCACTCCGACAGCATTTTAGCAGAGATAATTTGTCAAAGTTAGATAGATCAATAAATAAATAATAGAAAATCTTAATTAATTAATACAAATTAATAAATAAAGAATGAATAAACGCGTATGAACATTAAATGAGCAATGAAATAAACAAACAATCAAACAAATAACAAATCGGGAAATGGGTCACACACATGGTCACACATGACCGAGTACAAATATCAAGACATTTAAAGATGGCGGCGTCCACAGCGCATGTGAGCTCAACGCTGTTTGTGAGAAACTTACCATATTCGGCGACTAAAGATGATTTGGAGTCTCTTTTTGGAGAAATCGGCCCACTAAAGCAATGCTTTGTTGTTACTGACAAAGGTAAGTATTTCTAATGGATAGAAGATTGGAATTATAAATTGCTATCCACAGCAACAGATCACGCTGTTACCCTTTAACAGTCCCATTCGTTGATATCTGTGTGTAGTGTAACTAGAGGTGTGAGGCGTATGATGGTTCACTCATATTTCATAGAATTAGAAGCATTAGTATACTTTTTGTGCAGGAAAAGGTGTTTAGTATAAATACTAATATCCCCTCTATTGATTCACACAATTTTCAAGTACCACTGTTTAATTAAAACTCACCAGAATTCACTCTAAATCGGCACTTAAGAAAAGTGAAGTTTAGTGACAAATTGATGCCACGGTTGCCACCTAAATTAAAAAATAGCAGGTAAATAAAATCAATTTAACTGACCGATGTGGGGGGAAAATATGGCGCTTGTTCACAACTGTGACCATACTTTGGACCCGCAACTCCGGCACGGCGTGGAGATAACACATCTAAAATCATATAAATCTTCCACAATTGTTCAAATAACGGTCATGATTTAAAACTAAATTAAAAGTAGGGTGTCTGATTGCGCAACCGATGTTGTGTGCTAAAATCCTTCCCGTTGAGATTACACGCATCCCTATGCAGTCTACCTGCATTGCGCGACCATTCAAAATTGGTCAATGATTTTATGAACAAATTGAAATTCAAACCTTTAGACCATTCTTTCTTGTTTTTGTGTCAATTTTTGAAAAAAAATTTGGAGTATTTTTTTTTTAAACGTAGACATTTGTGATTGACTTACCTCTTAAGTGTCACTGATGATAATGAGCTAACATGCAATTTACTTTACAGAAACACTGACCTCTCACAAGAGTTTGCGATGTTGGTTCCACTGGATAAGCAGATTCACATGACGTACACAAACTCTTTTCTTTCTTCATGTTGCCAATTTGTTACATACTTTAACATGATAGCAATTAGTGTAAAAAGGTAGTGCAGGGAGTGCCCTAAATTCAGGAAACTCTGTGTGTGGGCCTTAGGGCGCGTTCATGCTTGATTTTGACGGCCAGAATCAGGCATCTGTTACGCGTTTAGTTTAAAACACGCTTGCGTTCATGCTCACTTTTGTAGAATCACCGAAAAACGGCGATCACGATCGCCGATCGTAAACTCACAAAAAGATGCGATTACAATTTGTAAACGCGTTTAAATGGGGTCAACGCACTGACCTCTAGTGGGTCTACGTAGCATGCGCACACAGGTTTGCGAATCCAGCTGAAGGCCACCCAAGGAGAATTGCCTGGAGAAGTGAGCATGAACAGTGCACCGTGGAACTGCGATTACGATGAGCGTTTACGATGAGCGTTACAAATCGCTCATTCTGCCTTCAAAATCAAGCATGAACGCGCCCATAGTATACTTAAGTATTATCACTGTGATTGTTATTTTTTACACCCCGTTCCTTTTATATCATTGTTTCCAGGAGTTAAAGACAAGTGCAGAGGTTTTGGATATGTCACATTCGCAGTGAGGCAAGTATTAACTATTATATAATATTTGTTGTAATGATATATATCTTAATTGTCAAATGCTCCTTCTTTTAAATCCATCTCCTCTTCCTTCATCTTCCTCCTCTTCCTCCTCCTTCTTTTTTTTCTTCTTTTTCTTCTTCTTCTTCTTCTTCTTCTTCTTCTTCACCTTAGTCTTCTTCTTCTTCCTCCTCTTCTAATTCTCTTTCTTCTCTTTCCTCCACCTCTCTTTCCTCCTCCTTTTCCTTGTCCTTTTCCTTCTCTACCTCTTTCTTTATATTCTTCTTCTTCTTCTTCTTCTTCTTCCTTCTCTTCTTCATTAAAAAAAAAAACTCCTTATTTTTCTTAGATACATTGGCATCGATGGGAAAAAACACAGTCAGATTTCTCTTTAAACTCCATGTCCCTTCTAGCTTCTTTCATTTAAAACAAATATCTTTTTATAACTTTTTCAATTGCTTAATTACTTTTTACTTGTACAGGGATGATGCAGAAAAGGCTTTCAAATCCACTCACGCCCTGGTGGGAAGAAAAATCAGAGTGGACTATGCCGACAGAAAACCTTCTAGGAAAGGAGCCCCAAGGGAGATAAAAGGAGCTCCAAGGGAGATAAAAGCAGAGCCAACAACCACAAAATCAGCTGCGGAAGGTATTATTGTATTCTATTTTCCAGTAGTATATCCAGAATTGTTATTAATCGCTTAATTTAAGAAGGTTGAGTTCTGGGAAGAGGTGAAAAGTACTTTGTGAGCGTTATCATTGTGATTATGTAAGTGTGGAAGAACATCAGATAAAAAATGTTCCTTGAAAAGCATGGCTCTTCAAATGCCTTAATATTCTAAATATGGCATGTAATATCATAAAAATCAGGACAGATTTTTATGCATCATATTTGTGTAGTCCCATATACATCTTTCAAATTTCTTATCATTTTGATGATCCCAGAACCTTGCAGTATACACCAATACTTATATTCCAGATGATGAACCTTTTCTGATCGATTCCAGAACGTTTTTTTCATATTGCAATCGCATGACCAGAACTCAACTTTATCTATAATTTTGTGTATCTACTATATTCATTTTTTGAATATTTTTAGTTGTTCATCATTTTAATGATTTTAATAATTTTTCACTTGGATACTTACATGTACTTTAAAGCCCAAAATAATCCATGCAGACATTTATGGGAAAACTTTTGTTTTACATGCACTATTCAAATAAAAACACTTTGTGTTAATCATTAATGTCTGAAGTGATGAGTTTTTTACATATATTTTTAATTCTTTAATGTACAATTTACTGATTCCTTACCAAATACATTGTAATTCATTTAGTTTTATTTCCAGGTATTTATACTGTATGAACTTTTTTTTCAGATGATAAATCTCCATCAACATCAAAACCAGTTGAAGCTGTCACAGAGACAACTACCAAACAAAAGTCTCCCAAACAAAAGTCAAAACAAAAGAAGAACAAAAAGAAGAAAGAGGTCAAAGTTCAAGGGTCAGAGGTCATCTCTGAGAGGGAGAAGAGAAAGAGCAGACTTATTGTCAGAAATCTTCCGTTCAAGGTCAGTTATAGCCATAAATTAAGAAGTGCCTGTAGTAAACACTTTTTTAAAAGAAATTACCTTTTCTGGTGGTTGAATCAAATATACAGTTGAATCAAACATACAGACAACTAAACTATTTATACCCCTGTAAATTTGATTTTGTGTGTGTGTTTTACATAACTCAAGACTGAAAGGTGACTAATTAGGGCATTTTTAGGGTGTGTTCAAGCGATTTTTTGAAGCTAGAATCACAAATCAAAACGCAATTAGAAAACACTGTTCCTGCGGGAGAGCGTTCAAGCAATTTTTCATCAACACTGATTCTCGCTCATTTCAAGCCCAGCCACTGCTCATCACACTGTGCAGTTTGACCCAGGAATTATAGGTCAACTTTGTGTCCGTGTTTACAGTCGACTGTCGGTCAAACAGGAAGCAGGCCACGATAATGACATTATAGAATCATGATTGAGATCTCCATTCGTTCAAGCGATTTTTAGCAGAATCACGATAAAAAAAAGCATCTTTTGGAGCGTTTCATGTTTGCATCTTTTAAACACGTTTATTTTTACGACCGATGAAAAATCGCTTGAACGCAACCATGTTTAAAACTATATGTCCTTAAAGGGGAAGTTCACCCTGATGTACAAGTCCCAAACCTGTCTACAAAGGCCACTTGTCCACAGTGGCTGCTTTTTGTGTTTACCCATGGGTGGCCTTAAAGGTAATACAAGTTTTGGGAAATTTTGAAAATTGGCTGGATAGTGATTCTTTAAAATTTTGATATATTTGGATGCCCCTGTGGATGTATTATAAGCACTAGAAGATTTAGCCCCTAAAGCACTTCTGCTTTCGAGAAAAATTGAATATAAAAATTTACCGGTACTCCCGGTAAATTCTGATAAATTTCAAATAGCGCCTACGGCCGTACAATGGTAGCTGCGACCATGAAAATCTCAGAATATGTAGTTTTGATATATAATTTTCAAACGGGAATAGCTTATAGTTTTATAGCTTAATTAATATCTAGACCTTGAGAGAGAGCTATACAACATAAAGAGTTTATTATTTACAATTTCATAACTATAGACTCGATTTCAACCGTGACAATGATCACTGAATATTGTAGGATTGCATATGCTTATAATATGTTCATTTGAACGAAATTCATGACCCCATACCAAAACTTTGTATTACCTTTAATAGGCAGGTTTGACTATAAGTTTTCTGCCTTAAATGGTTACTGTGATATACTGCCTTTTGCCACAATGCAGAGTAACTTTCACATTTCGAGGGTTCAGTAAAAACTCAAAGACGTAACTCCATATTTTTCCAAAATGAGTATTTGATATCAAAATGTTCAGAAAAATGTGGGCTTTCCAGGAAACACAAAGACTTAACTCCACCCAACACCCCATCAAAGTCAATGGCTAGTGAAACATAGACTTAACTCCTTAAGGCCCAAGTGCTCAGTGACACATAAACCACTTTTTCTTGAAATGGTCAAAATGGAGTTCCGTTTTTGTGTCACTGACCCCTCGAAATGGTAAATGTGATATACAGTCTTTTGCCACAATGCAGAGTAATTTTCACGTTTCATGTCACAGTGCACGGAAGAGAAGCTCAAGTTCGTCTTTGAGGTTTTCGGTACGGTGACCGAGGTCTCGATTCCCATGAAGGAGAAGAAGAGCATGGGCTTTGGATTCGTTCAGTTTGAGGAGCTTGGGAATGCCGCTAAAGCTCACAAGCAGATTAACGGCAAGCAGATAATGAGTGAGTTCATTCTGGGATTTATCCGTGATCGTTCAATTCCACATTTGTCCTTAAAGAGAAGGTTGAGTTCTGGGAAGAGGTGAACAATAATTTGTCAGCGTTATCATTGTTATTATGCAATTGTGGAAGAACATCAGATTAGAAATGTTCCCTGAAAAGCATGGCTCTTCAAATGCCTTATTATTCTAAATATGGCATGTTACAGCGTAAAAATCGGGACAAAATTTTATGCTGCATGTTCGTGTAGTCCCATATACATCTTTCTGTGTACAGTGCTTGTAACTTTACCAAGAATGGGCCAAATTTCTTATCATTTTGATGATTCCAGAACCTTGTAGTGGACACCAATACTTATATGCTAGATGATCAACCTCTGCTGGTCGATTCCACAATGCTTTTTTCACAATGCAATCGCATGACTAGAACTCAACTTCATCTTTAAGGAGTAAAGATAGTTAATCCTCTGACCAGGGGTAAAGATGATAATATTGTAGTATTCATGTAATCCATTATACAAGCATAAATTATAGTAATACAATGTAGTAGTTGTAATTGCAGTAATAGTAGTTGTAGTGGTAGTGGTAGTAGTAGCAGTAGTAGTAGTAGTAGTAGTAGTAGTAGAAGGAGTACCGGGTAGTACATGTAGTAGTAGTAGTGGTAATAGTTGTTGTAGTAGCATTATCGTTATGGCATTCTTGTGAAATTCATTCCTACTCATTCACTTTGTGCTTCATTGTGTATAATGCATGGGAATTCAAACCTTCCCGTAGACTTTACACGCAAGTGTGTGGGTGTACACACTCAATGACCCGTGGCTTATTTCAAGAGAATTAGTAGGAGTAGCATTAGCATTATAGTTATGATGATGATGATGATAATCAACAAATATATTTGTATGTGATGTTTATGTTTTATTTTTTAGATCGTACGGTGGCTGTGGACTGGACCATTCCTAGGACAGAGTATCTGCAAGCTATGCAGAAGAACAAAGAATCCTCACACCAAGGTCAGTGCTCCAGTCAAGCCCCTACTGGCTTAATTTATCTACTTATTCATGGCTTTACACAATTTGTGACTAGCAGACAGTGGCTGAATCGTTCACAAATTGTAAATCCATCTCAACATGCTCAAAGAATAAACAATCAATATAATTAATCATTTATTTATCTATTGTTTCACCAAAAACAGTAACAATTTGTTTGTTTACAAAAATATGTCTCTCCAGTAGTGAAGAAAGGTTCATCATCAAGAGTGATCTCAGGTTCATTGACCCATTCAAAATTCTATATCAAGTGTCTCTCCAAGTTTCTCTCCAAGTTCCTTGGTCTTGAGCCAACCGTTTCAACGTTTCCTACCCTGTTGCTCCACATTGTATGATTACATCGTCTAGAAAGCCTTTACGAGGTCTTCCCCTCTTCTTCTTACAGAACCAAAATATATGAAACGGGGTGGTAAATGGGACCAGAAAATAGCACTTGTCAGAATGTTTTCTTTTACTTTCAGAGGATGATGCGGGAGAATCAGAAGAGGAGGAGGAGAAGGAGAAAGATGAGGAGGATGATGATGAAGAGATGGTGAGTGAAGATGTTTTTTGGCACTGCACATCACATTGAAAATGATACAGGGACGCCAGTTTTCAGGCAATAGCCTGAATTCAGGCCCTGGCGAGTTATTTTCAGACCATAGTTTAGGATTTTTGTGTACAAAATAGCTCATTCTAGGTGATTTTCAGGCCCTCTGATAAATTCTAACTGGCATCCCTGATGATATTAACAATGATGATGATGAAGATAATGTCTCATATATATTAAATTTTCAAACGTTCTGAGTTGTGTCAAGTTACAAAACAATCCTGTTCCATACCCCCCCCCCCCCAAAAAAAAAAAAACTGTTCACAAAGTAAAAATTAGTCTCTATTAGGACTCGATACAACTCAAAACTACTTCCTTTGACAAAAATGTTGACTTAAGACTGTGTCAAGATACTTTCCTGTTTGTGGGAGCTCTTTCGGGATTCTGTGATGTCTCAGTGCGATTCTCTCAAAGTGTTATTCAAGTATTTTTTGCTTTTACCAGAGCTCTTATGAAGCTTTTGAGAGCTGAATCGCTCACCGCTCTAATGTTTGTCTGTTTGTTTGTTTGTTTGTTGTTGTTGTTGTTGTTGTTATTGTTATTGTTTTTTTTAAATTTTATTATTATTTATTTATTTATTTATTATTATTATTTTTTTTTTTTTTTTTTTAATTTATTATTATTATTATTTTTTTTTTTGGGGGGGGGAGGTTCCACAGGCTTTATGCCTGTCAACAAAATTTGATAGCTGACTTGTTCTTCTATTGGGTTCTAGCTCCAGCCATCTTTATTGAGTTATTGATCTTCCAGTGATTATGTCATTTTAACAAGAGATCCCTGAAAAACTGAATAAAAAGATATTATTATTATCATTAGTGTCACGTCTGACAGACATGAGCGCTATAAAAGAACCCACTATTATTATTATTTTTATTATTATTATTATCAAATAGTAGTGGTAGTAGTAATAACATTGTTGTTATTGTTGAAAGTAGTAGTAGTACAGTCAAACCTGTCTCTAGCGACCGCCCAAGGGAAACACAAAAAGTGGTCTTTGTAGATAGGTTCCTTTAGTACATATTTCAATGAGAAACCATTTTCAAGGGAAACAAAAAATGTGGTCTTTGTAGACAGGTGGTCACTAAAGCAGGTTTGAATGTAGTAGTATTACAACAACAATAGATTGGGGAAAAATTAATATATATGATCATTTTGTTTACATCAGGACACGGACAAGGAAGAAGAAGAAAGCCAAGTAGAAGCAGACCAGGACAGTGATGAAGAAGAGGAGAGTGATGTCGAGATGGATGGTGAGGAGGAAGAGGATGAGGAAGAAGAGGACGAAGATGATGATGAAGAAGAAGAGGAGGATGAAATGGACAATGATGAAGAGGAAGACGATGAGGAAGAAGACAAAGGCAACAAAGCCGGCAAAGGTTGGGGCTTCAGGAAACCCTCGGAAGATGTCCAAGAAGGAAAGACTCTCTTTATCAGGTGACTAGATATTCATTTAAAGCCCCACTGCATTACTTATAGCTACTTGCACTCTCTATATAGCAAACAATGCCTAATCGGTGACAGTGGGTCCCCCATGGTCCCCTTTTTCTTTACATAATATGTTACTTGAGAGCTGATTTGTTGAGATAACAACCTGTCAGTAACCTTGCAGGGAGGTCTAATCCCCCCTGGCCAAACTAGTGCAGACAGGCTTTAATGCCTCATCTATATAGTTCTTCCATCTGTACTTCTTGATCTAAATATTATAACATGTGGAAGTGTCACAAGTATAGTGGTTTATTCACCTGACTCTCAGTCCAAGGATTGAGGGTTCAAATCCCAGCCCGACACCTTTAAGTCAAAGTTTTGCATCACCCCAATCCCAAATTCATCACAGAAGATTTATTTTACATCACTGTGGCACTCATCAAGTACCATGTACACACATAACGGCCACATTTGTTTCTTAACTTTGTGAGTGAGCAAAGCGAGTAGGCCCAAAAAAGAGAGAAATTTGTAATGTGATAAAAATTTCATTTTGTAATCAACACACTAGATAAGATATAAAATAATGTATTATAAAGAGCGTCAAAGCTTGATAGACATAAGTGCTACACAAGAAGCAACCATCGTTATTGTTTTGTAATCATAGTGTCATTCAGTTCTTCTTATACTTCTCATTTGAATAGTTTTCATTGCAAATGGAAAAAGAATTGAAGTACTTCCGGAGTGATTTATTTGTTTGACCTAATCAGAATTCAAAGAGAAATTATAAGTTTGAGAACAGGCAAGTTCGATGATCTCAGAAATACCCTTGCAGCAAAAACACTTCAGATCAGTACATCTGGGTAAATTAATCCTACTTAGGAGTCAAGTTGTTTCCGTTTCAAATTCATTTCTCAGTTGCTTGATTGCCTGTTCTCCTACTTCTGACTGAAATTCCTTGCAATTTAAATTGAAGTACTCTTATGTTAGTGCAACTACCTGGGGCCCTACTTCATAGTGACATTGTTTTGATTACAACCTCAGGTACCGGTACTTACAAAAAGATCATAAAAATTGTCCACTCTGTAATGTCTGATATTACTTGTTTCATGGCACATTGTGTTAGAAAGTACTTCTGGTTTAATTGCATTGTCTCTCTTACTTCTAACGATGATAATAGTGAATATTGTAAGAACTTGTCTCTCAAAATGATGTGTCTTGTGAATCAACTTGATGCGATTATACCTGTAAATGTTTCTGCTCTCATTCATCCGAATACAACACTATTCATAATACTACCACTACTACTTTGAATAATGGTGCCAATAACTGATTGATTGATTGATTGATTTTATTTCATTTCATATAACAATTGTTTGCACAATAAAGAACATACAGTAGTTGACAAAGTAAGATCAAAATTATGAAATAATAAATGATGATGATGATGATGATATGATGATAATAAAAAATGATTATTATACTAATAAAATTAATAATAATAATGATGATGATGATGATGATGATAATAACAAATGATTATTATAATAATAAAATTAATAATGATGATGATGATGATGATGATGATAATGATGATGATGATGATGATGATAATGATGATGATGATGATAATAGTACAAAAATTAAAAATAATAATGATATTGATAATGATAATGATGATAATACTAATGATAACAATAATCATAATTTAAAAAAAAACTAACAACAATATCAGACTGTATCAGTTAGAATTGACACTCTTGCCTCAATTTTAATAGATATTTAATCTGAATTGTAAACTGCAAATATCCTTGACTTTGTGATAAATACCTCTTGAAATTTTGATTTGATACCCCCTACTCATCTTTTAACTCAATTCATTTGCAACAACAAAAATGTTTCTTTATTTCAAATGTCATCCAGTAGCCCATTCGCCACCTGTTGATATGAATCATTGTTATTGCAAACAAAATTGATTTGGTACTTAGTACCTATTTGTCTTCAACTTCATGCCGTCATATTTCTTACTGAAATTCTTTTTAAGGGCTTTAAAAGAACTGCAGTACTTGTAGCTAATTGCTCCCTCTAAAGAATGCCTAAGGGGGTGCCTGTTGATCCCCAATGATCCTCTTTTTCTTATGTTAATTGAGAGCTGATTTGATGAGATAACCACCTGTCAGTGACCACGCTGGATGGTCTAATCCCCTCTGGCCAAACTAGGGCAGACGAGCTTTAATTACAAACCAAATTAACTTGGTACTTAGTACCTATGGTGTCTACAACTTCATGCCCTCATATTTCTTATTGAAATTCTTTTAAGGGGCTTTAAAAGAACTGCACTACTTGTAGCTAATTTCTCCCTCTAAACAATGCCTAAGTGGTGCCTGTTGGTCCCCCATCATCCTCTTTTTCTTATGTTAATTGAGAGCTGATTTGATGAGAAAACCACCTGTCAGTGACCACGCTGGATGGTCTAATCCCCCTGGCCAAACTAGTGCAGACGAGCTTTAATTACAAACCAAATTGACTTGGTACTTAGTACCTATGGTATCCTCAACTTCATGCTGTCATGTTTCTTATTGAAATTCTTTTAATTACAAACATAATTGACTTGGTACCTACATGTATGTTGTCCACAATTTCATGCCCTCATATTTCTTATTGAAATTCTCTTCATTGCAAGCCAACTAGACTTGGTACTTAGTACCTATGGTGTCTTCAATTTCATGCCGTCATATTTCTTATTGAAATTCTCTTCATTGCAAGCCAAATTGACTTGGTACTTAGTGCCTGTGGTACTTAGTACGTATGTTGTCCTCAACTCCATGCAGTCAATTTCTTATTGAACTTCTTTTAATTACAAACAAAATTGACTTGGTACTTAGTATCTATGGTTTCATCACCTTCATGCCGTCATAATAATAATAATAATAGTGAGTTCTTGTATAGCGCTCATGTCTATCATAGTGACACTCCTGGCACTCCCAATTATTACCCTGGCTTTAGCACGGCTGACATACGGCGCTCTAGTATTTGAAGGAATTAATTTCTGCCAGGTACCCATTTACAACACCGGGTTGGGTGTGACAAATGCAGATCAAAGTCTTGCCAAAGGACATTAGTGCCGCGGCGGGACTCGAACCGTGGACCTTGTGATAGACAGTCCGGTGACATATCCACTCTACCACAACACCTCATGTTTCTTATTGAAATTCTTTTAATTACAAACAAAATTGACTTGGTACTTAGTACCTATGGTGGCCTCAATTTCATGCTGTCATATTTCTTATTGAAATTCTTTTAATAACAAACAAAATTGACTTGGAACTTAGTACCTATGGTGGGCTCAATTTCATGCCGTCATGTTTCTTATTGAAATTCTTCTAATTACAAACCAAATTGACTTGGTACTAGGTACCTATGGTGTCCTCAGTTTAATGCTGTCATGTTTCTTATTGAAATTCTTTTAATAACAAACAAAATGGACTTGGTAATTTCCTCAGTTTCATGCCGTCATGTTTCTTATTTAATTTCTTTTAATAACAAACGAAATTGACTTGGTACTTAGTACCTATGGTTTCCTCAGTTTCATGCTGTCATGTTTCTTATTGAAATTATTTTAATAACAAACGAAATTGACTTGGTACTTAATACTTCCTCAGATTCATGCCGTCATGTTTCTTATTGAAATTCTTTTAATAACAAACGAAATTGACTTGGTACTTAGTACCTATGGTTTCCTCAGTTTCATGCCGTCATGTTTCTTATTGAAATTCTTTTCATTGCAAATTAAATGGACTCCATAAGGAGAGGGATGGAAATGAACAAAGAATGAATTTTAACGCTTGAGGCAGATGAGGAGTGTCTATCTAGATGTATTAAAGCCCGTCTGCACTAATTAGGCCAGGAGGGATTAAACCGCCCAGCGTGGTCTCTGGTAGGTGGCTATCTCATCAACTCAGCTCTCAATTAACATAAAAGAGGATCATGGGGGACCAACGGGCACCGCTTAGGCACTGTTTTCTATGTAGAGGGAGCAATTAGCTACAAGTAGTACAGTGGGGATTTAAAGTGTGCAAATTACCTGAAAAATAGTTTATGTATAGCTAGAATCTATAAAAATACACCTGTATCTGGGATATCCTTCCCAACTATTTTGTCTTGAAGGTTTGAAGGGGGGCATATAGTTGGAAAAATGTTCATATGTACTTGTATACTTGTTTTGGTCTTTTGCATTCATTTTTCTAATGTGCCTTGCTTGAATTCTTTGTCATTGAATTGTATGGGGGGGGGGGGGGGGAGGGGGGCTGGACTTGAGCCCCTTAATCTGCATCTAAAACTGTTACTGTACTAGTATATTCCATTTTATAAGATGATGACGTGGATCCTAATCAAATGATTAGTTGAGAGCGTCCACGTGACCAGGCATTTATTTAGCCAAACGCGTAATCTGTATAGTGAATGACCGGTCATTAACAAAATCATGTTATAAAACATCATTTTATAAAACAAATAATACACATCGTTTCATTCGGGAATCAGTAAAATTACCCACACTTGGTACCGTTGAAACAGTCCAAACACCCTCGGCTACCTCATGTGGGTAGTTCTTACTAATGCCCTCACTGCTGTATATCATTTGTATGATATTGCATTCCATTACAAATGTTTACAATTATTGTTATCCTTTTTTTTTCGAACACAGGAATGTGCCATATGACTCAACAGATGACGATATTAGGGACCTCTTTGCACCATTCGGAGAGCTTGAGTTTGCGAGGGTTGTGGTTGATCCGATGACTGAACATTCTAGGGGTAAGTTTCTCTAAATTTGTCTCGCGTCATTGTAAGAGGTGATGTAGTACACGCAGAAAAAAATGCTTTCCTCGGACTGTGTTTGGGAGAATGCTGATATACTATATTAAAAATATCAACTTCAAATATAACTTGTCTAACAGCATACGTTTGGGGAGACACCCCATCCCCTTCCACAGCAAGTGTACATTTAAAATATTCTTTTTTGTGACCATATAAATGTGCCTACTTGTAAATACAATCCAAAATGTATTTTGAAAATATAGTTTAAATTTTACAATTGACAAGATTTAAGTTTCAAAATGGACACAACAATACATTTTAGTCAGCAAATAGAAGAATTCTAGAAAAATTGTTTTTTTTACCCTCATTTGAAACCATTTCAGTATACAGTGCACAAACATTCTTTGGCTGAACGTTATAATTAATAATAATAGCTCGTTCTTATATAGCGCTTTTGAGGACCGCAGGCCCTCTCAAAACACTTTACAGATGAGTATATTATTACCCCCGTCATTGGATTCAGGCTTACCCGCACACAATGTATGCACATTCTCCACTCCTTGGGGAGCATTCCAGCCAGGCGTCAGTTTTACAAGCGCACACTTGCCAATCTATTCATGTACATTGATTTGCTTGTCTCCTTGCAGGAACAGCATTTGTAAAGTTCAAGAGGAAAGAAGATGCAGACGGTTGCCTTCATGAGGTGAGTAGAGCGTACACGTGACTAGGCATTTATTTGCCTAACGCGTAATTTGGATAATGACCAGTCATTATCAAATTCTAATGACCAGTCATTAGTAAAATCATGTTATAAAAACATCATTTTATATAACAAAAAAAACATAATCTTATAAAACAAATACATGTAATTAATAGCAGTGAGGGCATTAGTAAGAATTACCCACACATGGTACCTTTGGAACAGTCTAACACGCTCGAGGCGATAGCATAGGCCGTTTGGACTGTTTTGAAGGTACCAAGTGTGGGTAATTTTACTAATGCTCGAACAAAATGATGTGTATTATTTGTTTTATAAGATTATGTTTTATTTGTTTTATAAAATGATGTTTTCTATGATTATGATAATGACCGGTCATTACCCAAATTACGCGCGATTACGCGTTAGGCAAAATAAATGCCTGGTCACGTGTACGCTTTCAACCAATCATTTGATTAGGATCAACGTCATCGTCTTATAATTTGCATTATTAACTGCTTTGAGGGGCACTGGTTATACCTTTGGCGCTGTGGTGATTGCCACATAGAAAGTAAAGAAATAGAAGAACATTAATTTCATATGCAGGATTTGAATATATGTTTAACAGTATTCTGTATTTTGAAACTAATCATAAATTTTCAAGTCACCTGATTCTAACCCTAATGTTAACCCTATACCCAGTCAAATGGTTGCAACTCTAGTTCATTGTTTAAGGAAGTAAAGCCTATAGCTGATTTCACCAGAGCAAATGTCAAATCATTAAAAAAAATTGAATATTCGAGACATAATTGTATGTATACTTTCTTTCATATGAAGGGTGACGCAGTGAGGTTAAACGGCCGATTATTAGCTTTGAGTCCGGCCATCAGCAGAGCGGAAGCGGTCAAGCTCAGGACGGCAGACAAGGACAAAGCAAAGGAGGAACAGAAGGACAAGAGGAATCTGCATTTGCTGCGAGAAGGACGTAAGTGACCGACCATTTTTGCCGCCATATTTGGACCATGTCTTTGAATCTTCTGATTTCATTTGAACTGCGTTTTTCTAATTTTATTTCTTGTGGCAAGAGACATTGAAAGGGCCTTTGCCTTTATATTGTGTAGGAGATATTATCTTTATTTACTTTGGTGACATCTATTTTGGTAATATTGCCTTTACCATAATATGGAATCTGCTGTATGTACTTGAAAGTAATTAAGTCCAATGTATTTCGTCCCGTACCTTACTGCATTAAAGATTCTTAGTATACCTGATGATTGTATTGAGTTGTTATAGCTTGCAGCACACCTCAAATGTTATTTCATCATCAAGTACATGAACTATTCTGAATTATATTACTCACTCCTAGATCCTACTCAAATGATTGGTCATGCGCGGTCATGTTTGATTCATTTACTGAGTTTGTAGAATGAACTCATGCACGTGCATCATTTGTATACCGTTAATACCTGATAATGTCTGGGACTCAAAATTACCAAATACATTTTCTATGTAGTGTAGTACCTGGAGTGGCAATGTGCCAGACATGACTGCTATACAAGACTCCACTGTTATTATCTTTTCTTTGGTCTGCATTTCATCATGTTAAATGTTGGTTGGTTTCATGCTGGTTTGCACTTAACTTCGCACTATGGGTAGGCGCACTGGCTCATTGGTAGAGCAGTGGTCTCGTAACCAATAGGTCCTGAGTTCAAAAACAAGTTGATGCACTAAGGCATTGATGCTCATTAGCAAGTACCTTGGAGAGAACTTAAAGTCGTAGGTCCCCTCATTGCTTACTAACATCATACAAGTGCTTTCTTAGCAGTCAAGTAAAACACAAACAAAGAAACAAACTTACCTTGGAATTGCTCAATTGTATGGTGAAGTCGGCAATAAATAATCATTTGGTAAAATGGTTATATTTTATTCATATATTTATTCAGTGGTCAGAAAACGTGAAGAGAGATTTTACAATTATTGTTGCATGTTCACACACAACTTCTAATCTAGTGATAAAACATTGAATTTGGTTCTAAATGATCATGTGGATTCATTGCAATGATTTATTTAGTGATCAGACCGGGTACGAAGGCAGCGGAAGGCTTATCGGAGCAGTTCATCAACAAGAGACTGAAGATAGAGAACGTCAAGAAAGAGAAGCTCAAGAATCTGAACATCTTTGTGTCACCAACCCGTCTAGCCGTCCATAACCTCCCTAAAGCAGTGGACGGCAAGAAGCTGAAGGAGCTAGCACGGGAAGCAGCTGGAGACAAGACAGCAAGAGTTATCGAGGTGAGTTTTCTTTTCTCAATTCCTCAAAAGAAATATATTAGCAAGATGATTCATATTGTATTGAAAATCAAAATGTGATTTCTACAATTCAATCTTTTAATCAACACCTCCATTTGCTGTTCTTGTGGGAGACGAGAAGGCAAAAGTTATTGAGGTGAGTTTATTTTGGTTTAATTCCTCAAAAGAAATCTATTTGCAAGATGATTGATGTTGTATTGAAAATCAAAAAAGGCTAAGTTCTTTTTACACATGTTTACATTTTCTGAGATATGTCTTTTTCTATCTAATTGAAATGGATTTTGCTGAAATGGCCCTATAGGAATGAAAACTGAAGCATTTTAAAGAAAATGTCACATCGTTTATTTTACTGTTCATATTTCAAGTCTCAAGTTTTTTTTTTCTTATGTTATGTCTTGTTAGGTTTTTCAGGCAAAAATAATGCCTTTTATAAGATGATGATGTGGATCCTCATGAAATGATTGGTTGAGAGCGTACACATGACCAGGCATTTATTTTGCCCAACGCGTAATTTGGGTAATGACCGGTCATTATCCAATGGTAATGACCGGTCATTAGTAAAATCATGTTATAAAACATCATTTTATAAAACAAATAATACATAATCTTACAAAACAAATAATACACATCATTTTGTTCGGGTATTAGTAAAATTACCTACACTCGGTACTTTCAAAACAGTTGTTCCAAAGATACTTTGTGTGGGGAATTCTTACTAATGCCCTCACTGCTGTGTATTATTTGTATATTTATGTTGTTTTATTTTGACAGAATCTTTTCATTTTGTTTCTCTCGTTTTGTTCTTTTTTGTATTGTTTTGTCTTTCAGGCAAGGATAATGCGAGATGTGAACAACCCCAGTGCGCAGGGAGTCTCCAAGTCTCTAGGCTTTGGTTTCGTTGAGTTCACTCAGTATGAACACGCCCTAGCTGCTCTCCTGAAACTCAACAACAATGCTGAACTCTTTGGTCCCGACAAGGTGAATACATTCAAAGAAAACTTTATATGTTGTAAATGTAAGGGAAAGCACTGAAATTAATAATTAATGATGATTGGTAAAGTAAAGTTTGTTAGTGATGCTAGAGGGGAGGGGGCTGTCTGTATAGGGTATTTAATGTTTATATTTGATTTGTATCCCCTTTGTTATTATTTCATATGATATGTTCAAGGGCCTTCTGTTTTACAAGCCTTGTGCATTTTTTGAAGGTATCCTTTCATTTATTTTTTTTGCAAATTTGTGTATGTATGACTTATACAAAATAAAATTGAAATTTTTTTCAGAGAAAGATATACAAAATGAGTTTTTCACTGATTGGCAAGTAAGTAAAGAAACAACCATTGATATCATAACAAATAATGCATCTCATAATCTTGGAGAGATTCTGCAGGAAATTAGAAAGTGGTGAAATAACAGATAAATATGATTCTTTACCTTGTTATATATTCATTATTCTCATTTTCTTCTTGCAGAGGCCAATTGTTGGTTTCTCACTGGAAAACAGACGTGCCTTGGAAATTCAGCAGAAGAGGAGAGACAAGGCCAATGTAAGTTTAATTTGTTATTTTGTCCGGGTCTGGAAAAAATTTGTCCTTCTGCCTAGTGCTCTGTTTAGTTCAAATGCTTGTTTGTATCTCTGTATTTCATATGCAGCATGATTAAAATGATTCACCTACATGAACATGTACATATGTCAGCACCGAGCATAATTTAATTGCAAGGCTCTTAGGGAGAAACCATTTACAGTAAAAGAGAAGGTCAAGTTCCGGGGAGAGGTGAAAAATAATTATTGAGCATCATTATTGTTATTATGCAAGTGTGGAAGAACATCAGAGCAAAAATGTTCACTGAAAAGCATGGCTCTTCAACTGCCTTCATATTCTGGATATGACAAGAAACAGCTTTAAAATGAGGTTTGATTTTGATGACACATGTTTGTGTAGTCCCATGTACATCTTTCTGTGTAAAGTGCTTGTAACTTTACTAAGACTGGGCCAAATTTCTCATCATTTTAATGACTCCAGAACCAGAACAGGGGACGTATAAATCGTGGTCACAAATCTACAGAATTTACATTTTTTGATAGTGCATTATTAAAGGAAAAAATATTATCTAAAGATCATAATTGAGAGACCAATAGTGAGAGGTAGGGTTCATTCCTATGCACTAAGCGCTATATTTGCCGGAGATGGAGCTGGTGTAATAATATTCAAAGTCCTTTGGAAGAGCATGAAGACATTTTATCATAATGTGATATGCACTATACAAGAACAGCATAGTATTATTATTATTATTACATGTATAGCAATTATACGTACATGTGTGATGCTGCAGTTAAGGGTTTCTCTCTACAAACACCTTTTGTCCTTGTACTCTTTAACAGATGAAGAGACAAGCGTTTAGCAAAAACACAGAAGAGGAAGATGGCGAGGAAGAGAAGGAGGAAGTGCAGCCACGCAAACCCTACTCCCAGCAAAGACTCCAGGCCCAGCAGAAGACCAGTGCCGAACCCCAAGTCCCTGCCAACAGAGACATGGTCATGCCACAGGACGGCAAGAAGAAAGGGTTACCACGCCACTTTGGGGCCAAGAACCGGTGGAGGGATAGAGGGAAGGTGGCGGACGAGAAGAGGCAGAGGATGAAGGATAAGAGGCTGGTGCTGCAGAAGCAGGTGTGGAACAGCATGAAGACCCCGGAGCCGGCCGGCGGACTGAAGGTGAACAAGAAGGAACTCAGGAAAGAAAAGCAGGTGGGTAACTGCAGAATCAATTCAAGGCTCAACTATTTCATATAAATAATACACAGCAGTGAGGGCATTAGTAAGTACTACCCACACAAGGTGCCTTTGGAACAGTAGCCAAGGGTGTTTGGACTGTTTCAAAGGTACAGAGTTAGGATAATGTTACTAATGCCTAAACAAAATGATGTTTTACTTGTTTTATAAAATGGTGTTTTCTAACATGATTTTACTAATGCCTGGTCATTAGTAAAATTACGTGTTAGGCAAAATAAGTGCCTGGTCATGTGTGCGCTCTCAACCAATCATTTGATTAGGATCCACTTCATCATCTTATAAACGCTCTTAATAGTTGACTATGGGAACAAACAATGGATTGCAATGGTCCCCTTTTTTCACATGCACATGTATGAAATATATATAATACTTCAAACTATGTGACCGGTAGTCTTGGGTTTCAAACCTCATCGAGTAAAGAGTTAATTATGTTACGGTGCTCATGTACAGTATTTTTACTAGTGATGTTGTGTAGCATGATTGCTGGGCCCTCAGGGAGAACAGTATGAATACTGATGTGGCTACCCTGGGTTAAACAAGACATATCATTATTATTATTATTAGCATGCTACCGATACTTTGATGGGAAGGGGGGGGGGGTGGGATTAGGTTATCATGACACCGCTTTACTCTGGAAGATTCCAAAGGGAGTAGTAGACTTAACAGAATTCAAAGGATCTAATTTGGGGTTAGATACAGTTGGAGGGTTTCCTTTTCAGTATTTATTGTCTTTTGTTCCATTTAGAATCTCTCTTTCAAGGCCCATATACATGTACAACTAGCCAAAAAGTCATAGAAATTTAAATAAGGATATTTTGTTTTAATTCTCTTTCAATGCACCAGCATCATTAAATGGATTGGGTGTCTTTGTCTCAGATTCTGATACAAATTCCTGGATTTAGCTCATGCTGAAATAATAATTAACAACCTATAGGTCAGTCAGGGACCCCATGACCTTTACAGCCGATCACCTGTCTGATTATCAAGATATTTATGATTGGAAATCAAAACTTAAAAATTCTTTTCCTAACGGTTTTTATAACAATACAGTCTTTTGGGGAAAATGAGTATGTTAAAAGAAAAACCAGTCACTCAAAGATTTTTACTTTTTGAGGCATCTTATGATCATTTTTGAAGCGCAGTTTTGTTAGGGCTTCAATATTACACCATATCACAGACACTGATAACACGTAGGGCCATGCATCTCATATTTAACATTGTTAAACGATGCCTTTAGTTCTTTTTCATCAAATGAACAATTGATTAAACTGAAATGAATTTAACTTGAATAAATTGAATTCTCTTCCTCTTTCAAACTTGCAGAAAAACCAGAACCAGAAGAGGAAGAACACTCGTGATGTGAGAGAGGAGAAGCAGTTCAACGCCATGGTAAACAAGTACAAGCAGAAGCTGACACGGGGCAGCGAAACAAGAACAAAGGGCTCCTCCAAGTGGTTCGATACATGACAACCTTGATCGCTACAGAGAGAAAAAGAGAGCTGGGCCCGGTCTTAGAAAGAGTTGATCGCAACTACTGTACATGTATGTACATAAGAGATAGGAGACTGCAAACTTGCGATTAATTGGAGGACTTACGATAGATTTGGATCAGTCGCAACTGTTTGTAAGACGGGGCCCAGGACATGAGAGACTGTTAAAATGATGAATTTTATCCTATTCCATTTTGTACAAATTTTTTGAAATGATTGTGTGCAGATGGACAGTGGTTTGAGATTGCAGAAAGACCATTGAAATGATATTTAAAATCATGACATGAATCACTGATCATGAGGTTATTTATTTCAGCAAGAAGTGGGTAAGAGTACTTTGCAGAGGACGATGACCCCCGAGAGGATGACCTCATAACTCAAGTTATTAGTTGCACAATATGGTATGCTGTTCTTGTGTATCAGATATAAATAAAACAATGTCTCTACAGTGTACATGCAACCTCCAAAAAATACTTTTGAAATGATTACGCTATTCCAGCTCTAGTCATATGTCCCTAATATTACACTCGAAACATTTACGGAACAACTTCCTGCTGGGTTCCTTACTTCACAAGGGTTGAGAGTGGCAAATGTAAATTAATGCCTCACCAACGGATGCTAAAGTGTCAGGCTGGGATTTGAACCCTGAACCTTTTGATCTCCAGTCCGGTGACTTACTATACTACCCTGTCAATCAAGAGATCTCCGTACATTTTGGCCATTCATGTCAGTTCCACCAAATTGTCCTAGTGGAACCATTTTCACATAATCCAGAAATATATGTAACACTCAGAACTAGTGTGAAATGGTCCACATATACTTTTACAAATTATTTCTTCCTTTTATTTAAAAAAAAAAATCAATATTGCTTAGTATCATAGTTAATCATTTTAATTGATGCAAATACTTGATAATAAATTTTGTACAAAATTCACACTTTTAAACTTCCACTGTGTGGATATTTCATCTCATTGCCTTTAATTAATTTCCCTCCCTCTCTCTCCCTATCCTTCCCTTCCTCTCTCTCTCTCTCTCTACCCCTTTCCCTTTCTCTCTCCTTCCCTTCCTTCCTCCCTCTCTCCTACCCATCCTCTCTCTCTCTCTCACACTCCCACCCACCTACTCTCTCTCTTAGTCATCTCTACCTTTATGATCAGCTCATCATGAATACCAAAGAAATTAAAATATGACGGTTAAACAAGGGAGAGGGAGAAAACAAGAGATGAGAAGGCAAAAAAAGAGAGCAAGAGAGGGAGACACTGAAGTTACTTGTAGATGAAGACTGAGAGAAAGAGACAAATATTGAGATCGTATAAAAAGATCATATTATAGAGAGACGGAGGGTAAAATGATGGAAGGAAGGAAGGAGGAAGATGGGAGAGATGAAAAAGAGAGATGATAATGAGAAAGGTGTAAGTTTGGGGATTTCAACAGATTTAACACAGACAATACATGTAGATTATCTAATACATGATATGCATCAAGTCATTATTTATATGATATATCATTTATTTCAAATTTACATTATTTATCAAATATACAAAATATACATTTAGGAGGCATTTGATCAAGGACGGCAGACATGATTACATTGTTAGTACATAGAAAAAACATTGCATAGAAAACTATATTTGTAGTTATATAATTGTTTTTCAAGACTAAAGAACATACTATTTGTTATACACGATGAATATAAGGTATTCAAAGCTTTGGTTCATGATTTTGGTAATATACCAAAGTGCAAATATATTATCCTTTAAAATAGATGTACATGTACATTTGCCTTTCTTCATTAAGTTCTTATGTACAAAATATTCCTAATAATCTTTGTTAATAATAGTTTTCTGTCAAAACTGTTTCAAAAATATTGTTCTATGGAAGTCAAAATTTGTAATAAGAAGAAACACATATAGATGTACTTTTTTGTAGATAATCACAGCAATCAAAGCTAAGATTTATTGAAAAGAATACTACTGTAAACGCGGAAATATTTGCGGTACATTAATTTTCGCGGATTTCGCGCTTAAGTCGGCGTCCGAGAATTTGAGAACCCGTGAAAATATAAACATGACTTCTTATGCATGTTCTGAACAGGCTGAATTTGGTGCAACGCGAATTTAAGAACCCCAAAAATTAATCGCGCAAAAATAACAGCGTTTACAGTAAATAAAATTAATGAGATGAAATCAGAAGAAAACTTACTTTTATAAGTAATATGGTTATGCTCTATGATGAATTAAATTGAAGTTGCAACTGTGACCAGGAATATTAGTTCTTGTCAGTTAATAAATACATTTCTAGTCACTGATCTTTTTTTGTTCTAAACCCCTGGTCTTACAAAAGTTATACCCATGAATTACATCATCAGACAAATTTTAAAATCATAGTTCATTGATTTTGGTCTTAGAAACAGATCATGGTACATGATGTATTAAAATTCACAAATTCCATTTTAAATTTTAAGAATAACTACATATACTTTCTTCTACCCCAAATACAGTAACATTTCATTAAGAAAAATGGTGATCTGCTATTAAAAACAAAATTTGTGTAAACATTTTGAACCTACAGCATCTATATTGAATTTCAATAATTTAATTAAAACAATATTCTTGAAGAGAAGGCCACTTAGTTTTGTTCACTACTTTGTTCAATACTTTGTTTAACATGTTTGTGATGTCAGATGACAGAGAATGAAGTACTGGGGGTGTGTTTCACAAAGCCCTATTTCAATGACAGATGACAAAAGTCAGTGACAAATCTGCTGATAACCAATCAGAAGCAAGCGATTTCACAAGCTTATAACAAAAACTGTCATTTGTCACTAATGACAAGTTTTGTGAAACACCCCCCTGATGGGCAAACTTAATGTTGATTTTTGGTCACCGGCGTAATACTTTACAAGGAAATATAATTGACTATGAAAGTTGAAATATGAAAGGAAGACATAAAACAAAGTTTAGGGGTGTGGGGTCTGCCCATACGAGGAGGCACAAGCTCACCACAACAACAAAAAAAGGTCCCTCCATAACTTTTACACTAATCTCCCCCATTTCTAAATGCTACTGCCTAGTATCATCATCCGCAGCCATGTAAGCCTTGGGCTCTGTATTGTTGCTCATGGGGGTGCCAGGATGAGGGGTGAGGGCCAGCAGCTCTGCAGGGGTTTGGGGTATGTGGTCTACCCATGCAGGGAGGCATAAGCTCACAAAAAAAAGGTCCCTCCAAAACTGTTGCACTAAATCTCCCCCATTTCTAAATGCTACTGCCTGGTATCATCATCCGCAGCCATGTAAGCCTTGGGCTCTGTATTGTTGCTCATAGGGGTGCCAGGATGGGGGGTAAGTGCCAACAGCTCTGCAGGGGTTTGGGGAATGCGTTCTGCCCATTCCTGTGCCATCGCCCAGTTCATGCTCTTCCTAATGTCAAATAGATTGATCACCGACATTTGCTGGAAAGAAAGATTTGTATTAAGGAAAAGACATTTTGTCTTGGACTCAAACACAATGACTTGACTTGACTTAAAGCAATCAAAGAAATATTAGTTACCATCTGTAAATCTTCCAGGAACATATCACATCCCCCCTTTAAACGCATTTAAGAGGTCACATGAAAACCTCGATGTTTGCAAGGGTTTCATGGTTCAATTAACCACATTAATGGTTAATGAAATAAGGTTATTATCAATCTTTATTTATTAATGTTGTAATATCTATTACACCAATTATATTATTTATATATAATCATTTAAACATGTGATTGAATATTTCCTGGCAAAATTCAAATCTGTGTGGAAATCAGTATTGAAATTTGAGGTGGAAGATAACCATCAGCTACGACACATTGCGGGTGAAAGGATACATTTTTTGCCGGTAAGGGTGGCAGCTGGAAGATGGAAGGAGGCTGGGTGAGTCTGAGATGACCGTTAGAACCGGTCGGATGGAAGTAATGATGAGCTCTAGGGTTGTACAGCTGCCCAGTCCTAGTAGGCATGAACACGGCCGGCAAGCTGATGTCTAGAGAAAAAAAGTAACACAAACAACTATTGTAAGAACAGATTCAGCGAGTAAAACTATGATTGGTCCATTGATGTCACTTGACTGTATCAGGAAGACTTCACCCAGATAACCATGGGTACTGCGTAGCGTCAAAAACAATTCCCCTTAGACTAGATAGAGGCCTAAACGTTTGAAACAAACCTAATTTTCTTCAGTATACAAGTGCAATCACTTTTAATTTTAAGAGTAGATTGTCTGAACACTTGCATCACTCCATTTGTGACATAATGTTTACTGGTTTAAGCAGCTTATTGCCGGGACACAGTGTAACTTTTACCACAGATATACCACACATGCATACCAGAAGTTCAATGCTTTGACTGTTTTTGTTTTGTTTTTTGTTTTTTTAAATAAAGATACATATATGTAAAATATCACAAAATTATATGTATGAAAATAATTGATTAAGTAACTAAATTTGCCCGTTATTTCGGACCTTTTAGCATTCATGAAAATCACATCAGGACCGTCAAGGAAAAAGTTTGAGAACCCCTGGTGTAGAGCCTTGTCTTACCTTTGGTTCTATCGGGACTCTGGACATCCTGCAGGCTGAGTTTATACGTCCCAGCTAGCTGCTTCTCAATATGACTGCTCACTTCATCTTTTGTCTTCTTCTCCAGCTCCTGCCGTCTTCTCTCACTCTCCTCGTTGAACATCTGCAGCCGCTCCAAGAACTAGACAAAAATATTAAAAATGATGCCTCAAATTAGCCTTATTGTTTTCGGAATGTTAGGGATTCTTCTTCTTCTTCTTCAAGATAATATGCCTCCTTCAATACTGAAGATTCTCGCAGATGCCGTATACTCGGCCTGATTGGGGTGTGCAGGTGGACCACTACACCGGGGTTTCCCCCTACTCTTATTTGAATAGTGCAGTGGGTTCTTAAAGTGCAAGGGTGCAATTTAACGTCCTATCCAAGGGATTGAAAAGCTTCTTGATGAATTTGGTACTCGACTGTTACAGGGCACTGGTCACTAAAATCGTTTTAGTATAATATTTGTATATTGTTAGAACACATAAATGCATTGCTAAAGCTATATGGAACATTTACATGATTAACATTGAAAGAGCATAAAGAAGAATGTGATTTTTATTATAATGAGGCTAGCAGAATAGTTATATTGGACTTCTTCAAGCATCATTTTGTTATTATACTTGTTAGTTTTAACTGTTTTCAAAGAGGAGTTCTCACACATGTTCCATGACTACAGTCAACCCCCATGACACTTCTACCTTTATTTAAAGTTTAATTTCGACATTCAAAATTTGCAGTATCTTCTGACACCACTAGGAATTAGCAAGCACTGGCACTCAAATCTTCAAAACAAAATCTTTTTTGATGATTAATCCAATCAAGGGTATTGCAACCAAGCACAATACATGAGATTTATTATGAATTAAAGCAAAGACAATTTCCATGTCAAATATACTCTCAACAAAAATGTATAAATGAGTAAAACTCACATCCTTGGGTAGGTCGCTGCCCCACTCTGGCAATTTGACCCCGGTTTTCTTGCTCTTTTTCTTGTTGCTTGACCTGTCCTTGTCCGGTGGCTGAGGGATGACCAGCTGGCTGTCCTTACCGGGCGTCCAGCCCCTGAAGGGTGACCTAGAAGTAGCAACTGTGAGAGAAATGTTCTTAGTGAAAGATATTCTGACAGGAGGGCGTTTCACAAGGACTAAGATCGACTTAAAGGACGTGTATATGGCAAATACTGGTTAATACCATGTACGACTTCTTTTGGACTTGATTAACGGTATAGTCTTCCGTAGTCATATTATACCCGATTGGCCCCGACTCAGGCCACGGGGAAGATATGTGGTCTCGTCATGTTACACCCCCTCTAAGTTGGACTTGAACTATGGCAGGCCATTCATGACACTGGTTGCTCTCAAGTGACATTGGTCTCTCAATTGTGATCTTTAGATCTTTATCAAAAAAGGTAAATTCTGTAGAATTTGTCCCTTAGAGGAACAAGTGGCATGAACGGCCTGCCATAGTTCAAGTCCAATTTAAGTTGATCTTGGTCTTTGTGAAACGCCCCCCCCCCCCAAGATTGTATTTCATAAAATACTCTGTAAAAGAGTATGCACATCATACATTTTTGTGTGAAATAAAATAACAGAAATTGTCAAATAAAGACTCTTGGAAAGATTCAAAGAGCAACATCCTCATGAAGATTAAACTTCTGTCAATGATAATCATTTAAACAAATATCATGTGGCAAGACACTCAGAAGTTTCTGTGTAAGAGAAAGTAAGAAAGACTGAGTGCGAGAAAGGTTCCCTGATAAAAACCCTGGGAAAATTTTATGTGAAAGAAACTCAAAAAGACACTCTTTGAAGACAACTTAAGAGATTCTTTGTAAAAGATCTACAAAAGCTTCCCTGTGAATGATAATCCAAGATCATTTGTGAATGGCAATCAGAAATATCCATATGAAAGACAATCAGAAAAATTCCTTAAGAAAGATTGCCAAGAAGATCCTGTGGAAGATCCTCACAAAGATAGTCTGTGAAGTCTGTGAAATATTCCTTATGAAAGATAATCAAGAAGAATTGCTTTGAAATACACACAGAAAGATTCTCAGCAAAAAAAATAAAGAAGGAATATTTCGACAGATTCTCTGTCAAAGAAAGTCAGAGAGATTCTCCTTGGATAACGCTCAGAAATTTTAAATTCCATACAATCAGCATATTATTGATGAACGATTCTCCCAGTCACTGTGAATGACAATAAAAAAATATACCCCATGAAAGATTGTTCACAAATAACACATAGAAGATTCTCTGAGAAAGAGTCCCCACGAACAACCGGAAAGTCACTCTAGTGATGTCATCCAAAAATGTTACTTAAAACAAACGGACAAATAAACACAAAATACAGATAATAGGTGCCCGTTCACCAGAAAACCACCAGGAACTTAGAAATAACCAAATTCCCATTGTCAAAGGTCATTCTTACCCATCTCCACAACGTTCTCTTCAGTTTCACCTGATTTTTTATTTTAACATGCAAGTAGAGTGTAATGAAACAGTCCGATGGAAAGGAAAACAATTAAGCATGATTGGTAGAAAATTGCCTTATTCAGTCTTTTTTGTCTCTTATTTATTCATCTTTTTGTCTATATGACTATCTATTCATCCATTCATCTACCCGCCTATCTATCTTTTCATTTTAATATTCATCCATTCATCTACATGTCCATCTATCTATCGATCTATTCATCTTAATATTCATCCAGTTATCTATCTATCTATCTTAAATTGGACTTAACAATTATGGGAAGCCGTTAGCAACTATGAAAATATTTTGTAACAGTTATTTCAAAAGGCATAATATCTTGATTATAATTATTCATATTTTCTATTATCAAGTTCATGTTCATGTTATTGACATGGTATGTATAAAAAGTCTAAAATACTTGAATTTTCGCTTTAGGTTTTTTTTTTTTAAAGCTACAAATGGCTCTCTATAATTTTTAAGTCCAACTCATTTAGAGTTAAGTTCGACTGAGGATCTTTGTGAAACACCCCCCATATCTCTTTCTATCTTTCCACCGTCAAATTCATTAGTACAACCTTCTCTCCGTCTATCCTTAAATCTTTGTCCTAGTGGAGCTCCACTGAGCTTAAGTTGTTCAATATGCACATTTTGTAATGATGAATTGTCTATCAATCTATCCACCTAAATCTATTCATTCTTTCTCAATCTATCCATATCTCTTTCTATCTATCCACCGTCACATTCATCTACCCAAACTTTGTCCTATCTATCCTTACTTCCTTGCCCTGGTGGTGCTCCACTCAGAAGGTTAAGTTGATCAGTCTGTACAGCTTCCAACGCAGCAGCCAGATCTCGAATCCTGGATCTGAACACAAAACAATTATGTTTAAATGATTTGCATAATATGTTCATTAATGCAGAATTTTTTAAAATGAAGAGTGAATAAATACCAAAATGAAACAAAAAATGATTGGACAGTTTCACCCATATGTTCTGATGACACTATCAGAAAATTATGTAATTAGTGTCAAGTATGCATTATACAGAAATATAGCTCAAGGCTCAAGGTCTTATACATATAGACTCCTTTAGCACACAATTGCACTATTTCTATTACACACAATGCAAGTGTGAACAGTTCAGACAATTGTACACTTTCAGAAAATCAACTAAGAACAGTAAAAAAAAAAAAAAATCAAAAAAAAAAAAATATCGATAGAGACAGTGCTCAGGTAAACAGGTCTTATACATACAGACCCTATTAGCATATATTATACCATGAGAAACAATGTACTGATAAGAGAAACAATGCAATACTGAGAAACACTTGAATTAATGAAAAGTACCAGTAGTGTAATATTGAGGAAGAATTTTTTAATTCAAACTTACTCAAAATCTTCAGTTAGTACAGTCAGTTCCTGGTTGTGTTGTTCTATTACTATATCAAGCTCTGCCTTGGATACCATTTCCTGAAAAACAAACAAACAAACAAACAAATGTATCATTAGATGTTTTTATGCAGGATGTGGGCAGCACATTCCACAAAAGAATGTGAATGTTCTATTATCAGTTTTGACTAGAATAATTATCCATCCCTTAACAAAACAGTGATAGGAAGATACACTATAAAGGTCGCTTCCGATGGAAAACATTGATAGTTAGATTTAACTATGAAACATGAAGAAAAAAGAAATGTGCATATAGAATCATTTCTTTTTGTAAACAACTTTGCACTCCATGGAATAGTATCAACATAAAAGGGAAAGTCAGTTTTCATTAAAGTTGCACGAGTCAAAAACTTGAGGCTCCAAAAATCAGCATTAAGGGTTTAAACCTGGACCGTAAGATACCCTTTTATCAAGATTAGCTGGAGAACTTACTGGTTTTTCTGAAGGGGTAGCTGATCTGACAGTCATCGCAGAGAGGCAGCGATCGCCATATTCTTTGTTGATGCTAAGATCTTCTTTCTTCATCTTTGTCAGATCAACTCCAGTCAGGTCCTCTACAATCTCAGTAATACTAGCAGTCTCTGCAAGAACAAAAACAACGATTTTTTTTCTCAGAAATGCAATAAAAAATATTGGCACATTAGGTTAGGGCAGGGTGTAAACTGCCTGACTAACTTAAACACATTCTTTTAAAATGAAATAACAAACAAAATATATATATACAGCTAGAGCCTTATGATTGTATAAAAAAAAGGGTACATTCATTTTCAATAAATATCATATTATTCATTTCATGAATGGCCATGAATCTCAAATGGAAACAGTGACATGTGGGATTATGGGGTACCACAGGGATCATTGCTTGGACCTCTGTTATTCATTATTCATATATGATTCAATAACTTTTGGGTAATATTACACCGGAAAAGACCTTTGATCAGTTTTTGTACCTCGAAAGATGCCATACTAAAACAAAACTAGATATTATTATTATTATTGTCACATCAGAATCTAGAAAACTTTCACTTTTCAAGTTCAAGGAAAATATCAAGTGATTCAGGAAGATACGCACCGTCAGGGACTGTCTATAAGCACTGCTGCCATTACTGTCGTGGTCGAGTGGATATTTCACCGGACTGTAAATCACAAGGTCCGCAAGGGTCCCGCCGCGGCACTAATGTCTTTTGGCAAGATATTGATCTACATTTGCCACACTCGACCCAGGTGAGGTAAATGGAAACCTGGTAGGATTATTCCTTGAAATGCATTGTGCGCTGATTACGGCTGCCGGACCTAAAACTAGGGAAATAATTTCCAAAGCTCTTTGGAAGCTCATAGAGAGGTAATATAATGTGATATGCCCTATACAAGAACCGAATATTATTATTGTTATTATACCTGTGTCCTTCTCAAAGGTGAAGGGCTTGTGTACGCGTGTGTAGAAGAAGATGATTGGTAGAGAGCCTGCAGGGGCTTCTGGGCTGGCTTTGAGCTTCCTGCTGGGTTTGATGGGATAGATGGGGAACGTGTGAGGGATGGTCTCTCCAGTGTCATCAGCACTGTCAAATATTGGAATGTCCTGAACAGAGAGAAAAATGAAATAAAACAAAGAAAAGAAAATGTAAATTATATTTAATTTCATTGAGGATATATCTAGCAAAGGTTAAAGGTATAGACCAGTTCTGGTCATGCGATTGCATTGTGAAAGAAACGTTGTGGATTCGATCAGAAAAGATTGATCATTTACCATAAGTATTAGTGTGTACTGCAAGGTTCTGGAATCATCAAAATGATAAGAACTTGTCCCAGTCTTGGTAAAGTTACAAGCTCTGTACACAGAAAGATGTATATGGGACTACGCAATATCTATCCAGGTCGGGTCGATATGATAATTTACCAAATATATCAATTAGTAGGCAGTTTCCAGGCAATCATCACCTGTCAGTCAAAATATATTCTTTCACATGATTGGTAATAAGAGCTTCCATAAGAACTTTCAAATGCAAACTGATTGTGCTGAATGTTGAAGTAAAATAGAGAATAAAACACAAGGCAGGTACATGCACATTCATCTACCTGTAGGTAAGACTATAAACTTAAATGAGAAGACAAAAAAAATGAGAGAAGGAGAAAGAAGAAAAGATAAAAAGAGAGATAAAGAGGTAGAGGGAAACAGAGAGAGATAAACATAGAGATCAAAAGAAAGAGAGAAACAGAGAGAAGGAGAGATAAGAATGTGTAAAATGGAGATTACTTAATATCTGTTTTTGCTCTTAATTGTGTTATACAAATTAAATGATACCACAGGAGTAAACTATAGACATTGGAAAGCCCGGAACATCTAATTTGACAAAATACACACACACAAAATTAAACTCGGGCAATATCAATGACAGTTTTAATTCAATGAATTACATGGTTATTCTTGTAATATTACAATAATAAAGATGAAAATGACAAAATAAAGTTTACCTCGCCTCGTAGGTCAGCAAGGTCGATGTTACCCATGGCGATCAGTTCATCTAGATGACCTTGATGGACACCTAGCTTGACCGGCATCTCACCTCCCAGGGACGAGACCGTTGAGTGACCGGACTGGACCCTGCCGGATGCCTCCTTCCCGTCTTCCCCTTCTTCCTCCTCTCCATCGTCTTCTTCAGGCTGCAAAGGATAAGGTAGATTAAATAAGGTAGTAAATAAGATTAAATAACATTAAATACGGTTTTGATTTGATTTGATTTGATTTATTGGTTTCTGCATCTTTTTTCTTTTTTTCATCATACATTTTCATGAACATAATATGGTTTGATACAATATTTTAAGTGTATATAATTTTATACAGATAATAAACGAAATTAAACAAATATATTGAATGTATAATTAACATACATAAGATGCAGGAGGGCTACAGAAATAAGCAAAATAGCTTGACGTGCCCGTATTGTAAATAAGATTGAATAAGATTAAATAAGGTATCAAATATTGGTAGTCAAACTTGTTAACTGTTCTTGTTGAATATGATCCTACAGAATCTTTGAAAAAGTAACACTACGTAGGAATTAGTTATTATTTAAATTATATACAGCATGATATCTTTTAAAATTTCAATTGTCATTATGAAAGTATATTATAGAAAGGAATACAAACAAAAAACAAAAGAAAATTCCCCTCTTCATCTTCAAAAAGGTCATAAAGACTCATACAGAATGTCATGCTATGCCAAAGCTGATAATTACAATAACAACGATTTGGAAACATAGTTATTTTCTTGTGATTAGAACCTTCCAAAATGTAATTGAAATTCATTAAATTTTTCTACCAAAGGGCTAATTTGGAAATCAATGATATGAATCAGAATATTATTTGTTTAAATGAACATGACAAGGTTCCTAAGAGGATAAAAAGGAAAACCATGTGTGTAAATAAAGGGCAACTACCTCTTTCTTGCCATCCTTCTCTCCGTCTTTGGCTTCATCTGGGGCCTCATCCTTCTTTATTAGAGCATCCTCCATATCAAAGAGAGGAGAGTCACCGAGAGGAAATGTCAGGTTCTGCCATCTGATGGAACAGAAGAACAGATTAAAGCAAACATTAGGATGGTTGATATTAATTCATTATGTAGTTTTTATGTATCATACATGTATGTCTGTTTTGTTATGACGACCCCCACCACAAGCTCTGTGCTTGAAGGGAATTTTGCCTCCTTTCTACCTAACATCGTAAATATATATTTCCTGATGATTTTTTGTTTTTTTCGGATGAAATAAATGTTTATTGAATTGAATTGAATTTAACTTCACCAACATGGATGGCAAACAATTATGTTATCTCTCTCCCTCTCCCCTCCTTTTACCACTCTCTCCTCTATCTCTCTCTCTCTCTCTCTCTCTCCCTCCCCCTTTCTCCCTCTCACTTTCTCCCTATGTAGTTTCTCTCTCTCTCTTCTGCCCACCAGCTTAGGACCACATTGAACAATTTCAAAACATGCGCCAATGTGTTTGCAAATATATACGTTCAAAACTGCTTCATAAATATATCATTGTTACCCATCAAATTACTTGTAACTGTTTACATGTTCATGCAGCTTGAATAAATGTCATTGATAATTTTAAGAAACAAAAGCTTTTTTTTATTCCTCAAATTAAATCAAACTAGAGCAAACTTCTACATTTCACTAATCCTGTATTTGCACAGGTATCAGTATTATCATTTCATTTTTTTAATAAATAATATTTACATCGTTGACTGTTTTACTCTTATATACTGGTATGCAAAAGTTAGCAGGTCACATGACCCCTTGGGCCAGCCACCTGACATTTCTCACCTGTCATCCAGCTTTTTATCGTCAGGAACCTGTAATGTGACTGTTTTGGGAGACTGGCTGTTCTTCCCTACTTTGGATCCGATCATGCCACGCCCAGACCGGAGCTGTGATACTCTACCACTCTTTTCTGAAAATGTTAATCAATAATATAATCAAAATCAAAATAGAAACGGTGCTTATAAAGCGCTTACCACCGAAGTATCTAACCGCTATAACAAACAAAATACAATGATAAACAAGCACATGTTCAGATCATGTTGAATTAACTGGATATTGTTCCCTACTTTGGACCGAGTCATACTGAGTCGTGACCGAAGATGTGAATGTCTAAAACTCTTTTCTGAAGAAATCGATCAAGCAAAAGTGTTTGTTAACCCATTTTCTACGGGAACCGGGTAGTCCCTGTGTTAAGTCTATGGGAATGAGAAAAATTCAGAAGTCAATCGGTTTAATTATAAAAGCATGTTGTGCATCCTAAAGATATGATATCCACAACTGATCACTTGACTGTGAAAAGACTGTTAATACACAATACAAATCACAACTTTCACAGTCATTCATTTACCCGTACATGTATATACTGAGGTTAGGACCAAACTTGCAAAGCACATTGTAATCGCATTTGGACATCATACATGTATCTTAGGCTGGACTGAATGATGTTTTTATGTATGTTTCCTACAAACTGACATTACCAAACCATATAATGTGGAATTTTGTCATTTATTATACTAATGAATGCAGATGTGCTTACCCCTTGAAACTTGTCTGGCATAAAACTCGGTCTTCTTGAAGTCTTTCTTGAAATTGATGCTGCATTTGATGTCTGATCCAGTGATACCAACTGGATGGAAGACCTAGGGAATGCAAAGGGAGAGAAGATGGAAGGAGAGGGGAAGGGAGGAATAACAAGAGAAAGAAGGGGAAAGAAGAAGGGGAGGAAGAAAAAGAAGAAGAAGAAGAAGAAGAAGAAGAAGAAGATGATGATGATGATGATGATGAAGAGAGAAGACAGAACAAATTAAGGAGAAGAACAAGAAAAGGGGAGAATAAAAGGAGATTAAGAAGAGGAAGAAAAAAAAGAAACAGAAGAAGATTCAGAAGCAGAACATGACAGAAGCAAATAAGGAGAAGGAGGAGAAAAAATATATACATATATATATTTATCGGAAATAATGATTTAATAAAAAGTGGTGAGAGTTCAGGCAAAACATGCAACAGCAACTACAAATTCTCAACACATATGAAACCATTTAAAACTGTTTCTTTAGACAGAATATGTTTACAAATATTTTATCATACAAAATGCAATGTAGATGCCTTTTGAGGAATTACTCTATTTTGCTAGTATCCCTGGCAATCAAGATAATTCCTTGTATTTACACCCCACAGAATAATTTAAAATTTACTCCTTTTTCTTCTGCCCAAATGCCTAACTCATTACAACATTACTTACCTTGACATTAAAGAACCAATCATACTCCGGCTCGTGAGTCCAAACAGTCTTATCAGCAGAGGGGGGCTTTGGAGCAGGAACCTCCACCGTAATCACCATCTCTGGGATAACCTCTGGACCATCCCCTCCCAATCCTTTCTTGGGGTCGTTGAAAGTCACTCGCTATGGCAACAAAGAGAGAACACATTGGAAATGCGAAAAATAAGGAGTTATGGTGATGTGTCGTAGGTGTTGTAAGTGTCGTAGTTGAGTGGTTTAACACTTGACTGAAGATATGAAGCTTGGGGTTGGGCTCTGACATAGCCCAAGTGACCTTTGGCAAGACATTATTCCAGATTTGCCACTCTCCACCCAGGTACTAAATGGGTACCGGTAAGAAGAAATTCCTTGAATGGTGTGAGCACCGAAATTGGTAGCCTAGCAGAGTGGGGGTCAAATTGAAGCCCCTTAAGCACCTTGAATGTTGATATATCCAATGTCCAAATATCCAATATAATCATTACTATTATTACACATCTATAATTAATAACCATAATAGCAAGGAGCTTGTAGGGGATGGGATAAGGATAGCCTGCCTATATGTCCCAGCTGCCAAGCTTGCAACTGATCACTGCAACATTTTGCATACACCTTAAACCTAATATATAACGAACAAGAATGCATCATTAATTTTGTTATAATTGTTAATTTTATCAAGATGTACATGTATCAAATCATTATTAGTATTTTTGGGGGTGTCCGTTTTTCTGGTTGTTTCTTTGTTTTTTTAGATGATTCTCTTGTATATGATCATCTAAAACAATAAAAGAGTTTAAGAATATATACCTTGCTAGCTGGTGTGGCTATGTCACTATCCAGCTCATCCTGCTGTGTTTGTACAGTCGCTCTGGCGTTACTCTCATGACCTTTGCCATCATCCTCGTCTTCCGATTCCTCCTCCGTGAAATCAAGTTCATCGGACTATGGAAGAAAAAGAGGAGAAAGAAAAAGGAGGGGAAAAAAAATCATCATTAATGATCTTTACTGATTGAAAACTTCATCAGAGTTTCTAGTGGTTATACTTCTCATCACTCTCAGTTTCTCACTTTACCAATAAAAGCACTGATCAACAAGGTTTCAAGCATTTCATGACAATAAATTCCCTGTCTTTTCCCTGATGCACTAAACATTAAGAGCACACATAAATGGGTATATGGGGCTACTATATACACACAACATTTGGTCAAAAGTTTGTTTAATTAATCTATTTATCATCATATGTTTTATAAGAGGGCATGTGAAGTGCAATCCTTTTCAGGGGATATTCTGTTGGTTCAGAGCAAGAAGGGTGTTAACTCATATACTTGAACACAAAAGTTAATATGCTCTTCGGGCTCTGAATAATATGAGAATGCTCACAAATGGATTTACATCTTTACCACAATACCGGCACCTTCCCTTTCAACTACATGTACCTCGCAACAATTGACCCTCCCGCAAATGATGTTCGACAAAAGATGGCGACCTCCCTCCCACACTGCGCACGTCAGCACATATATGCGCAGCTACGATACTGGGTAAGAATTAAGGCAAGGTTTCTTCCCGGAGCTTCCATAGAGAATTTACAGCAGTGTCTAATTCCTTATTGTACTAAACGTTATTCGGGTTTCATGAAATCCCCCAATGATTTGATAAGGTCCATGTTGGCACCATCTTAATTTGTTACACTTATAGTTATATGGTGCCAAAACTATGAATTCCAACTGACTTTTCAGTTCTCGACCCATTGTAGTTGTATGGTATCCAGAACTGCCTTTGCCAGGTATATATCCATGGCCGGTGCATGCCTTCTATGGTCAAATACAGTAGTTGCGGTAGTGAGAATTGGCATGTAGCATAAAGCAGATATAAATATAATAAAAATAATATTCTGCTTTTATATGGCACTTAATACAAGTGTCTCTAAGAGCTTCACAGATATACCTGTACTATTACCCCGGTCATTGGATTCAATACTTTCTCCATTCCTGGGGAGCATTCCAGCCAGACTTTACTTGATGCTCAAAAACTGTTTGACCAACAATGACGGTTGTATCCTACCGAGTATAAAGATACTTACTGAGCTGAGTAACTGAAGTTCGTTGACTGACGATTGACTCCTGCCATCTAGCTCACTGCTATCGTCTATATCTCCACCTTCCCCGTCAGAATCAGGTTCCTTGTCTAACGACTCAATGTAGGCTTGCAGATGCTCCATTCTGTGTTTAATATATTTGTAATTAAAATGGTCCATTTAAATTATATTTGTATCTAAGCGAATGAAAGACAAGTATCTTAAATTGTTTATGCATTATGTAATGTGCTATGAAATGTAAGTTGTTATTATTATTAAATTTATGGGTAAGACAGCCCCCTCATTCTTTCCCCCCATGATAGCTAAGCAACTTATAGGGGTGTAGGAATATTGGATAAATCCCCATAAATAGAGCCCACCCCCTCCCCCTTTAAACCTTGTTCTCAATATTATAAAATATAAGATGTCATCCAAACATCACATATTTCTAGTATATTTCTAGTAAAAATCAGATATCAAATCTTAAATTTTGCCACACGAAGGTTGATAGCAGAAACTGTCCACTGTTACCACACTATATCAAGAAATAATGGAATTCTTTCACCACTGTATATTTTCAAAATAAAGGAGTCACAATAGTTTGTCCGGCATGCAACTTACCCTAATTTAGACTTCTGCTTGAAGTTATCAATGAGGAACTTCCATCTCCGTCCGTGACCTCTACAGCTGGTGACCTTTGAGAAGAGCTTCTCCCACATCATGATCCTCTTCTCCTTGGCCATTCTCTTTGCCTGTCAATCAAAACAACAAGAATTGAAATCACACCATTTCCTTTTCCTTCTTTTCTGTAACGTAATTGTGTTAAAATCCACTCTGCAAAGCGCCTATTTAATAAACTTGGTGTTGTGGCATGCGCCTGTAATCCAGCTAAAAGTGGAAATTGCAAACTGATTAAGCCAAGGATGCAGGTTCAAAACTGAGCCACGTCTTTTGGATGGTGATGTTTAAAGGTCGCTCCCCAGACGTAAATAATCATATCTGATTGATACACGTCTGTAAAAACCCAATTACACACACACACACACTCATACCATTTCCTTTGCCTTCTTTTGCGTAAGTGTGCTGAAATCCATTTTGCAAAGCACCTATTTAACGGGAGTGTAACTTGGCAAATATTGGTTAACACCATCTTCGTCTTCATTTGGACAACTGCACGTATTCGAATAGACTTGATCAACTGTAGTCAGCGACTTAATCTCTACATGGTCAGCGCATTCGCGAAACAGACCGAAGTTCTCCTCACACATGGGTTTTGCGTATGTTGAACGCACGTGATTGCTGCGGTCACATCGTCCGTAGTCGTATTATACCCGATTGGCCCCAAGTCAGGCCACGGGAAAGACACATAGTCTCGTCAGTCTACACTCCCTTTAATATCATTAATCTCCTGCAGCTAATGTTTGACATAATGTACTTCACAGTGTTTGCTTTCCTTGGTTAAACTCATGTTAACAACAGACTGGATTGATCCGTTTATGACGTAGCCTCCAACTCTTCTAGTCTAGTAGGCACTTCAAATTGTGATGTAAGAAATCAAGAAACTACATCTGTATAAAAGTGATAAATATACAAAGAGCACAGGCGCACAGTTTTCTCAACAAGAAATGATTTGACGGACATAGACAATATAGATACTACTTAACAGACAGGCGTAAATAGTCAATTTTGACTGAACGCCCAAAATACAAACAACAACAAAACACAGAGCTATGAGTGACAATTTGTTTCACAGAATTGTATCTTTGGTACATTTTTTGTTGTTGATAGTACACCATGAAGGTTTTTTTTTTTAAATGTCTGATCATACCTGTGCATCAAGGAGCTGCAGTCGTCTGACGGCGATATTAAGTTGCTTGTGCTTGCTCTCGTAGTCATTGTGAAGTTTCTTCAGGGCGGCACTCTTCTCCTCCCAAGAAACAGAGAAAACTCTGACCAGTCTCACCAGCTCGTTGACCGGGGTCTGAAGGTCGTTGGTGCTGAAATAATAGAAGTGATTTGATTCATTTCGAGGCGTTAGGCTATAAAATATTCTTGCTAGCCCCCATCCCTCCAAAATTTCTGAACTTAACACGCACTATGGTATACTTTGAGCCAGTCAAATACTGCAATGGTGCGGAGGCATATTCATGTATAAACAGGCTAAAACCACCAAGCTTCAAGTATTATTATGGATTGCCTAGCTGATATGAAAGATCAACAATGGAGCTCAACATATTGTCCAGCAATAATACAGTTCTTTTTTTATTTGTAAAGTTACAAGTATGGCTACTCTGTCTGTGTGTGTCTTTCTTTGTCTCTGTCTCTATCTCTCTTTCTTTTGTTGTCTCTTATTTGTCTTTCAATAGATATATCATCCCCCTCTGCCTCTCCTTTTCTCTGATCTCTCACTCTCTCCTTTTCTAATTTCAGACAAGTTTATTCTCTCTTTCCCTCCCTCCCTTCCTCTCACCACCTTTCCTCTATCCCACCCTTTCCCTCTCCCCCTCTCCCTTGCTCACTCCCCACCCCCTCTCACTCCTTTTCATTTCTACTATATGACTTACCTTCTGAATATTCTACCCGACACCATGATAAGCCTTGCCATCAGTGTAGGGGGTAGAGCATGGACGAGGAGCTCATCTTTCAAAGAGAGGAACTGCATAAAAGGAACGCCCAAGAAACTAAATTCATAAGAATAATAATAATAATAATAAATGCAACTTATCTAGCGCCAAATCCACTCTGTGGAGTGCTCAAGGCGCATGTAGAAATAATTAAGAAAACAGTGTTTTTACATGATTTTTAAAAGAAACAGAGCCTGTTGTTCACTTTATGATGTCTTCATGAAGGCTATTCCATAAAGGTAGGACAAGCGTGAGCAAAGAATCTTTCCTCCCAAATTTGTGCACCTTTAGGAATCATAAGGGAACCAGAAGTGGATAATATATGGTAAAAAAATTAATGAATACAATACAAATCAACGCTATTTACATTGTATTGGAATGATTTGTTTAAATAATGTGTCAGTTAAATAATAAACAGCCAATTTGAAAAAAGAATTTTTAATCCTTTACTCTTAAAATAATCTCTAGCCTTAAGGGAGACAAGGACATTCAAATTAAAAGACTGACATATAAGGGAAAAAAAGAGATGAGATCACATTTTGGACTTTTGATCTATAATGTGTAATTATAGCCTGTTTTCATTCAATGATACAATAGTAAAACGTGATTAGAAATTCATTTTGCCACTGAACAAGTAAATTTAATCATGTTTAAGTATGTTTACCAGTGCATTAACTGTTGTTTTTTCTCTATTAAGCCTATGTCAGCAATTAAAGAATGAAATAAGTATTGATGATGATTCATTATCTTCATTAACTATATTGTATTTTATATGGTATTATTTGAAACAATTGTAAAAGAAATATGATTTGTTTTTAATTTCAAATTTAGGCAGCGAAATGATGATATTAATACACTGAACTGAAAAGTAGTCATCTGACTTTGTTGATTATATTGTATTTTAGCTGGTATTATTTGAAACAATTGTAAAAGAGTTCCGTACCTCTACGAGTGTTGCCTGTACCAAGGCTACTGAGTTGAGGACGCCATCACAGAGCATGTCAAACTTGTTGCTATCCTGCTGCGGGGCCATCCTGATGTCTACTTCTTCATCCATCTTGTTATATCATGCGATGAACGACTCTGGTGTGGGGAAAACAAAGTGTTATAATTATAGCAGGATTTAGGTCAAGCCATAAAGGAAATCCATGATATATAGATTGTTTCTCCAGAAAAAGAAATGCAATAAAGATTTATTAATATCTTGGCTAAGTTGGCTTATTTCGTATCTTCAAATGCCTTTATTAGACTTTTATTGGTGGAATGTGTATTACTAAGCCCTCATATATAGACAAACCCATTATCAAAGCCAATCTCACTAGATCTGAGACTCCAACAGAGAAAGAGGAATATGAAGAAGAGGGAACAGTAGAAGAAGAAGAAGAGGAGAAGGAGGAGGAGGACGAGGGGGGAGAAGGAGGAGGGGAGGAGGAGAAGAAGGAGGAGGAGGAGGAGAAGAAGGAGGAGGAGAAGAGGAGGAGGAGGAGGAGGAGGAAGAAGAGGAGGAGGAGGGAGAGAGAGAGAGAGGGGGGAGGGGGATGAGGAGAAGGAGGAGGAGAAGAGGAGGAGGAGAAGAAGAGGAGGAGGAGGAGGGTGATGAGGAGGGGGAGGAGGGGGAGGGGGAGGAGGGGGAGGAGAAGAAAGAGAAGGATAAAAGGAGAAGAGGAGGAGGAGGGGGAGGAGGAGGAGGAGAAGAAGAAGAAGAAGAAGAAAAAGAAGAAGAAGAAGAAGACTGTGTTGTATCAGACGAGTAGACTAGGTCTAATCAATTCATATTAATTTTCAGTCAAGTAGATCTAATCAATTCATAACTGTCAGTGTCAGGTCTAGTTTAATTTCTTCAAATCACTTTCCCTATCCCTAGCCCATTTATTTTCTGTTGTTTGAACTTTGCAGGCGCGTAGCCAGGGGGGGGCGGTGGGGGCGGTCGCCCCCCCCCAAAACGCCGGCCAAAAAAAAAAAAAGAGAGAGAAAGAGAAGAAAAAAAAGAAAGAGGACGTAGATCTAGGAAGAAAAAGGGAAAAAGAGTCGAGAACGGTACAATGAATCGTCAAAGCTTCCGCGCTTCGCGCGGGAAGGGGGAAACTGAGTTTAAATTAAGAAATATGAGTCGGGAAAGGTACAACGAATCGTCTTCTTTCTCTAATAATTTAATGAAACGTCAAAGCTTCGCGCGAGAGGGGGGGGGAACAGAATTTAGACAAGGATTAAGAGTCGAGAAAGGTACAACGAATCGACTTCTTTCTCTAATAATTTAATGAAACGTCAAAGCTTCGCGCGAGAGAGGGGTGGGACTGAATTCAGACAAGGATTATGAGTCGAGAAAGGTACAACGAATCGTCTTCTTTCAAAACTCCCCCCTCCCTGCACCCACCCCCCTAGGGAGCGCGCTTCGCGCGCTCTTTAAGTGATTCGCACGCTTCGCGTGCTCACTACCGCCCCCCCTAAAATGAAATCCTGGCTACGCGCTTGGAACTTTGTACTGAGAATTTGTGTGGGAACACAAATTCCAAATCAAGGTTAAAACTCAACCTCTCCGAGTCTGATTCTGAAATCTGAAGTCTCTGTCATGCAGACTCGATCTAATCTAGACTCTAGTCTAACTTAGACCCCAAGTTAGATCTCAGTCAAGTCTCCAGTTTGTTCAATGTTGAAATAAAATTCTAGCATGGAAACCCAACCAAAAAAAAAAAAGAAATTATGGATCTTTTACATCAACTAAACGAAGGAAAATTCCACTAAATATCAAAACATGTTTGGTCATTCTCTGGCGAAAACATACATAACAAACATCATTTACAACACGTGGGACAACGCTGAACGGAATTTGCAGAAATCTCGACAACGCTCATGCTTTTGTCTAGTTGTAGACGCTACGAAATCCTGTCATTACTGGCATAATATTATTTTATAAGGAATAATAACGGTACTTAATATAATTAGGTGAACTGATATGATTATAATGAGAAAACGGTAATTTTTACCTTTAAAAATACTCTCGGTGGGATGATTGATTGGTTTGCGGCTGCGTTATGTTTCTAAGCAACCCTGTCGATGATGGCGCTATATCAAACTTTCATGTCTGAACGATTTTTCAATTTTCAATTTGGGATCGTTTTCACCATTTTTGCTGGATATTCGAATAAAAAATGTAATCACAATAATGCATTTCAAATTTCAAGACTCACCAATGTTTCTATCAAAAGATACAGGCCCTAAAAAACTCTGCAATATTCACAGCATTTTGGTCAGAATGGACAAAAAAAGTGGTTCACGCCGAGTTATCATTTTTTGCTCAACAGCGGCATTCTAATCCATTGGGCTATATGCAAAAAGTGGCGGAAGGGTATTTTCAAACTTAAATCCTACGTGATCCCTTGGGGCTAGGGAAAAAAAAAGAACATCAACATATTCCTTACGACTTGAACTAATTATCCCTCGGGGGGGGGGGGGGGGGGGGGTCGATTCTCAAAAGTTGGACAATTTCCGAGTTGCCATGGAAACACATTTAAATCACTGTTTTGACCAAGATATGTTTAGAAATTTGAAATGACTCCCTTTTGGAAATATGGGAATTAATCTGCCCTTTCATATGACACCTCATTTATTGAGTATCACCTTTAGGATCACAACAGATTAAGGTTTGAATCTAAATTTATTTTTAAAAACTTGACCAATTTTGCAATGCACATAGACTCTACAGGGATGTGTGCAATGTTTATGGGAAGGGTTTTAGCACACAAAACGTGGTGCGCGATCAGACACCATACAAGTATTATAAAAAAAAAAATACATTGATATAGAAACTATCTATGCAAACTTTCCCCGGTGATCGAGCTCGAGTGAGACAATGCCCGAGCACGACTGTGCTGCCAATATTTTAAAATTCGGCCGATATGTTGTGATGAAAATGATTTTCTGACTTTCGAAAGGAAAATGATGATGAATATCTCAAATGATTGGTGTTCAAATTGAGGGTCCCTTAAACTGCAAAACAAAGTAACATGTCTAGTGATCATGCACTCTCTCTCTCTCTCTCTCTCTCTCTCTCTATATATATATATATAACCCCCCCCCCCTTATCCCTCTCTCTCTCTCTCTCTCTCTCTCTATATATATATATACATAATATAACCCCCTATCTCTCCCTCTCTCTCTCTCTCTCTCTCTATATATATATATATCTATATGTATACATGATATAACCCCCTATCTTTCTCTCTCTCTCTCTCTCTCTCTCTCTCTCTCTCTCTCTCTCTCTATATATATATATATACATTTCTATATCTATATGTATACATGATATAACCCCCTATCTCTCTTTCTCTCTCTCTCTCTCTCTCTCTCTCTCGATATATAAATAACCCTCTCTCTCTCTCTCTCTCTCTCTCTCTCTATATATATATATATATCTATATGTATACATGATATAACCCCCCCCCCCCCCCCTCTCTCTCTCTCTCTCTCTCTCTCTCTCTCACTCTACTACTATCTCCCTCCCTGCCTCCCTCCCCCTCTCTCTCTTTAATTGTTCTTCTTTCCCCCTATGTTTCAGTCTCTGTTCAGACTTCATTCTGCATGTTTTACCCCGTTTCGGACCAAATAATTGGTGACAATTGCCTTTTCTCCGCCCGAATGTGCAGGCATGCCAGCGATAATGTCTATAGCCTCGTTTATTGTCAGTACGAAGATTGGGTATTAATAGGTTGTTAGTATAATGATGATTAATCTAATAATATTGTTAAAGCACATGGTACTGGAGAGTCTCTATGCGCTTTCTCGAAGCAATTTTGCACATGACGTAATTAGTGCCAACCATCAATAATAAAGGAAAGACCCGCTTAGGCCTCCCTGAAAGATAAGCATAATGAGTCGTGGGTGATTGATGAGTCAATTAAGTTCGTGAAGTCAAATAATTACTAGAAAACGACAATTTCAGTAAGATATAATGACTACCTGTATTGTTGTGAGTCCATTTCTTTTTAGCTATTTACAATCATGTACATTCAATATCAAAGACGTTGCATTTTCAGACAAGGAGAGACCTCCCCCTTTTTTCAAGAAAAAATATGATGAAACCGACTATCAAGTAAAATTGAACGATACTCTTGAAATAATTAAATAGACATCCATTCATGGTCATAATGAGAACATTTTCTTTTGTAAATTGCACAAATGAATGACATGTTCTCTTGTCTGAAGGTCAAAGGTCAACAGGTCAAATTTCTCGGTCTGTATCTTCGATCTAATTTGGCTATTAGTGTTATTCAATCAAACCCGTGTTTCACCTCTTTATCAAAAAGGCCACCTGTCTATCGTGGTCATGCATGTATTTCATTGACTTTCTCGAGAATGAAATGTGATGTAAAACCTGGAGGTGTTTCACAAAGATTCTAAGTCGAACTTAACTCTAACTGAAGTTGGACTTAAATATTATGGAGAGCCATTTGTAGCCTTATAATGAAATTTATTCAGAAGCAAACATTCAAGTATTTTAGACTTTCATAAATTCAACATCAAGAACATGAAATCTTCCATGATAATAGAAAAAAAAAGGATTAGAATTAACATTTTATTCCTTTTATAATAACTTATACAAAATATTTTCAAGGATGCTAACGGCTTTCCATGAATGTTAAGTCCAACTTAGAGATAAGTTCAACTTAGTATTTTTGTGAAACACCCCCCTGTATATAAATAGGCGCCACCTATTTACAATGGCCGCTTTATCTGTTTGCCTTGGATGACCTTAATAGACGGGTTTGACTATTGGATATACAACCTAACTCTTTTTCAGTCTGCAAATCTGTCAACTTGCGTCTGAGGAAGATGTCTGAACTCTAAACATCGGAAATGTTTATACAGGTAAATTTCCCTCTTGGATGTGATATTACAAGAACTTTTAAATAATTGTTGGTCAAACATTTTTTGAGCGTCATGCAACGCCTGGCTGGAATGCTCCCCAGGGAGTGGAGATTGTGCACACAGTGTGTGCGGGCAAGCACTGAATCCAATGACCGGGTATTTGTAAAGCGCTTAGAGACATTTGTAATAAGCGCTATATAAAAATTAAATATTATTATTATTATTAATCATCATTAAAACCATCACCTGATGAAACCTCATGATCTAACTAACTTTATTTTCACCTTGACCGATTTGGTGAAAATGAACCAGTCACGTTTATCATCGACTAGCTGAAAGCTCTATAAAGCTTTCCCCTGAGATGGCAAGCCAAACATCATACAGGCCTCTAATGTCACATACATTAATACGTCTGCTGAGCAGAGACAAATAATCCACGATTCATCATGTTAGACCATTAACATAATGGATCGCTAGAGGCAAATTGCCATTAGAGATGGCGATTTAAAGGGCAACCTATCATTTGTGATCAATTCAACTGTGTAAAGGCCAAACGATAAGAGAAACAAGATGGCGAAAGTTTGAAATAAATCAGACCAATAATAAAAGCATTATGTTCAAATATGAGATCACTGAGTCTATGCGAATCTCAAATTGGCAATTTGGTCAGTAGATCGTGACGTAGTCACGGACAAATCTCTTGTTTGTCGTGTATACTAAAAATATCAATAATTTATGGAGGGGGGGGGGGGGTCTTAAGTATACTTTCTCCCTTGAAGCAATAATCAATATAATATATTATGAATAGTATATTTTTATAGATCCTCTCGAATCACACATTTTGAAAAATGTACATATTAGTTTGTGTGTTGGAACAAATGGGAAAGTTGTCCGGCCCTGCGTCAATTAAGGTGACATTACAGATTCAACCAATTTGAAGCGCCCACACGTAATATTGATTACATCATTGATAAATTTTACTTTTATTTGTGTACGATTTTATTCAAACTCGTCCACTCCCTTCCTCCGGTTTGTCTGCTTTTCTTTAATGCCTCATCACACCTTTGCGTAATTGGCTTGCGGTTTGATGCGTATTGATGGCAAGCCGCTTAAACATTCATTCATATTTCTTGATACCAAGAATTACCATTGCTTTACAACGTAAACTCATATCTTGATATCAAGAAATAGGAATAAATGTTAAAACGGCTTGCCATCAATACGCAAGCCAAATACGCAAAGGTGTGACTGAGGCAAAAGTGTAATAGAGTGGTGAAGTGTGACGTCATCAAAAATCTATTTTTAGAATTTCTCAATTTTTTCTTCATATTCCGAAATAACATCAAAAATAATGTCCAAATGTCGATAACCAATTGAATATGTTAAGTATTGGCTGAGATATGACCATCTGAATGAATATATGTCCTATAGGAACTCAGTGTTATATTCTCTGGCTCCTAACCATTAGGAGCCAGAGCATATAACACTGAGTTCCTATGGGGGTATATTTATTCAGATGGTCATATCTCAGCCAAAACTTAACATATTCTATTGGTTTTCGATATTTGGACATTATTTTTGATGTTCTTTCGGAAAATGAAGAAAAAATTGAGAAATTCTAAAAATAGATATTTATGACGTCACAGCTTCGGTACTCTATACCGTTGTCCATTAATATTAGATTTTCCATTAAAGTGATGAAGTAACTGCAATTACAATACGAATATCCGTGGGAGTATACTTACACTGTTAATATGTATTGGGTTAAACGGATAAAGATGAGGGTACTAAGGAATAAGGGCTATGACGTATTGTACACCCAACGTGGGTGATGTTTTGAATAACAAACGAGCAAAACTTGCCTTCATGTCAGGCTTGTTCTTAGCGGGTTTTGTATTAATTTTAATTGTTCGTTTTTTAATCTTTTATCTTTTCAAAGAGGTCGTTTAAAAACGATCCATGTCATTCAGTGTACAGGCTTCCATGTGGATTTAAAACAAAACACTTTATAATTCATTTCAAGTCAAAGACGTTCCATTATAAAAATATTGAAATACAAACAACACGTATGCCGGTTGGGGGTCTGCTTGCTATCCATAAGGACCGCTATTTATAAAAGACCGCTATTCATTTTAGTCTCGCGTTATGGATTTGAGCAGTCCTTATGAATAGTTGTCCTTATGAATAGCGGTCCTTATGGATAGCGAGCTTGACCCGCCTGACGTAGGTGGGGGGAGGGGGCGACCAGGCCCACAATTACTTGCCAGTTCTGTCAAATTATACTTAGGAATTCAGGATACGGTATCTGACAATCTTGATAAAGGAAAGAATGTGAATTGTGTTTCAGCCGTTTATGCCACTTTGTTAGATACTCTACACAAGGTTCTTTAGATACCACACACTAACTTAATCTCCGTTTTCCACATTAGTATGGGGTAGATATACCGAAGGCTTCAAGATTATTCAACTGTCGCTAGTGCAAGACAAATCGATACTGGTGTTGGAAGGCTATACAGTGCGTCCCAGAAAAAAAGAAACCGAGAGTTATCGATGTTTTATCATAACTTAATCACAGTTATAATTAATAAATGACAGTCATATTTGTAAAGCTTAGATCCTCTTCTTTCATTTGATGCAACTCATATGATGCATATTTCACGCATGAGTGATTAAAAACAATTTGAAGAGAGGAAACCGAAAAGTCATTTGGCGGGCGGTATCTGAATATTAAGGAGAAAATCACATTTCTAGAAAGTTCACATGACACCTCAAGTAGGAAAAAATGAGCCAGGAATAACAAAGTTCTGTTTTTTCAAAGTAATGCTTGAATTTCCATAATTTGATTAAACGAGTTCATTTTCACTGATCAGCCATGCACAAAGAATACGAAAGACTTAATACATGGCTGATCGTCAACGAAACGAAGTTAAGTCTTTTGTCAAATCTGTTTGTTGCTACGGCAGGCAGCTAGTGAAAACGAACTCATTTAATCAAATTATGGAAATGCAAGCATTAATTTAAACAAACAGAACTTTGTTATTGCTGGCTCGCTTTTCCTGATTGAGGTGTCATATGAAAGGGCAGAAACTTAACTTTCTAGAAATGTGATTTTCTCTTTGAAATACGGGTGATTTTGCAAAGCCTTTGTAACGTTTGTGTCGTACAAAGCAATATTCCTTTTTATTTGTGCTTTTATTTTTGTGCTGATCGGCAAATGAAGGTTACAAATCAACAATGTGAACTCTATACACATTCTTTAGAGTTACAGTGCATAGAACATAGTTTCTCGAGAAATGGGGCAGGAGCTGTCTGTAACCCCAAACATCATAGCAGACTCGATGGCCCTTCATAGGCACGGGGTCTGCTCCAATCCGGCATTTAACTTCACCTTAGAAAGTGCATGAAATTCTCCTTGAAGATCACTTCATTTGCATCTTAGGAAATGCATGAAATTCTCCTTGAAGAAGACATTGGTGAAAGCGTATAGGAATGGGTTGATGGCAGAATTCGACCAAAGAATAAGAGAAACGACATTATCTACAACAACGCTGTAGTTCCCCCATGAAGTCACGAAGGTATAGCAGTGGTAGATGTAGAAAGGTGACCAGCATAAGACGAAGACAATTAGAAGAAACGTCAGGAACCTTGCCGCTTTTCGATGTTGGAAACCTGTTGCTGAGCTTCCGTGAATCCGTATGTCATTTAATCTACAGGAGCTGGTGCGAGTGCGACCATCCTTAAAAGGAACTTCACTTGATCCCAACTGGTCCATACTTAACCTTGGTTGGAAGTTGCTGGAGCGTCGCTTCAGTTGGAAGTACACTTTGAGATTCAAAGAAAAGACACAGAGACCAGGCACCAGGTACCCCACCACGGACATCATCGAGATGATGACAACGTCATTTCCGTACCCAAGGTCACACGCGGCTATTCTGTTTTCATCATGCATGAATCCTGTCCTGGAGGAGTAGGTGAAGGCCAAAGTCGAATGGGCAGCTAGACAGGTTATCCAGAGGATACTGCAAATGATGGCTACCTTCTTGCAGGACTGTCTCGAACGATGCCGTAGGGGATTCTGTACCATAAGGTACCTGTCGACGCTGATGGCGATGATGGTCAGCACGGATACAGTTGTTGCAGAGTAGTCGAGCACCCACGCTAAAATACAAAGCAGTCCTCCAAAACTCCACGTTCCTGTGTAAAAGCTTCCTGTATTAATCACCAGGACAACCCCCACAAGTAGATCGGCCAAAGCTAGGTTGAGGATATAGGCGTATGTTATGTTTTCCCGAATTCTGCTGTCCCTCATGTAGGCCATTAGGACGAACGTGTTGCCGATAAAAATCATAACCATACATGGTACATAAAACAAGCTCACCAACACGAAGCGAAGATAAGAAATTTCATGATGTTCTTCAAATATATCCTCGGTAATATTATGGTGATCCATTATGATCTGATATGGGTGTCAGCAGTTGTAATATAACTTAACCTTGCTCTGGTGAAGGTCCTTGTGTTAGAACAGAGCCACTGTTGAAATCCATTCCGAACTATTACGTTAAGAGTAATTCGAATAGTACTTCAGCGCCGTTTCCTTGCCAGATAAACACGCTTCATAACATACCCCGCAGTTGTATTTGGCCCTCCAGTCAACAATAGATCACCCGAAATGAGACAGTTGAGCCAAATAAGTTCCCTAGCGAGATAGATGAGAGCAAGTATCATAAGGTGTCCACGACGGATTGAGAAAAATCGCTACATTGCGAGTCAGATGCCGGCTAGCTCGTGATCATGAATATTAAATGAGCATCTCTGATTGGGGGTAATCATTATTCGAGCTCGTAAAACAATCATCCCCTTGTGCCTCATTACAAACAAATGCACGGCGCCTGTACTTGTGGCACAATAACATTGTTTTCTTTGAAGGGTCGTGAATCGCAAGCTACGTCTTGCTATACGATGAAGTAGTTTCCAAATGTCCTTATATATTCTGCTGGTAGGGTATAACCTTGTTTTGAGGAGGAGCTGAGCATAGTGGTGTATCAAGTTTACGTTCGTGCCTATATACAGTGCGTCCCAAAAAAAACGAAACCGAGAATTATCGACGTTTGATGATAACTTAATCACAATTATAATTGATAAATGACACATATTTGGAAAGCTGAGATCCTCCTCTTTCATCTCATGTAACTCATATAATGCACATTTCGCGCATAAGTGATGAAGGGATGGGCAAAATGATTATGATTTTATAGATAAAGAATTAAAAGAAATATTTGTTAGACCAAAAATTACTATACTCACTAGAAAACAACGAGAGTTTCAATTTAAATTATTGCATGGAGCCATATATACTAATGAGCATCTTCATAGATTTGGTTTTGTTGGTGATAATTTATGTTCGTTTTGTAACCAGGAAATAGAAACATACAAACATTTATTTTTATCTTGCGGGAGCGTTCAAAGGATATGGCAGGTTTTAGTGCAACTTTTTGAGTTAGATGAAATTAAAGATGGCGAGATATATTTGTTGGGTTGGCAGGAAGTTCATATAGAATAAAAATGTGTAATACTATCATTTTCATGGTGAACTATGTAACATTTATGTCAAGATCGGGGGGGGGGGCGAGTACCAACTTTAGAAAAGATGAAAAAAAAAGCATTTTTAAGTATAGGGATGAGGAAAAGAAAATAGCAATTAGAATGGGAAAGTTGGGATCACATTTCTTAAAGTGGGAGCAGCTTAAGATTAATTAAGATTTGTTTTCTTCTCCACCGTAAGCCTGTTAAAAGTGTAACTCTATTTTGTGGCCTGTATAACTTACTTATTTAGTATATTTTTCTTGAGTTGAGAATGTTAGCAGACATCCACTGAGTGAGTAGTGTGTGTGTGGGGGGATGGGTAGGTGAGTATGTGTGTGGGTGGGTGGGGTGTTTGTGTGAGGCAGGGGACAGGGCCAGGGAGGGGGCAGGGAGGAGCAGGCATTGTTCCAGTTAAAATTACCTCCAGATTTGTTTAAGTTGTTTTATTTTATATAAGTGAATAACATTTACAATTGACATATATATTATGTTTAGGTACTTATACGTTTACTTTGTTGCTAAGTTATATATATAGTTGTGCAAATGAGCTTTTGTTTAATTATGTTTATGTCAAAGCAATCAATGATAATAATAATAATAATAATATTTATAAAGCGCATCATATCCATCTCTAGAGATGCTCAAGGCGCATACAAATAGTTTAAATTAATATTCAACATACTTAAGATTAAAAAATATTGAATGTTAACTGCCATTAGATCATACAAGTTCATGGTGCCAAGGTACATACAATGCGGCACAGTGTTATTGTTTGTTTTGCATGCATTGTATAAAAAGAACATTGAAATTTAACAATATTCATTGAGCATCAGGTGAGTTTTAAGCCCAGTTTTGAAAGTAGAGAGAGTGTTGGCCGTCTGAATAGAGAAAGGTAACTTATTCCACAAAGAAGGAGCTGCTGATGCAAATGCTCTATCCCCCCCCCCAATTTCTTTTGGTACGTATTTCTTTAAGTCTAATATTATGTGATGAACGTAAACCAGAACGACCTGCGGAGTGTGGTGATAGAAGGGATGAAATATATTCTGGAGCTAGATCATTTAGTGCACGATAGGTTAAGAGTAGAATTTTATAGATCACACGCTGTTGAACAGGAAGCCAGTGCAGAGATTTCAAGATAGGGGTGATATGTGATGATCTTCTGGTGTTAGTTACAAGGCGAGCAGCAGCATTCTGAACTTTTTGCAATCGGTTAATTTGGTTGGCGGGTAGCCGAAAGAGTAATGAATTGCAATTATCAAGGTGCGAAGTAACAATATTGAACAAGTTTATTTTATTCAATTGTATGTTATGGTTTGTATTATACATTTGGAGAAATAAAACAAAATTGCTTTTAAAAAAAGGTGTGTGTGCGTGTGTGTTTGTAGGTGTTTGTAACTTAAGTGGGAGTGCACGTAGCTCTGTGTGGTATAGTGGAGTGGAAACAAATATAGCCTTTACAATAAAGGAAACCAAGAATACGAAATAGAAAACAAAATTTTGCAAAACTGAGTTGCAATGTGACCAAAATTTGACAATTGCCTACTGCATGTTGAAATCAGTTACACTGTCGCTCATAAAGGTGGAATAATTTTTTTTACCCCAATTTATGGAATTATTTTAAAAATAATTTAAAAAGAATAGATCTGCATAATAGTATACATACTCAGATTTTATTGAATAACAATTTGCCAATGTTTGTTTTGCGTGACCGCTAAAGCATGTGTATGCTACTATGCTTATGAGCTAGGGGACCTACGCCCTTAAGTCATAAATGACAGTAATGAGGATTAATGCCCCACAAAAGGGCACTAATATAGCACATCGACACGGTTTTGATCCTGGGGCCTCACAGTTACGAGGCCATTGCTTTGTCACTGAACCGGGGGCTAGGGTAGGGGGCAGTTTCCATAAACTAAAAAAAAAACAGAAAATGCAATAAATTTTCAATAATTTATTACATTTTACCCCGGTCCCTAACATAAAAAATCCTCTGGACGGCCATGCATTATGGCTCAAGGCATGTGCACACATTGCAATAGGCCATTTTCTTAATGTAACCAAATTTAATGCATGAATCTTTGTGAAGTGCCTCAATACAAATTATTTCATTCACCCGATAAGAGTAATAGTATTACAATAGACATAATCCGAAGTGCATACATTAGTTGTTGCCAGGTAGGACACACATTATGGCTTGATCTATAGATCAAGCCATAATGAATACCTAGCAACACTTAATATATGCAGTTTGCATTCTGACTATTGAAATACCATTATTCTTATCACAAAGACTTATGTATCAAATTCAGTTACATTACGAAAATGGCCTATTGGTAAGTGGCATCTCCCATTTGCTTGACAATTTTCATTGGGGATCCAAATTTCACTTCACCTAAACAAAACACGGTCGGACATTATTTTGTTCGGAGATTCATTTCGTGTTCAGATTTACAACCGGGGTCAATTATATTAGAGGTTTAGGGCTAGGGTTTTATTCAGGAGGCTTATAGTTTGCCGTTGAAATTACGAATTTGGTTAAAGTACAATGACCGCGGGTTGTCGGAGCATTTGGTTGTACAATCGTGCTTTAATGGGGGATATAACGTCTATTCACAATTCATTACTAAGATAAATATGATGTAAATTCATATTTTCGATTAGTTACAGCCAGCCTTACTTTATTCTACATATATTCTTTTGTCATGTGTAAATTTGCAATGTTTGTTCGTTATATATTTGTAAAAATGGCAAAGAAAAAGAAAATCAAACAGAAATAAATAAATCAAATTAAATCAAATCAACATCAACTGTAGCTAGGCTAGGCTAAGTAGTTATTAGGGACTTTTAGATTTACACAAAGACAACGCGGATTGCTACGATCTACGTCCTTTTAATGCACTGCCTTGAATGGACGTCACACGTTTCAGTCCACGCAAATCTAAAAGTCCCTATTAACCCTTTCATGACGATCATTGTGGTTTGAATCAATAACTTTTGATTCAGAGTTCTAAACATGCCAGATGCAGGAGAAGAAAAGTCAATCATGCTGCACACACAGCATCCATGTTTATTTCATGACGTCTGGTCCAGGAAATTTGAAAATGAAACTAAAATTTAAAATATTTAAATCGGCACAAATATAGAGATCATAAAGAGTTGTTTTCAAACAAATTTTTATTTTCAACTTTTCAACAACATTCAGGCCCATGTATATTGTTTTCAGAGAAATAACATTTTATGTTTTAATAATTATAAGCAATAAAAGAAACATATATATTAATGTTGCCAATTTGAATAAAAACATATGATCAATCAAGCACCCAAATAAAGCCTCTTATGTAAGGGTTAGCGAATAAACTAATCGAACCGGCACTTCATTCAGTCATCCATTAGCAATCAGCAATAAAGCGCAGGCAACAACCATCAATCAGTCACTGACAGAGTCAGAAATAATGCAGTGCTGAAATGAGCTGCTGCTGTTCCAATTAACTTCAAATACATGTATGCGAGGTATTGACACAATATCAGATACTTGCAATACACTTCCAGACATACGAAGCGTCAGTTAAGCAAGAATTGATTAAACAGAGCATACATTGGCAAGAAGGCCCACGAAAGTGACTCGACTCGGTAACATTGTTGAAGGTTGATGAAAAAACTGCGTAATTTAAGCATGAAATGTTACTTATTAAATTCCTTTTACTGTACTAACACTCTAACATGCAAACATTCCTGAAACAATTATCAAACCACAAAGATATTTATGTGGTTTTTTTTAAGGCGTCAATGTGCAACACCCTCTAACAGTAAATTCTCCTATCCATTTGTACATGAAAAAAAAAACATAAGGCAGGCTTTTTAAAAAGCATTCAGTGACACCTAAAATGTAACTAAATGTTAATAATAAAGTTGGGAGCATTGAGGACTCGATCAAATCAATTTTCCCAACTTGTATCATTAATAATGGTCTGTTTTCACTCAACCTTTCAGATTATCTTTAATTGTACATCTAGCATTGAAGTCACTACATTAGCACCATTTTCTCTCATCTTAACACTGTTACCAATTCCCTTTAATACAGAATGATATCTATATTGTATATTTGTTACCGGGATTTATCATTATAGACATTTTATCGATAATAAACAGACACCGTCACTCAAGTTACTCATTCATTTAGTTACTTAATCGGGATTTCGACCCATCTTCGGAATTTATGATGGTGGTAAGCATATACTTTTTGGTTCACCTAGTAACAAAGTACAAGTAGAAAACAGCACAATTTTATATCACGTTAGTGTAATTTATAGTCCCACTCAAAACTGGTGTTATTTAATGTGAAAATAATGAGGGGAGCTGGATTTATCACTTTTTTAACATTAAATTTTGCTCTTTCAATAGATCATCCATACAGTTAACAAACAAATTATACACTTATAAACTTTTTTCTTTTCTTTTTCCGTAAATCTTAGAATGAAAGGTGGACTGTTTGAATGAGGTTTTTTGTTTAACATGGTTAGATTTAAGCTTTATTTCGTTTGTCACATTTTCAAGAAACATAAATCTGGACAAATTGATTTCTCTCATACTTATTAAAGTACAAAACCCGGAAAGGGTAGGAATGATTCAGCTGCTACCTTTAAACACTGTCGCTCATATAGTTGGAATATTTTTTTTACCCTAATTTATGAAATTGTTTTGACAATGATTTATTCCTAATAGATCTAGATAATAGTATACATTTTCAGATTTTATTGAATACTAATTTGCCATTGTTTGTTTTGCGTGACTGCTAAAGCATGCTACAATGCTTATCAACTAGGGGACCTACGACCTTAAGTAATAAATGACAGTAATGAGGATTAATGCCCCGCAAAAGGGCACTAATGTAGCACATTGCTTTGCCACTGAACCATGACTGTACGCAGCGGGGGCTTAAAAAAAAAGAAAATGCAATAAAATATCAATAATTAATTGAATTCCCCCCGGTCCCCAACATTAACAAATATTCTGTGTGCCCATGCCTTGAGCCATAAAGTAGCGAGCACTACTTTTTTTTTTATATAAAACTCAACACCCCCTTGAGCAGTAAAAAAAAAAAAAAACAGGAAAAATGTGGTTAACATCATTTTTAAACTTTTTTTTTGCCAGGGGTGGGGGCCGTGCCCCTAAGCCCCCAGCCTTGTACCGCCACTGTCTGTATACTTCATAAGAACAAATTGAAGTCAAACAAACATAGCAGACGTAAATAATCATATCTGATCGATAGACGTCTGTAAAAACCCAATTACACACACGCGCACTCATTAGAAACAAAGGTTATGAAAACAAAGATGAATAACTTAAGACAAAATATGAATACAATATTGTGGAGCGTAAGTTCATTCTTTTATCATGAAGAAACCAATAATCTCTGCATATTAAATTTGTCTGTGATTTGAACTAAAAAGAGAGTCTTTTTTTTAACCAAACTCGTTGTCTTTAATTACTTGCATCTCAGAAACTGCTTGAAATTCTCCTTGAAGAAGACGTTGGTGAAAGCGTACAAGAATGGATTTATGGCAGAATTCATCCACAGAATGAATACCACGAGATGGGTAAGCGCTTCATTACGAGCACCGGATAGATGGAAATACGTATAGCAATCGTTGATATAGTAGGGCAACCAGCATATTGTGAAGACAATCAGAAGCAATGCCAAGAATCTTGCCGCTTTTTGGTGTTGAGAACCTGATGCGCTTCCATGAATCCGCATGTAATTGTTTTCCGAGAAGGTCGTCTGAGACGCTCTATCATCCAGGGGAGCTGCATATGATACTAGGTGGTCTCGACCTTGCCTGGTTTGGAGCATGTCGGTACGTCTCTTCAAACGATAATACACTTTGAGATTCAGGGCGAAGACGCATATGGCAGGAACCAGGAACTCCACCAAGAACATCATAATGATGACGCCCAGATTCTTTCCGTACCCAATGTCGCATGTGGCTATTCTGTTCTCATCATGCACGAATCCTGTCCTTGATGAGTAGGTGAAGGCTAGAGTCGACTGGGTAGCTAGACAGATTATCCAGAGGATACTGCAAATGATGGCTACCCTCTTGTGGGATTGTCTCGATAGATGCCGAAGGGAATTGTGCACCATAAGGTACCTGTCGACGCTGATGGCGATGATCGTCATTACAGACATGTCCGTCACTGTGTAGTCCAGCACCATGAAGATGATACAAGACGCCCCGCCAAACTCCCACTTACCTGTAAGATATAAAGGAAAATGAATTGCCATGACGACACTCACAAGAAGGTCGGCCACAGCAAGGTTGAGAATATAGGCGTTGGTTGTATTTCTCCGGATCCGTTTGTCCCTCTTGTACGCCAACAGGACAAAGGTGTTTCCGACAAAAATGACAATGGCACACGGCAGAAAGAAGACACTGACCAACACATAGCGAACATATGATATATCATGTTGTACTTCAGATATACCTGTGGTAGTATTGTAAGAATCCATCATTGTCGGATATGCAATTTGGGCATGAGGCAATTCTAGAGTCTACAGCAACGCCCTGTGAACATTCAGAAGCAAATGATCCCTGTAGAGAGTGGGGTAAATCGCAAAGATATACACTTCTGAGTATATTATCATCAGTTATGGGATTACATTACTTCAGGAATTCTTTTGTCCGATTATAATGATTCCTCATAAAGTAATTTTGTCACGAAAATATATAGAAGGCGACAAGCTGTGAATGTTCAGGGTAAAGAAAAACCCTGACTTCTCGTAAAGGGTGAAAGTAAAACCGTGGTGCTGAGGTACAGTTATAGGCGTGTTGAGGTACGTGCGTGTATCCTTGATCAAAGTATGTAACGAAGATTCATCATAAGAGTTTGGAAAATCCCAGCAGCCGCGTCCAGTGACCTTTGAGAACACACTAAACTTGTTTTCTGGTAACGAGTGAAATCTAATGTGAACACTTGCTGAAGATGTGCAGTTCTCTATCCAAATCAAATTATATGAACTGCGTCACGGCGATGTTCAAATGTGATTCATTCCTGAGGCTGAGGCACATGTCACCCTTTCCATCTGTCAAACATGAATGATAAGGATAGCAAAATATTTGATCCAATAATAGAACTTATGGTTAATAATAAGCACCAATGACACTCATGGAGCAAAAGTGAGACTCGGTGAAGAATTACAAATGTCCCCGGGAAAAGATATACCACTTTGCAATTTGCAAAGCTTGAATGTCGAAAGTCTCGAGGATCATGTATCAGGTTCAGTAAGTAGTTGAATAATTTCCAATGATTCACTCGTAAATTGAAGGTTAAATCGTTGGTCTATTCCTAGTTAAGAAAAATAACATAATATCAGCGTACAGCAACCGCCAACATAAACCTATTCACAAGGTGGGCCATGTGCAGTTTGTTTTCAAGAGAGGCTCCAAACCGTAGCCTTCGTTAAATAATTCGCATCAACGAGTCCTGATTGCCCTAATGTACCCCGTACATGATCAGTCGCCCATCAAACCGAGTCCAAACCGACATAATAATTTGCCATTTGTGATAAGCTAATCTTTTAGTTCTGGTTAATGTTTCGTCTAGGATCGTTCTCCTTAAGCTGACTGCTCTTCGAGGCATATTGTTTCTTCAGCCTGTGTTCGGGTGCCTGAATGCGTGTGGCAAGTTCAACGAAGCGCCCAGCGTCAGGCTAGTCGGATATCAATCAGCCGTTGCAGACATGAGCTCGAGTGTGACCATGATGACGTTTCACTCCTGTCTTCCAATCGTAAGGATGGCTTAACTTGTTTAATAAATTACTTGGATGAAACGAACAAATGTGATTACGTCCGCAGGGGATCATCTCTAAAAGCCACCCTCGGCTAATTTGATCACTTTTCTGTCACTTCATCCCCTTATTAAATGACCAGTGGGGGCGATTCACAAAGCCTTTTTTCGATGACAAATGACAAAAATCATTGATAAAATATCTACCATTTGTTTACAATAATAAATTGTCATTTTAATTATTCTGCAACTCGCTTTGCTCTCGATCGCTTTCAAAATCTAAATTGAGTAAATTTGAACTTCGAGCATGAATCGTCACATTAAAAAAAACCTGGGCGAAGAAGTAATTAAAAGGAGACGTACCAATATTTGTAAGCACTTTAACATTTCGCAATTTGCGTCAGAGCGTAATCGAGGCGACGTTTTACGATTGAAGATTATTAGCTTCTGGATTACTAGATTACGAACGCTGGTGTCTTTAAATAGGAGAGGCATAACCGGGCTGTGCCCTCATCTTTATAATTTGTCGTACCCCCCCCCCCCCCCCCCATTTACGAGAGGCACATGTAGAAAATGAATGCAAATAAACCCTGAACACCCCAATAAAAAATAGAAGCTCCTTGCCAAGGTGAGTTTCATGACTTTGCCCAAAAACTTTCAGCACAAGTGACGTAGGCTTGTAATAACTTTTTGCTTCTTCTGGAGGTTGATACTGCCAAAGGTTCGCTCCCGAAGTTAGGTCCGAATGCTAAACCCAAAGGTTCGCAGTTCCGATCGAGGGTTCGTCACTATGAGGTTACGTAATCCGAAATTAAATAGGGCTCATATAATTCAAAAAATGAAATGGAACATGTACAATTTTCGGAATTACTAACTCTATTTATTTTGTATGAATAACCAAGATTAACCGATCTTTGGAATAATTATTAATTGTTATTAAGTATTTGGCTTCACTTGTGCCTGGAAGGGGAAAAGCAACCTGAATCAATATGACCCACGGGTCTCTCCTTCCGGTATAACTGATTGGGGTTGTGCAGTTGTTATTAGGCAGGTTTTCCTTCTCAGTTTATAAAGTGCTATCCATGTGGGCCCTGCACAATAAAAACAATGCATACAAAATATTTACACACTAGAATAAGTACAAATATTGAAGACATAAATAACATTATAAACAAAGGTTATGAAAACAAAGCTGAATACAATATTGTAAAATGTATGTTTATACTTTTACCATAGAGAAACGAATGCTCTCTGCATCTTTGTTTGTGATTTGAACTGAAAAGAGAGTCTACTTTCGTCAAACTCGTTTGTCTTCACTTGCATTTCAAAAACTGCTTAAAATTCTCCTTGAAGAAGACGTTGGTGAAAGCGTACAAGAATGGATTTATTGCGGAATTTATCCACATAATGTATGACACTAGGTCGGTAAGCGCTTCGTTATGGACGCCAGAGCAATATAAAAATGCATAGCATTCGTTGATATAGAAGGGCAACCAGCAAAATATGAAGACAATCAGAAGCAATGCCAAAAACCTTGCCGCTTTTTGGTGTTGAGAACCTGATGCGCTTCCATGAATCCGCATGCCATCGTTTTCCCAGGAAGTTGTCTGGGATGCTCTATCATTAAGAGGAACTGCAGTTGACAGGTGGGATCGACTTTGCCTGGTTTGGAGCATGTTGGATCGTCTCTTCAAACGAAAATACACTGTGAGATTCAGGGCGAAGACGCATATAGCAGGAACCAGGAACTCCACCAAGAACATCAAAACAAGGACGACCGGACTATGTCCATACCCAAGCTCACACCCGGCAATTCTGTTCTCATCATGCATGAATCCTGTCATTGAGGAGTAGGTGAAGGCTAGAGTCGAATGGGCAGCTAGACAGGTTATCCAGAGGATACTGCAAATGATGGCTACCTTCTTGTGTGATTGTCTCGATCGATGTCGTAGGGAATTGTGTACCATAAGGTATCTGTCGACGCTGATGACGATGATCGTCATTACAGACATGTCCGTCGCTGTGTAGTCCAGTACCCATAATACGACACAAGACGCCCCGCCAAACTTCCAAGTGCCTGTAAGATATACTGGAACATAAATTGCCATGACAACACTCACAAGAAGGTCGGACACAGCAAGGTTGAGAATATAGGCGTTGGTTGTATTTCTCCGGATCCGTTTGTCCCTCTTGTACGCCAACAGGACAAAGGTGTTTTCGACAAAAATGACAATGGCACACGGCAGAAAAAAGACACTGACCAACACATAGCGAACATAGGATATATCCTGTTGTACTTCAGGTATATCTGTGGTAAGATTGTAATGATCCATCATTGTAGGGTATGGGGTCTGGGCATGTGACAATTCCAGAGTCTACAGCAACGTCCTGTGAACGTTCAGAAGGAACTGGACCCTCGTAGATAGTGGGGTAAATTGTAAAGAGGTACACTTCTGTGTATATAATTGGGTTTACATTACCTCAGGAATTCTTTTATCAGGTTTTAAGGATATCTCGTAAAGGGTGGAGGTATTACGTGGTGTTGAGATACAGTTATTGGAGTGTTGAGGTACTTGCGTGTATCCTTGATCAACATAATATAACGATGCTAGAGAGAGTTTGGACAATACCAGCAGCCGCGTCCATGCAGAGGCCTTTGAGAACACACTGAACTTATTTTCTTGTACAGAGTGGATCTGATGTGAACGCTTGGTGAAGATGTGCAGTTCTCTATCCAAATCAAATTATATGAGCTGCGTCACGATGATGTTCAAATGTGATGCATTCCTTAGGCTGAAGAATTAGTGAAGAATTAGAAATGTCCCCGGCAAAAGATACCACTTTTTTTTAATTTGCAAAGCTTGAATGTCGAAAGTATCGAGGATCATGTATCAGGTTCAGTAAGTAGTTAAATAATTTCCAATGATTCACTCGTAAATGGAAATTAAATCGTTGGTCTATTCCTAGTTAAGAATAATAACATAATATCAGCGCACAGCAACCGCCAACATAAACCTATTCACAAGGTGGGCCATCAAGGGAGGCTCCAAACTGTAGCCTTCGTTAAATAATTCGTATCAACGAGTTCTGATTGCCCAAATGTACCCCGTACATGATCAGTCGCCCATCAAACCGAGTCCAAACCGACATAATAGTTTGCCATTTGTGATAAGGTAATTTTTTAGTTCTGGTTAATGTTCGTCTAGTGTAATTCTCCTTAGACTGACATCATATATAAATGAAGTGCTGGCCGCCATATTTCAGTCACACAGCCAAAACCGATTTCATGCCGACCCAAAATTAAACGATTCATGGCTCTTCGAGGAAGATTGTTTCTTCAGCCTGTGTTCGGGTGCCCGTGTGGCAAGTACAACGAAGCGCCAAGCGTCAGGCTAGTCGGATATCAATCAGCCGTTGCAGACATGAGCTCGAGTGTGACCATGATGACGTTTCACTCCTGTCTTCCAATCGTAAGGATGTCTTAACTTGTTTAATAAATTACTCGGATGAAACGAATAAATGTGATTACGTCCGCAGAGGATCCTCTCGAAAAGCCACCCTCGGCTAATTTGATCGCTTTTCTGTCACTTCATCTCCTTATTAAATGACCAGTGGGGGCGTTTCACGAAGCCTTTTTTCGATGACAAATAACAAAAATCATTGATAAGATATCTACCATTTGTTTACAATAATAAATTGTCATTTTAATTACTGCAACTCGCTTTGCTCTCGATCGCTTTCAAAATCTAGATTGAGTAAATTTGAACTTCGAGCATGAATCGCCACATTAAAAAAAAACCTGGGCGAAGAAGTAATTAAAAAGAGACAGACCAATATTTGTAAACACTTTATCATTTCGCAATTTGCGTCAGAGCGTAATCGAGGCGACGTTTTACGATGAAAGATTATTAGCTAATTCTGGATTACTAGATTACGAACGCTGGTGTCTTTATAGAGGAGAGGCATAACCGGGCTGTGCCCTCATCTTTATAATTTGTCGTACCCCCCCCCCCCATTTACAAGAGGCACATGTAGAAAATGAATGCAAATAAACCCTAAACACCCCCCCCCCCCCCCATCAACAGCTCCTTGCCAAAGGGAGAGTTTCATGACTTAGCCCCAAAACTTTCAGCACAAGTGACGTAGGCTTGTAATAACTTTTTTTTTTCTTCTGGAGGTTGATACTGCCGAAGGTTCGCTCCCGAAGTTAGGTCCGAATGCTAAACCCAAAGGTTCGCAGTTCCGATCGAGGGTTCGTCACTATGAGGTTACGTAATCCGAAATTAAACAGGGTTCATATAATTCAAAAAATGAAATGGAACCATGTACAATTTTCGGAATTACTAACTCTATTCATTTTTATGAATAACCAAGAATAACCGATCTTTGGAATAATTGTAATCATTATTAAGTATTTGGCTTCACTTGTGCCTGGGAGGGGAAAAGCAACCTGAATCAATGTGACCCACGTGTCCCTCCTTCCGGTATAACTGAGTGGGGTTGTGCATTTGTTTTTAAGCAGGTTTTCCTTCTCAGTTTATAAAGTGCTATCCCAGAGGGCCCTGGACAATTAAAACAATGCATACAAAATATTTACACACTATAATAAGTCCAAATATTGAAGACATAAATAACATTATAAACAAAGCTTATGAAAACAAAGCTGAATACAATATTGTAAAATGTATGTCTATACTTTTACCATAGAGAAACGAATGCTCTCTGCATCTTTGTTTGTGATTTGAACTGAAAAGAGAGTCTACTTTCTTCAAACTCGTTTGTCTTCACTTGCATCTCAAAAACTGCTTAAAATTCTCCTTGAAGAAGACGTTGGTGAAAGCGTACAAGAATGGATTTATTGCGGAATTTATCCACATAATGTATGACACTAGGTCGGTAAGCGCTTTCGTATGGACGCCAGAGCAATATAAAAATGCATAGCATTCGTTGATATAGTAGGGCAACCAACAAATTATGAAGACAATCAGAATCAATGCCAAGAATCTTGCCGCTTTTTGGTGTTGAGAACCTGATGCGCTTCCATGAATCCGCATGCCATCGTTTTCCCAGGAAGTTGTCTGGGATGCTCTATCATTAAGAGGAACTGCAGTTGACAGGTGGGATCGACCTTGCCTGGTTTGGAGCATGTTGGATCGTCTCTTCAAACAAAAATACACTGTGAGATTCAGGGTGAAGACGCATATAGCAGGAACCAGGAACTCCACCAAGAACATCAAAACAAGGACGACCAGACTATGTCCATACCCAAGCTCACACCCGGCAATTCTGTTCTCATCATGCATGAATCCTGTCATTGAGGAGTAGGTGAAGGCTAGAGTCGAATGGGCAGCTAGACAGGTTATCCAGAGGATACTGCAAATGATGGCTACCTTCTTGTGTGATTGTCTCGATCGATGTCGTAGGGAATTGTGTACCATAAGGTATCTGTCGACGCTGATGACGATGATCGTCATTACAGACATGTCCGTCGCTGTGTAGTCCAGTACCCATAAGACGACACAAGACGCCCCGCCAAACTTCCAAGTGCCTGTAAGATATACTGGAACATAAATTGCCATGACAACACTCACAAGAATGTCAGCCACAGCAAGGTTGAGAATATAGGCGTTGGTTGTATTTCTCCGGATCCGTTTGTCCCTCTTGTACGCCAACAGGACAAAGGTGTTTCCGACAAAAATGACAATAGCACACGGCAGAAAGAAGACACTGACCAACACATAGCGAACATAGGATATATCCTGTTGTACTTCAGGTATATCTGTGGTAAGATTGTAATGATCCATCATTGTCGGCTATGAAATTTGGGCATGTGACAATTCCAGAGTCTACGGCAACGTCCTGTGAACGTTCAGATGGAACTGGATTCTTGTAGAGAGTGGGGTAAATCGCAAAGAGGTACACTTTTGTGTATATTACCTCAGGAATTCTTTTGTCAAGTTATAATGATTCTTCATGAAGAAAATGCATGTATCCTTGATCAACATAATGTAACGAAGATCCATCGTGAGAGTTTGGACAATACCAGAAGCCACGTCCAGTGGCCTTTGAGAACCCCCTGAACTTATTTTCTTGTAAAGAATGAATTCTGATCCAAGTTTAGAACATCGTTAGTGAAATAAGCACCGATGACACCCATGAAGCAAAAGTGAGACTTGATGAAGAAAAGATAATTCCAAAAGCTTGAAGGTCGAACATATGGTGTATTACTCACGTATCAGGTTTAGTAAGTAGTTGAGTTAGTTTCAAGTGATTCAAACGTAGATGGAAGTTAAATCGTAGTTAAGAATAATAACACAATGTAAGCGATTACACAGCAACCGCCATAGTATACCGATCCACACGTATAACAAGGCGGGCAAGTCACCCATCAGACCGAGTCGAAACCGACATAATAATTTGCCATTCGTGATAAGGTAATATTTTGGTTCGGGCTAATGTTCGTCTAGAGTCGGTCTTTTTTGACTGACTGATATGAAATTGATGAAGCTCTGGCCGCCATACTTCATGCGTCCATACCTGAGGATTCGAGTACATCCATCCTTTTTCATTCATCTTAACGGACTGGCGACGCTCCATGGACCAACGCCCTTCGTTTTTGTCTATCTTTTTTCCTCGTTCACTTCGCTCTGTCAACTTGACGTGACAAATTAAACTGTCATCGTGCACGTGATTTAATATTCTTTTTCTCGTTTTTGAGTGATGAGACGGTAATCATCCACCTTGTCACGACAAGCAAGATAAGCAATAACAGATACCACTTCAAGCTGAAAGAAAACACTTGTAACTGAGGACGTGTCTAGACATATTTAGACAAAGAGAGAGGGGAGATAAGAAAGAAGAGAGAGAGAGAGAGAGAGAGAGAGAGAACAGAGGGACAGCGAGATTTAAAGAGAGAGAGAGAGAGAGAGAGAGAGAGAGACTGTCGACTGTCACCTCACCTACACACTAAGAAAAAATGGTGCAAGTATGCACCTTTAGGGGTGCAAACCGATGCAACAATAGCAGCAACTTTAGGGGTTAAATCCTGCACCCTTTTTAAAGGTGCAATCCTGCACCCATTAAAAGGGTGCCAGATTGAACCTTTTAGGTGAAATAGCACTCTTTATGGTTCATTCCTGCACCTTTAGGGGTTCAAACCGATGCAACACTAGCAGCACCTTTATGGGTTCAATCCTGCACCCTTTAAGAGGGTGCCAGAGGCACCTTTTAGGAGACATGTTAGTACCCTTAATGGTTCAATCCTGCTCCATTAGGGGTGCAAACCGATGCAATAGCAGCAACTTTAGAGGGTTCTATCCTGCACCCTTTAAAAGGTGCAATCCTGCACCCATCATCGAGGAATACTGGTAAAATTTCCTCGTACACAAATACATATTAAACATGCATGATGTTTCTTGGTTAGTAGTCATATAATCAATATATTTATTGCTAAAACGTGAATGTAATTGTAACATGATCAGACAAAATAATGTATTGGTTAATGATTGCCAAAGGAAAATACAAATCACAAAATTGATGTGCATTGTCATAATTTACTTAACAAATCATGATAAATGTATCTTTATGTGAACATGTGGAAAGTAATCATGAATATGCATGCAATATGCAAACTTTTATTTTGCACCCTTTTTTGGTCGATAGGGTTCATTTTTGTGGGGAGGGTGCAAAATCTTATATTGCACCCTTTTTTGAACCCCTTTTCCTTCAATAGGGTGCATTTTTATGTTAAGGGTGCACACTCTTATTTTGCACCCTTTTTTGCACCCTTTTTTTCTTGGAGTGCATAGGCACTGATATATGTCCAAATTTCTTACATAATTGTCTAAAATATGTTATCTACCATTTAATTTTAATGAATCTTTCTTTGTATATAGGCATTGATATATGTCCAAATTTCTTACATAATTTTCTAAAATATGTTATCTACCATTTATTTTTAATGAATCTTTCTTTTGTTTGTTATATATCACTTCGCTCTCAATCGCTCATAAAATCTAGAATAAGTAAATTCGATATTTGAGGAAGAAGCGTAAGCCAGTAATTAAAAAGAGACGGACCAATATTTGTAAGCCCCTTGAAATTTCGCAATTTGCGTCAAAGCGTAATCGAGACGACGCTTTACAATTGATGATTATTAGCTTCTGGATTGCTAGATTACGAGCACTGGCCTCTTTAAGAGGAGCATAACAGGGCCGTGCCCCCTCCCCCATTTTAAAACCCAAGTGGCTTACCTTAATACCTGTGTGGCATGGTAGAAAACCCTAGCTATATTGCGCCCCTCTTTTACAAAATCCTTGAATCGCCCCTGCTTTCGTGTTGTAATATAGAGCATAAGGCCAATTTGGGTTGACATTTGTGGCGTTGGTTGCGCCAGGGAGCCATCTCCGTAATATGAAGGCAAACAAAATATTCAATTCAATGACGCACATTTTGCCACAAATGGTATTGTGAATACTAATGGACCCTTAGATGAAAAAAGTGATGATGACCAGGGGGTGTTATACTTAACCATCAAATCGATCCGATCTATTTTAAGGGCCTAACATTGATTTCGATTTTAGTTGATGAAACACCCCCTGGGTGTTCAATCCCACAAGTTGATATAATTAAAATCTGAACAAAATATATAGTAATATACAAACGAGGGGGAGGGATGTCTTTGCTACCAGAAGCGCGACATCAAAAGGGCTATGGGGAATGCATGCACACGTGCTCCTTCAGATGTTATAGTGAAATATTCAACCTTAATTATGGCTAAAAGCTGAGACACAGGGCCTGCGGGAGTGCTGTACATGCTGAAGACTAATTGCTACTAAGATATTTAAGCCTATTTTTGTTTATAAAGGTCGGGTGAAATCCAAATATAAGTTGACTCCTGTCAAAGTGCAGGGCTGCATACAACTCATATTTTGTTACTACAACATCTAAATATCTTTCATATATTGTTAAAATAATTTTTTTAAATAATTTTCTCAAACCTGCTAAGCTCCGCCCTAAAGAAATGTTCCAGATCTCATTCATTGTGCAACATCATCCGTCAATCAGACAGTGGTATGTAACTTCACCCAGCTCAGCACAAGCTCACACAAGAATTGCGTTCTTTCATACAATACCTCCACATTACCTTTCCTGGTGATGCTACAGCACGTCTGACATAGCAACTCTTATGTTGATAATGTATGGTCTATTGTAAACAGGTGGTCAGCTCTGGTGGAGCTACATGCCACTGTCTCTTGTAAGCTCACTAATGATTGACAGATTATGTCACAAGATGAGTGAGATCTGGAACGTTTATTAAAGGTGGAGCTTAGCAGGTCTGAGAATTTTTTTTTTTTTAATATTTGAAAATCTATGGAATATATTTAGATATTTGAATAACAAATTATGAGTTGTACGCAGCCCTGCACATCAACAGGAATCAAATTATAATTGGATGTCACTTCACCTCCAACCACACATAGCTGCATTACTATCCTGGCTTTGTATTAAACCCGGCCCCCCCCCCACTCAGTGTTATTTAGGGTACGCATATGCGTGTTCCAACCGACCCCCCCTTTTCAGCAAAAGTCCGGTGTGTAAAGTCAATACGGCTCGACCTTTTTCTTTTGTATACGAGCCTTTTTCAGCATCCCCCCCTTTTCAGCAAAAGTCCGGTGTGTAAAGTCAATACGGCTCGACCTTTTTCTTTTGTTACGAAAAGGACATTTTGGCAACACGCATGCGGTCATTTTGAATCCTAAGTGGGGGGCCGGGGTATTAAAAGCTGTGCTATTGATTCTCAACATTTTAAACACCACTGTACAAAACTCAACTGATTTCACTCAAAATCGGTACTTTAGTGACAATTGATGACACCTAAATAGCAGTAAAATACAATTTTTTAAACCTACCGATGTTAGAAAATGTAAGTCTACTGTCAAACTTGCCGATCAGCCACATTGGCATAATTGTGTGCATTTGTGTATAATGAGTGTATTGACTCTTCATGTGTGCAAATGCTGCCTATTAGTAACACGTAGTGCAGTGCTAAAGGTCAATACGCATTAACATTGACTTTCTATGCTTTAATTGCTGGAGTGCCTTCAACGTTCTATCGGTTCTTTTCGAATGGGCGGGGGAGGGGATCTACCGGGCCTGGTTTTTGTTTTCATTTTTATTTATTCATTTATTTCCTACATGAAGACACAGTAATTTACACGACTTGATTATTGTACTCAAAGCAATCGACAAATTGCTCTAATCTTTTTGCGTAGAAGTCCGTTCTAAGCATTATGAAATCGGATTTGGCTATCGAAAAAACGCAGAATTATCAGAATGATAATCTGTTTCTTGAAACATATTATGCAGGGGCGGATCTAGCTTTTTGCTAAGGGGGGGTTGACCAAAATAATGACGATGCGGAGCATCGTCCACGAGCCGCGAAGCGGCGAGCCGATTTTTTTTGGGGTGTTTATTTGAACCCCGTAAGTGATGTTTTCCTGGCATCTATTAACACAATGGAGACCATAAAAAGCAGTGCATGATAACGTCTTTTTAAATCAAGTAACAGTTAAATACACAGTTATATCCAGAGTTATCATGTGTTTGGTTAAGTTACCTGATGAGTTGAATATCTTCTCACAATATTTGCACTTGAAAGGGTTTCTCTCCAGCGTGCGTTCTTTTTTCTTTCTTTTTTTCTTTCTTTTTTTCTTTTTTTTTCCTTTTTTTTTTTTTTTTTTGGGGGGGCCGCCCAAGGGGGGGTTGCAACCCCCCAACCCCCCCCCCCCCTGGATCCGCCACTGTTATGTTAACCTGTTTTGGGGGCAATGCTTTACCCGAGAATGGCACATATTTGGACCTTGGACTTTCTGCTTTTATTTCCGTGCACCTTGTGGCGCTCTTAATCATCTTCTTCTTCTTCTTCTTCTTCGGCTGCTGGTACCTCTTCTTCTTCTTCTTCTTCTTCTTTTCCTTTTCTTTTCTTCGTATTATTATTTGCATTATTATTATTGTCATCATCATTATTATTAACATTATAATTATAAACATCGTAATTATCATTATCATCATCATCATCATCATAAGTCATAGTAGTAGTAGTAATAGTAGTAGTAGTAGTAGTAGTAGTAGTAGTAGTAGTAGTAGTAGTAGTGGTAGCATGATTATTATTATGAACTAAAATTGACCTCTACACTTCTTTTTCCAGTGTGAGTAAAAAAGAAGTCTACACCTAGAAAATTGCTAATAATTTTAAAAATCATCTATCAACAGTAAATTATCATCACATCTTATGAAAAAGTGTTTTATCCCAAATGATTTTGTGTGGTATGTGTTTACGCTTGGATGAACAGGAGACATTGTTCAAGAGAGTACACAAATCGACTTGCTGTTTTTTTAAATAAATTAAATGGCATTTTCTATTTATTTATTTATTTATTTCGCATCTTTATACAGAGTATCATGTTCAGCTACATAATCATTACGAAACATTATTAAAAACATTAAAATAGGCTGGTTTACAACAGGGCTATGTTTAAAAACAACATAAAAATGACAATGAACAATATTATATATAGAAATGACAGGGGTAACGAAGGCTAACACACAGACACACACACCCACACACACACACACACACACACATTTTAAGTTTTACCTTAAGATTTTATATATTTTTTGTTTTTTTGAGGCCGCCATCCTTGTCAAGCTATGCTTATGATTGCGGTCTCCTACACTTTTTCAACAGAATAGTTCGGATAATACTTTAATCTTATGATAATTTGTTATGGAAATATTAATTTTCGTTATTATATATACATATATTATGTTTAAAAAAACATGTTGACATGAAGAAATTATTGTTTGTTTATGTTGTATAATACCTTACAGTCATTATGTTCTTTGTTATTCAGTAATATTATATTTGGACAAATTGCAGAAATAAAATAAAATAAAATACATGCCTATTCCAAAATCGTTTTAATGAATATTCGATCTTATAAGGTTATGCACAAGTTTTAGGCCGTTCAAATTGCAAAATGTATAGTATAACAGTTTTGCTATTGAAAAAATTGTTCGATCATATCAATTTCAACAAGGGAGAGAATGTTATGTTTAGAATCATGTGCATGCGATTGAACCTATAACTTAGAATATGCAGAGTGCAGCTGCTCATTATTATTCATAAGATGCACACTCACAATGCAAGTGAATGCAAGGGTCTTCTCTACACAGATTGGTGCACACATGTAATTTGTACATGTATGGAACCACACCCATTTCTGCAGGCTCATTTTTCTTTGTCTCTATACTTTATTTAGCCTAATAGTTATTTCAAATGTAAAAATTAACAATGTAGGAGTCCCTCAAGGTACCAAGTTGGGGCCTATATTATTTTCAATTATGGTCAATGTCAATGATGCATGTCATGATTGTTTACTCCCTTTTTATAAGTTTCCAACTCCCAACACACCACATCGGATCACTATTATAGCGGATCAACTGGAAGTAGACAGCGTATCATTAGGGACTTTTAGATTTACACGACGAGAACGTGGACCGCCACTTGTGACGTCCTTTTAAGGCACTGCCGAGCACGGCCCAGTGCCTTAACACAATGTCACACGCGGCAGTCCACGCTCTTGTCGTGTAAATCTAAAAGTCCCTATAAAAAACAAAAATCGACGTGATGAAGACGAGATAGAAATTCGACGAATGGATCTATTCTACCCAAACGACGAAGTACAACAGCGCCAGCTAACGGGCGATAAGTCAACGCCGTTTATCCGAACATCAGAACTTACCCACTGTATATAACGTTTATTGATCTTGCCTCACACTAAACGCTTGAAAATTAATCTTTAATTAACCTTTAATCTTACTGGTCAGTGGGGAAGAAGGAGAAGAAACAGAAAAGAAAGACAGAGAGAAAGAAATACATAACTTTTCAATGATTTGAGTGGATGAAATAACTTAGCCTATCCTAGCTACAGTTGATTTGATTTGATATGATTTGATTTATTTATTTCTGTTTGATTTTCTTTTTCTTTTGCATTTTTACAAACATATAACAAACAAACATTGCAAATTTACACATGACAAAAGAATATACACTGTCGCTCATACAGTTGGAATATTTTTGTTTTACCCCAATTTATGGAATTATTTTGACAATGATTTATTCTTAATATATCTAGATGATTGTTTACATTCTCAGATTGTATTGAATAATAATTCGCCAGTGCTTGTTTTGCGTGACTGCTAAAGCATGTGTATGCTACTATGCTTATCAACTAGGGGACCTACGCCCTTAAGTCATAAATGACAGATATGAGGATTAATGCCCCACAAAAGGGCACTAATACAGCACATCGACACGGTTTTGATCCTGGGGCCTCACAGTTACGAGGCCATTGCTTTGCCACTGAACCATGACTGTACGCAGCGGGGGCTAGGGTAAAGGGCAGTTCCCACAAATAAAAAAATAAAATGCAATAATTTTCAATAATTCATTGAATTTCACCCCGGTCCCCAACATTAAAAAAATCCTCTGTACGACCATGCATTATTGCTCAAGGCATGGGCACACAGAAAGTTACGAAACTTCGTAGTAACGAACCATCGATCGGAACTGCGAACCTTCGGGTTGAGCATTCGGACCTAACTTCGGATGAGCGAACCTTCGGAAATATGTACTTTCAGAACGAAAAAAAAGTCATAACAAGCCTGCTTCACTTGTGCAGAAAATTCTATGCGCAAAGTCATGAAACTCACCTTGGCAAGGAGCTGTTCTGTTTTTATGGGGGTGTTTAGGGTTTCTTTGCATTCATTTTTGTACATGTTCCTCTCGTAAATGGGGGGGGGGGGGGTAAAGGACAAAATTAATACTAAGGTAAGCCATTAGGGTAATAAAGAGGGGCAAAACCCGGTTATGCCCCTCCTATATAAAGACGTGAGCGTTCTTAATCTAGTAATCCAGAAGCTAATAATCTTCAATCGTATAACAAAAAAATGCACCTCGATTACGCTCTGACACAAATTGCGAAATGTTAAGGTGCTTACAAATATTGGTTTGTCTCTTTTTAATTACTTCTTCACCAATGTTGGGGGGGGGGGTTATGCCCCTCCTATATAAAGACGTGAGCGTTCTTAATCTAGTAATCCAGAAGCTAATAATCTTCAATCGTATAACAAAAAAATGCACCTCGATTACGCTCTGACACAAATTGCGAAATGTTAAGGTGCTTACAAATATTGGTTTGTCTCTTTTTAATTACTTCTTCACCAATGTTGGGGGGGGGGGTTATGCCCCTCCTATATAAAGACGTGAGCGTTCTTAATCTAGTAATCCAGAAGCTAATAATCTTCAATCGTATAACAAAAAAATGCACCTCGATTACGCTCTGACACAAATTGCGAAATGTTAAGGTGCTTACAAATATTGGTTTGTCTCTTTTTAATTACTTCTTCACCAATGTTGGGGGGGGGGGTGACGTTTCTTGCTCGAAGTTTAAATTGACTCAATCTAGATTTTGAAGGCGATCGAGAGCAAAGCGAGTTATAGTAAACAAAATGACGAATTATTATCGTAAACATAATGGTAGATATTTGGAAAATTATGTAGGATATGTTCGAACATCCCAATGCCTGCAAAGAGGAGGTGACAGTTGAATCTCTATCTCTCTCTCTCTCTCTCTCTCTCTCTCTCTCTTTCAGCTCCCCTTCTCTCTTTGATTGGCTAGATAGGTCCTTTACGAGTGTTTCCTCTCAGCTTAAATCTGGAAGTAGTATCTGTTATTGCTTATCTTGCTTGTCGCATGTCGCGACAAGATGGATGATAATACCCTCTCATTACTCAATAACGAGAAGAAGATTATCAAAGCACGGGCACCATGAGAGTTTAATTTGTCATGGCGATTCGGCAGAGCGAAGTGAGGGGGAAAAAAGAAAATAAACGAAGGGCGTTGGTCCATGGACCGTCGCCAGTCCGTTAGATGAATGGAAAAAGATGGAGGTACTCGAGTCCCCTAGTCTGGCGGCCATAGCTTCATTAATTTGATTTCAGTCAGGCTAAGAAGACCGACTCTAGACGAACATTAGCCCGAACTAAAATATTACCTTATCATAAATGGCAAATTATCATGTCGGTTTGGATTCGGTTTGATTGGTGACCGATCAAACTGGAGTCTTAAAAACGAACTTCACATTGCCTGCCTTGTTATGCGTGTGGATTGGTTTATTATAGCGGTTGCTGAGTAACATCTGACCCTGACATTATATTATCGTTCTTAACTACGATTTAGCTTCCATCTACCGGTACGTTTGAATCACTCGAAACTAACTCAACTACTTACTGAACCTGATGCGTTATACACCATACTATCGACCTTCAAGCTTTTCGAATCGGTGTATCTTTTCCTAGGGAACTTTTTTCTCTTCATCAGGTCTCACTTTTGCTTCATGAGCGTCATTGGTGCTTATGGATGTTCTAATATTGGATCTAATATTTTTCCACCCTTATCGTTCATTTCTGACAGTTGGAAATGGTGTGTGCCTCAGGAATGCATCACATTTGAACATCGCCGTGAGGCAGCTCATATAATTTGATTTGGATAGAGAACCGCACATCTTCACCAAGTGTTCACTTCAGATTTCACTCATTACAAGAAAATAAGTTCAGCGTGTTCTCAAAGGCCACTCGACGCGGGTGTTGGTATTGTTCAAAATCTCACGATGGATCTTCGTTATATAATGTTGGTCAAGGAAACACGCACGTACCTCAACACGCCTATAACTGTACTTTAACACCACGTTTATATTACATCCACCCTTTAGGAGTAATCGGGGTTTTTCTTACCTTGAACATTTTCAGCTTGTTGCTTTCTTTCTATATATGATATACATTATTGTGACAAAATTACTTCATGATGAATCGTTATAACCTGACAAAAGAATTCCTAAAGTAATGTTATCCCATAACTGATAATAATATACACAGAAGTGTATCTCTTTACGATTTACCCTACTCTCTACAAGGATCAGTTGTTTCTGGACGTTCAAAGGACGTTGCTGTAGACTCTGGAATTGCCACATGCCCAAATTGCATATCCGACAATGATGGATTCTTACAATCTTACCACAGATATACCTGAAGTACAACAGGATATATCCTATGTTCGCTATGTGTTGGTCGGTGTCTTCTTTCTGCCGTGTGCCATTGTAATTTTTGTCGGAAACACTTTTGTCCTGTTGGCGTACAAGAGGGACAAACGGATCCGGAAAAATACAACCAACGCCTATATTCTCAACCTTGCTGTGGCCGACCTTCTTGTGAGTGTTGTCATGGCCATTTATGTTCCATTATATTTTACAGGCACTTGGAAGTTTGGCGGTGCATTTTGTGTCGTCTTGTGTGTACTGGACTACACAGCGACGGACATGTCTGTAATGACGATCATCGCCATCAGCGTCGACAGGTACGTTATGGTGCAAAATTCCCTACGACACCGATCGAGACAATCACACAAGAAGGTAGCCATCATTTGCAGTATCATCTGGATAACCTGTCTAGCTACCCATTCGACTCTAGCCTTCACCTACTCCTCAAGGACAGGATTCCTGCATGATGAGGACAGAATTGCCGCATGTGATCTCGGATATGGAAAGAATCTCGTTGTTCTTGTTATGACGTTCTTGGTGGAGTTCCTGGTACCTGCTTTATGTGTCTTCGCCCTGAATCTCACAGTGTATTTTCGTTTGAAGAGACGTACCATCATACTCCAAACCAGGCAAGGTCGATGCCACCTATCATCAGCAGTTCCTCTTGATTATAGAGCGTCCCCGACAACCTCTTTGGAAAACGATGACATGCGGATTCATAGAAGCGCTTCAGGTTCTCAACACCAAAAAGCGGCAAGGTTCTTGGCATTGCTCCTGTGTGTCTTTATACTATGCTGGTTGCCCTACTATATCAACGAATGCTATGCATTTTTCTATTCCTCAAGCGTCCATACGGAAGCGCTTACCGACCTAGTGTCATACATTATGGCATACATTATGTGGATAAATTCTGCAATAAATCCAATCCTGTACGCTTTCACCAACGTCTTCTTCAAGGAGAATTTCAAGCGGTTCTTAAGATGCAAGTGAAGACCCCTTTGAAGACAGGAAAGATTGATGAAAGAAGACTCTCTGTTCAGACAAAGATACAGAGAGCATTGGTTTCTCCATTATAAAAGTATTAACTTACACTTTACTTTGTCTAAGAGTGTAATTTTTGTATATACATTGTTTTTATTGTACAGGGATAGCAGTTTATAAACTGAGGAGACAACCTGGCTGAAATAGAACTGTAAATAAATGAATTAATAAATATCTATTACATTAAAAAGATAATGGTATTGGTTCTTACGAAATCGAAAAATAACGACGAATACACACGTACTACATATTTTCGTCCAATTTAGGATCTCTGTTCATTCTTGCGAGTAATTCTAAATGCTTACCGTCATAAACTTAATTATTCACCGCTGTTCTCCGAATACTAAATTATTCCATATTGATCATTGATTGGTTTACGAGTTAACGGACGGATGAGGGGCAATCGTTTTCGTAGGTTTATATTTCCGGGAATGTTTACTTTAGCCAAAGATTCATTCGAATCAAACCTGGGGGGGGGGGGGTGTGGTATGGCTGAAGCATGAGTTGTTTCTTAACGTGCCCCTCTCCTGTTTCAAAGACACTGTTAATGTTACCGTGTAAAATACTCCGTTCCTCGGAAAGGAGGTTAGATGAAGACACCGCGTAGAGGAGAGTCACTATCTTTGCATGCACGTTAAGAACCCATTGCATAATTCCCATAAGTGTATGGCAAACCTGGTGAAGTGGTCAACATGCCCGCAACCCCAATCAGCTATACCGGAAGGAGAGACCAGACCCTAGGGTCACATAGATTCAGTTTTTTCTTTCCCTTCCCAGGCACAAGTGAAGTCAAATACGTAATAATAATTATTCCAAAGATCGGTTATTCTTGGCTAATCATAACAAATTAAATAGGGTAAGTAATTCCGAACATGGTCCATGGTTCCATTTCATTTTTTGATTTATATGAACCCTATTTAATTTCGGATTATGAAACTTCGTAGTGACGAACCCTCGATCGGAACTGCGAACCTTCGGGTTGAGCATTCGGACCTTACTTCGGATGAGTGAATCTTTGGCAGTATCAACCTCCAGAAGAAAAAAAAATTATTACAAACCTATGACACTTGTGCTGAAAGTTTTTAGGCAAAGTCATGAAACTCACCTTGGCAAGGAGCTGTTCTGTTTTAATGGGAGAGTTTAGGGTTTCTTTGCATTCTTTTTCGACATGTGTCTCTCGTATTGGGGGGGAGGGGGGGGGGGGTAGGACAAAATTATTACTAAGGTAAGCCATTAGGGTTACAAAGAGGGGACACAGCCCGGTTATGCCTCTCCTATATAAAGACGCCAGCGTTCGTAATCTAGTAATCCAGAAGCTAATACTCTTCAATCGTAAAACGTCGTCTCGATTACGCTCTGACGCAAATTGCGAAATGATAAAGTGCTTACAAATATTGGTTTGTCTCTTTTAATTACTTCTCCACCCAGGTGTTTTTTAATGTGACGATTCATGCTCGAAGTTCAAATTTACTCAAGCTAGATTTTGAAAGCGATCGAGAGGAAAGCGAGATGCAGTATAAATAAAATGACAATTTATTATTGTTAACAAATGGTAGATATTTTATCAATGATTTTTGTCATTTGTCATTGAAAAAAGGTTTTGTGAAACGCCCCCACTGGTCATTTAATTAGGGGATGAAGTGACAGAAAAGCGATCAAATTAGCTGAGGGTGGCTTTTCGAGATGTTCCTCTACGGACGCTATTACATTTGTTCGTTTCATCCGGGTAATTTATTAAACAAGTTAAGCCATGCTTACGATTGGAAGATAGGAGTGAAACGTCATCATGGTCAAACTCGAGCTCATGTCTGCAACGGCTGATTGATATCCGACTAGCCTGACGCTGGGCGCTTCATGGAACTTGTCATACGAATTCAGGCACATGAACACAGGCTGAAAAACAATCTGCCTCGAAGAGCCGTGAATCGTTCAATTTGGGGTCGGCAAGGAATCGCTTTTGGCTGTGTGACTGAAATATGGCGGCCAGCACTTCATTAATATTTGATGTCATTCTAAGGAGAACGCCCCTAGACGAAAATTAACCAGAACTAAAAGATTAGCTTATCACAAATGGCAAGTTATTATGTCGGTTTGGACTCGGTTTGATGGGCGAACTACACATGGCCCAACTTGTGGATAGGTTTATTTTAGCGGTAGCTGTGCTTTGACATTATGTTATTATTCTTAACTAGGAATAGTCTAACGATTTAACTTTCATCTACGGTTGAATCATTGGAAATTATTCAACTACTTACTAAACCTGATACATGATCCTCGATACTTTCGACATTCAAGTTTTGCAAATTGAAAAGTGGTATATCTTTTCCCGGAGACATTTTTAATTCTTCACCAGGTCTCAATTTTGCTCCATGAGTGTCATCGGTGCTTATTATTCACTATAATGATGTTCTAATATCGGATCTAATATTTTGCTATCCTTACCATTCATTTTTCACCGATGGAAATGGTGACATGTGCCTCAGCCTCAGGAATGCATCACATTTGAATATCACCGTGAGGCAGCTCATATAATTTGATTTGGATAGAAAGCTGCACATCTTAATCAAGTGTTCACATCAGATTTCACTTTTTACAAGAAAATAAGTTCAGAAAATAAGTATTCTCAAAGGCCACTGGACGCGGCTGCTGGTATTGTCCAAACTCTCACGATGGACCATCGTAGTATACGTTTATCAAGGATACACGCACGTACCTCAACACTCCTATAACTGTAATTCAGCACCACGTTATTACCCGCACCCTTTACAAGAAAGTTAGGGGTTTTTACCCAGAGACATTCACAAGTCGTCGCTTTCTATATAATTATGATATGCATAATCGTAGCAAAACTTCTTCATGATGATGCATTATAACCTGACAAAAGAATTAATAATATACACAGAAGTGTATCTATTTACGATTTACCCCATTCTCTACAAGAATCCAGTTGCTTCTGAACGTTCACAGGACGTTGTTGTAGACTCTGGAATTGCCACATGCCAAAATCCCATACCCGACAATGATGAATCCTTACAATCTTACCACAGGTATACCTGAAGTACAACAGGATATATCCTATGTTCGCTATGTGTTGGTCACTGTCTTCTTTCTGCCGTGTGCAATTGTAGTTTTTGTCGGAAACATATTTGTCCTGTTGGCGTACAAGAGGGACAAACGGATCCGGAGAAATACAACCAACGCCTATATTCTCAACCTTGCTGTGGCCGACCTTCTTGTGGGTGTTGACATGGCAATTCATTTTCCTTTATTTCTTACAAATAAGTGGAAGTTTGGCGGGGCGTTTTGTATTGTTTTGATGGTACTGGACTACACAGCGGCGGACATGTCTGTAATGACGATCATCGCCATCAGCGTCGACAGGTACCTTATGGTGCACAACTCCATTCGGCATCTATCGAGACAATCCCACAGGAAGGTAGCCATAATTTGCAGTATCCTCTGGATGACTTGTCTAGCTGCCCATTCGACTCTAGCCTTCACCTACTCCTCAAGGACAGGATTCCTGCATGATGAGAACAGAATAGCCGCATGTGACCTTGGGTACGGAAAGAATCTGGTCGTCCTCATTGTAATGTTCTTAATCGAGTTCCTGGTTCCTGCTATATGCGTCTCCGCCCTGAATCTCACAGTGTATTTTCGTTTGAAGAGACGTACCAACAAGCTCCAAACCAGGCAAGGTCGAGACCACCAAGTATCATCTGCGTCTCGGACAACCTCCTTTGAAAACGATGACATGCAAATTCATGGAAGCGGATCAGGTTCTCAACACCAAAAAGCGGCAAGATTCTTGGCATTACTTCTGATTGTCTTCACATTATGCTGGTTGCCCTTCTATATAAACGGATGCTATACATTTTTCAATTCCTCTGGTGTTCAAAATGAAGCGCTTACCCATCTAGTGTCATTCGTTCTGTGGATGAATTCTGCCATAAACCCATTCTTGTATGCTTTCACCAACGTCTTCTTCAAGGAGAATTTTAAGCAGTTTTTGAGATGCAAGTGAAGACAAACGAGTTTGGTGAAATAAGACTCCCTTTTCAGCTCAAATCACAGACAAAGATGCAGAAAGCAATGGTTTCTCTATGATAAAGTATGAACTATGAAATTATAAAGACAAGGAGGGTGCACTGTAAAAAAAAAAGTTGAGCAGACGTAACTGGATAAATCGAATTTGGAAACATTCTGTCCGATAATTGGGTTATTATCTCCCAACCATTTAATATATGACTTTACCTAATGTTAGGTCAAAATAATGGTTGGGTTGGTGTTACTTGGCAAATCGATGTTGGGCAAATGTTGTCCAATAATTGGGTTATTTTCTACCAACCATGTAGTTACCAATGAAATAATTGGGTAATGATATTGGACAAATTAAATTTGGGCGAGTTTTTTTCCAGCAATTGGGTTATTTTTTCCCAACCATTTACTACATAGTTACCCAATTAAAATATGTTGAAAATTGGTTGGGCAGATGTTACTGGGCATACGTAAGTCGAGCAACAGTTATGGAACAATAGGGTTCTACTCTTATATTAGAGGTGTCGTGGTCGTGTGGATACGTCACAGGACTGTGGATCACAATGTCCGCGGTTCGAATCCCACCGCGGCACTAATGTCATTTTATATATAATATTTATCATATTTTATCCAACTTATTTGCCCAACTAGTGTCAAGTATGCTACACATTATGGTGAGAATTGGGTGAATTTCTGATTGGGTAAATTTTTGTTGGCTAAAAGTTGGGTATTTTCTTTTTATCCAACACTGGGTAAATCATGCAAAATCTTGAATTTACGCAACAGTTGGTTGGACACATAATCGCCCTCATGCTGTGTAAAAATTGGGCAATCTTTTGCCCAATATTTTTTAGAGTGTGGCTGAAGCCTGTGTCGTGTGTTATCGTGCCCCTCCCCCGTTTCAAAGACACAGTCTATGTTACAGTGGAAAACACCCCAACCCTCTGATAGGACGTTAAATGAAGGCACTGCGGACCGGAGAGTCACCACCTTTGCATGCACGATAAGAACCCACTGCACGATTCCTGTAAAGTGTAGGGCAAACTCTGGTTAAATGGTCAACCTGCACACAACCCCAATCAGTTATACCGGAAGAAGATACCCGTGGGTCACAGTGAATCAGATTGCCTTTCCCCTCCCAGGCACAAGTGAAGCCAAATACTTAATAATTATTATTCAAAAGATCGGTTATTCTTCGTTATTTATGAAAAATGAAATATGGTTAATGATTCCGTAAATGGTACATTATTTGATCATTTTCATTTTTTGAATTATATGAACCCTCTTTAATTTCGGATTATGAAACTTCGTAGTGACGAACCCTCGATCGGAACTGCGAACCTTCGGGTTGAGCATTCGGACCTTACTTCGGATGAGTGAATCTTTGGCAGTATCAACCTCCAGAAGAAAAAAAAATTATTACAAACCTATGTCACTTGTGCTGAAAGTTTTTAGGCAAAGTCATGAAACTCACCTTGGCAATGAGCTGTTCTGTTTTAATGGGAGAGTTTAGGGTTTCTTTGCATTCTTTTTCGACATGTGTCTCTCGTATTTGGGGGAGGGGGGGGGGGTAGGACAAAATTATTACTAAGGTAAGCCATTAGGGTTATAAAGAGGGGGCAAAGCCCGGTTATGCCTCTCCTATATAAAGACACCAGCGTTCGTAATCTAGTAATCCAGAAGCTAATACTCTTCAATCGTAAAACGTCGCCTCGATTACGCTCTGACGCAAATTGCGAAATGATAAAGTGCTTACAAATATTGGTTTGTCTCTTTTTAATTACTTCTCCACCCAGGTGTTTTTTAATGTGACGATTCATGCTCGAAGTTCAAATTTACTCAAGCTAGATTTTGAAAGCGATCGAGAGGAAAGCGAGATGCAGTATAATTAAAATGACAATTTATTATTGTTAAGAAATGGTAGATATTTTATCAATGATTTTTGTCATTAGTCATTGAAAAAAGGCTTTGTGAAACGCCCCCACTGGTCATTTAATTAGGGGATGAAGTGACAGAAAAGCGATCAAATTAGCCGAGGGTGGCTTTTCGAGATGTTCCTCTACGGACGCTATTACATTTGTTCGTTTCATCCGGGTAATTTATTGAACAAGTTAAGCCATGCTTACGATTGGAAGATAGGAGTAGCTCATGTCTGCAACGGCTGATTGATATCCGACTAGCCTGACGCTGGGCGCTTCACTGAACTTGTCATACACATTCAGGCACATGAACACAGTTTGAAAAACAATCTGCCTCGAAGAGCCGTGAATCGTTCAATTTGGGGTCGGCAAGGAATCGCTTTTGGCTGTGTGACTGAAATATGGCGGCCAGCACTTCATTAATATTTGATGTCATTCTAAGGAGATTGACGATATCCGAACATTAACCAGAACTAAAAGATTAGCTTATCACAATTGGCAAATTATTATGTTGGTTTGGACTCGGTTTGATGAGCGACTGATCATGTACGGTGTACATTAGGGCAATCAGAGCTCGTAGATGCGAATCATTTAACGAACGCTACAGTTTGGAGACTCCCTTGAAAAGGAACTGCACATTGCCCACCTTGTGAATAGGTATATTTTAGCGGTTGCTGTGCGCTGACATTATGTTATTATTCTTAACTAGGAATAGCTCAACGATTTAACTTTCATCTACGGTTGAATCATTGGAAATTATTCAACTCCTTACTGAACCTGATACATGAACCTCGATACTTTCGACATTCAAGCTTTGCAAATTCAAAAGTGGTATATCTTTCCCAGGGACATTTTTAATTCTTCACTAGGTCTCACTTCTGCTCCATGAGAGTCATCTGTGCTTATTATTCACTATGGATCTAATATTTGCTATCCTTATCGTTCATTTTTGACGGTTGGAAATGGTGACATGTGCCTCAGCCTCAGGAATGCATCACATTTTTACATCATCGTGAGGCAGCTCATATCATTTGATTTGGATAGAAAACTGCACATCTTCAGCAAGTGTTCACATCAGATTTCACTTTTTACAAGAACATAAATTCAGCGTGTTCTCAAAGGTCACTCGACGCGGCTGTTGGTATTGTCCAAATTCTTATGATGGATCTTCGTTATATAATGTTGGTCAAGGAAACCTCATCACGCCTATAACTGTACTTTAACACCACGTTTATATTACCTCCACCCTTTACGAGTAGTCAGGGTTTTTCTTTAACCTGAACATTGACAAGTCGTCGCTTTCCATATATGATGAACATTATCGTGACAAAATTACTTCATGATGAATCGTTATAACCTGACAAAAGAATTCCTGAGGTAATGGACATTCCATAACTGATGATAATAATAAACACAGAAGTGTACCTCTTTACGATTTACCCCCACTCTCTACAAGGATCCAGTTCCTTCTGAACGTTTACAGGACGTTGCTGTAGACTCTGGAATTACCACACGTCCAAATTTCATATCCGACAATGATGGATCCTTCCAATCTTACCACAGGTATTCCTGAAGTACAACAGGATATACCCTATCTTCGCTATGTGCTGGTCACTGTCTTCTTTCTGCCGTGTGCCATTTTAATTTTTGTCGAAAACACCTTTGTCCTGTTGGCGTACAAGAGGGACAAACGGATCCGGAGAAATACAACCAACGCCTATATTCTCAACCTTGCTGTGGCTGACATTCTTGTGAGTGTTGTCATGGCAATTTATGTTCCAGTATATCTTACAGGCACTTGGAAGTTTGGCGGGGCGTTTTGTGTCGTCATGTGGGTATTGGACTACACAGCGACGGACATGTCTGTAATGACGATCGTCGCCATCAGCGTCGACAGGTACCTTATGGTGCACAACTCTCTTCGGCATCTATCGAGACAATCCCACAAGAAGGTAGCCATCATTTGCAGTATCCTCTGGATGACCTGTCTATCTTCCCGTTCGACACTAGCCTTCACCTACTCCTCAAGGACAGGATTCCTGCATGATGAGAACAGAATTGGCGTGTGTGACATTGGGTACGGAAAGAATCTGGTCGTCCTCATTATAATGTTCTTGATCGAATTCCTGGTTCCGGCTATTTGCGTCTTCGTCCTCAATCTCACAGTGTATTTTCGTTTGAAGAGACGTACAAACAGGCTCCAAACCAGGCAAGGTCGATACCACCTACCATCAGCAGTTTCACTGGATGATAGAGCATCTCAGACAACCTCCTGTGAAAACGATGACATGCGGATTCATAGAAGCGCATCAGGTTCTCAACATCAAAAAGCGGCAAGGTTCTTGGCATTACTTCTGAGTGTCTTCGTACTATGCTGGTTGCCCTTCTATATTAACGAGTGCTATACGTATTTCCGTTTCTCCGGTGTTCGTAATGAAGCGCTAACCCATCTAGTGTCATTCGTTCTGTGGTTGAATTCTGCCATAAATCCATTCTTGTACGCTTTCACCAACGTCTTCTTCAAGGAGAATTTTAAGCAGTTTTTGAGATGCAAGGGAAGATAGGGAAGTTTGATGAAAGAAGACTCTCTTTTCAGTTCAAATCACAGACAAATATGCCGAGATCATTGGTGTCTTCATGATAAAAAAATTAAAGGAAACCTAAACCCAAAGAATAAGTGTAGGTATTCTGAAAAATGAGATGTATTCCAGCCTTTTGATTTACAATATTCCTTACGAAAATGTACAAGATGTATATAAATGAAGATATTCTTCGCATGACGTGATGCCTTTCAGCATCAATAACGAAAACTTTACTTTTCAATGAACAAAAATAATAACTGAGATGATAAAAATTATATTAGGTGAAAAATAAATAACAGGGGCACAATGGTAACAAAATTTATTTATAAATACTACACTATAGCAGTTGACAAATCCATTTCATTTATGAGAAAACTTCAGCCCAGAAGAGCACTAACTTATTTATGCAATTTGCGTTCTGGCAATTATAGTACAAAGGATAATAGCAGGTGAATGAAATGCTTCATCACCACACACGTCTGGGAAAGAAGCATCCATAAATTTGAATACATTTACTTGATATACGACTTCGCATAGTACGTCACATTATCAAGAAAATGGCGATGCCCATGTCGTGCTGAGAAACTGTACTTTATTTTTGCTTTATACCTCTATCATACACGTTGGTGGGGAATCTCGTAGATTTATGGGCAATAATATAATAAATCTCTCAGAATAAGTAAATTTATTAGTTGGGGTTCGGTTTCCTTTAACTGACACTTTACGATAAGAAGAAGTATAAAATAAAACTGGTAACCACAATTTTACCTTTAAAAAAAAATAGGGCTCCCACCCCTGGCAAAAAAAAAAAGTTAAAAAAACAGATGGTAACCACAATTTGACATCGAAGACGAAAGACTTGATGCATGGCTGATCGTCAACGAAACGGAGTTAAGTCTTTTGTCAACTCGGTTTGTTGCTACGGCAGGCAGCCAGTGAAAACGAATTTGATTAATCAAATTATGGAAATGCAAGCATTACTTTAAACAAACAGAACTTTGTTATTTATGACTCATTTTTCCTGATTGAGGTGTCATATGAAAGGGCATAAGATGAACCTTCTAGAAATGTGATTTTTCTCTTTGAAATTCAGATACCGCCCGCCAAATGACTTTTTGGTACCCTCTCTTCAAATTATTTTTAATCACCTATGCTTGAGAAATGCATCATATGAGTTGCGTCAAATGAAAGAAGAGGATCTAAGCTGTACAAATAAGTGTCATTTATTAATTATGATTGTGATTGAATTGTGATAAAACATCGATAATTTTCGGTTTCGTTTTTTTCTGGGACGCATTGTGTATATATATACAGTGCGTCCCAGAGAAAACGAAACCGAGAATTATCGATGTTTTATCTTAACTTAGTCACATTTATCATTAATAAATTACACTTATTTGTAAAGCTTAGATCCTCCTCTTTCATTTGATGTAACTCGTATAATCCATATTTCACGCATGAGTGATTAAAATGAATTTGAAGAGAGGAAAACAAAAAGTCATTTGGCGGACGGTATCTGAATTTCAAAGAGAAAATCACATTTCGAGAAAGCTGAGTTTCTGCCCTTTCATATGACACCACAGTCAGGAAAAATGAGCTCGGAATGACAAAGTTCTGTTTGTTTAAAGTAGTGCTTGCATTTCCACATTTTTATCAAACGAATTCGTTTTCACTGGCTGTCTGCTGTAGCAACAAACGGAATTAACAAAAGACTTAACTCCGTTTCGTTGACAATCAGCCGTAGACGAAAGTCTTCATGCATGGCTGATTGTCATCGAAACGGAGTTAAGTCTATTGTCAATTCTGCTTGTTGCTGCGACAGGGAGCCAGTGAAAACTAATTCGTTTGATACAATTATGGAATTGCAAGCACTACTTTGAACAAACAGAACTGTGTCATTCCTTGCTCATTTTTCATGATTGAGGTGTCATATGAAAGGGCAGAAACTCAGCATTTTCGAAATGTGATTTTCATTTTGAAATTCAGATACCGCCCTCCAAATCACTTTTTGGTTTCCTCTCTTCATATTCATTTTAATCATTCATGCATGAAATATGCATCAAGTTATGATAAAACATCGATAGTTCTCGGTTTCGTTTTTTTTTTTTTTTTTTGGGGGGGGGGGTACGCACTGTATATATATGTATGCATGAAATATGCATCAAGTTATGATAAAACATCGATAGTTCTCGGTTTCGTTTTTTTTTGTTGGGGGGGGGGGGGGTACGCACTGTATATATATGTATATATATATATATATATATATATATATATATATATATATATAAAGATAACAACTAAGTCATTCATACCCTTTCCAGGTTTTGTACTTTCATAACTACAGTATGAGAAAAATTAATTTCGCCAGATGTATGCTTCCTGAGGATGTGACAAATAAAATGAAGCTTAAATCTAAACAAATGTTAAACAAAAGACCTCATTTAACCAGTCCACCATTCATTCTAAGATTTACGAAAAAGAAAGAAAAACAAAAGTTTACAAGTGGTATAAAAAATGTATAACTGTATAGAGGATCTATTGAGAGAATAAAATTTAAATTTAAAAGAGTGCTTTACCCAGGGAAATAAATCCAGCTCCCATCATTATTTTCACTTTCAATAACGCCAGTTTTGAGTAGGACTATAAATTATACTGACATGATAAATTGTGCTGTATTCCACTTGTTCTTTGTTACTAGGTGAACCAAAAAGTCTATGCTTACCACCATCATAAATTCCGAAGATGGGTCGAAATCCTGATTAAGTAACTAAATGAAAGAGTAATTTGAGTGACGTAGTCTGTGTATTATCGTTAAAATGTCTATAATGATAAATCCCGGTGATAAATATACGATATCGATATTATTCTGTATTAAAGGGACTTGGTAACATTGTTAAGATGAGAGAAAATGGTACTAATGTAGTGACTTCAACGCTTGATGTACAATTAAAGATAATATGAAAGTTTGAGTGAAAACAGACCATTATTAATGATAAAAATAGGGAAAACTAATCTGATCGATTCCTTAATGCTCTGAACTTTATTATTAACATTTAGTTACATTTTAGGTGTCACTGAATGCTTTTTAAAAAGCCTGCCTTATGTTTTATTTTCATGTACAAATGGTTAGGAGAATTTACTGTTAGAGGGTGTTGCACAGTGACGCCTTCAAAGAAAACCATAAATATCTTTGTGGTTTGAGAATGTTTGCATGTTAGAGGGTTAGTACAGTAGAAGGAATATAAGAAGTAACATTTCATACATAAATTACGCAGTTTTTTTCATCAACCTTCGACAATGTTACCGAGTCACTTTGATGGGCCTTCTTGCCCACTTTATGCTCTGTTTGATCAATCCTTGCTCAACTGACGCCTCGTATGTCTGGAAGTCTATAGCAATTATCTGATATTAATACCAGGCATACATTAGATGTACTTGAACTTAATTAAAACAGCAGCAGCTCATTTCAGCACTGCATTATTTCTGACTCTGCCAGTGACTGCTTGATGGTTGTTGTCTGCGCTCTATTGCCGATTGCTAATGGTTGGCTGAATGAAGTGCCGGTTCGATTAGTTTATTCGTTAATCCTTACATGAGAGGGTTCACATTAGGGGGTAAATAAGCGAGTTCGTAATTAGGATTTGCGCATGGGCAGATCAAGGTCATTCGGACCCAAATTGTAAAACCATTGAGACGAATACTCGGATCGTGCTCATGGAAGTTATGTAATCAGTATTCATTTATGCACCAACAGTACATTTATCTGATACACAGGTGGAATTATTCTTCTCAAGAGGCAAACAAAAGGTATTCATGAACACCTCCATCACTTTGACAGTAATTATTCTAAAATGCACAGATGGGCCGAAGTGTGTCCAAAATGATTGACCTTTCTACTCGATGCATCTGGCATGTTTAGAACTCTGAATCAAAATTTATTGAGTCAAACCACAATGATCGTCATGAAAGGGTAGGGACTTTTAGATTTGCACAACGGAGAACATGGACTGCCCTTTTAAGGCAATGTGACGTCCTTTTAAGGCAGTGACGTCACATTGTCTTAAAAGGGCAGTCCACGTTCATCGTCGTGCAAATCTAAAAGTCCCTAAAAACTATTTAGCCTAGCCTAGCTACAGTTGATTTGATATGTTTTGATTTGATTTATTTATTTCTGTTTGATTTTCTTTTTCTTTAGCATTTTTACAAATATATAACAAACAAACATTGCAAATTTACACATGTAAAAATAATATATGTAGAACAAAGTAAGGCTGGCTTTAACTAATCGTAAACATCAATTTACATCATTTAGATCATAGTAATGAATTGTGGATAAACGTTTTATCCACCATTAAAGCACGATTGTACAGCCAAATGCTCCAACAACCCGCGGTCATCGTACTTCAAATTCGTAATTTCAATGTCAAACTATAAGCCTCCTGAATATAACCCTAGCCCTAAACCTCTAATATAAACCCGGTTGTAAATCTAAACACGAAATGAATCCCCGAACAAAATAATGTCCGACCGTGTTTTGTTTAGGTCAAGTGACATTTGGATCCCCAATGAAAATTGTCAAGCAAACGGGAGATGCCACTTACCAAAAGGCTATTTTCGTAATGCAACCAAATTTAATATTTAATAAGTCTTTGTGATAAGAATAATGGTATTTCAATAGTAAGAATGCAAACTATACATGTATTAAGTGTTGCTAGGTAGGTCAAGCCAAAATGTGTGTCCTACCTGGCAAAAACTAATGCATGCACTTCGGAATATGTCTATTGAAATACTATGACTCTTATCAGGTGAATGAAATAATTTGTATTGAGGCACTTCACAATGACTCATGCATTAAGTTTGGTTCCATTACGAAAATTGGCCTAATACAAGATAGCACTAATTGGAATGCATTTCATTTGTCTCCATGCTCAAAATGCTCAGGAGACCGTTGAGGGGGGGGGGGGTAATCCCCAGATGACTCACCAAAGTAGAGAGTAAAAGAAGTACAAGAGTTTCTTGAGAGATTATGACAAATTCTGAGTTATACAATTATTGTCAGGTGGCCAGGTTTTGGAAGTTGTGAAACTGATTGAGATAAGAAAACTAAAGTCTTGAAAGTAAACCATGATAACGGACGAGTTTTATTTTCAACTCATGAATTTATTTAAACGGGTACAGGTATTTTAGAAACTGAAGTAAAGAGAAACAATTTATTTCATAAACGCATACTTCTAAAATTATTTTAATGAATATAATATCTTGATGGTTATGCACACATTTGAAGTCGTTGAAATTGCACAATTTAAAGTATAACAGTTTTGCTATTGAAAAATTGTTCAATCATATCAATTTCAGCAAGGGAGAGCATGTTATATTTAGAATCATGTGCATGCGATTGAACCTATAATTTAGAATATGCAGAGTGCAGCTGCTCATTATTATTCATAAGATGCATACTCACAATGCAAGTGAATGCAAGGGTCTTCTCTATACAGATTGATGCACACATATAATATGCACATGTATGGAACCACTCCCATTTCTGCAGGCTCCATTTTGTTGTCTATGTACGTTATTTAGTTTTTATAGTTATTTCAAATGTAAAAATTAAGAATGTAGGAGTCCCTCAAGGTACCAAGTTGGGGCCTATATTATTTTCAATTATTGTTAAAGGTTATACAAAGTTTTGGTATGGGGTCATGAATTTGGTTCAAATGAACATATTGGAAGCATTTATGTTGTATAGCTCCCTCTCAATGTCAATATATTATTTAGCTATAAAACAATGTTTCTTGAATAAAATCGACCGATTGGCTATTCCCGTTCGGAAATTATATATCACAACTACATATTCTGAGATTTTCATGGTCTCAGCTACCATTGTATGGCCGTAGGCGCCATTTGAAATTTATCAAAAATTTTCTTGTGCTTATAATACATTCACAGGGGCATCCAAATATATCAAAATTGTAAAGAATCACAATCCAGCCAATTTTCAAAATTTCCCAAAACTTTGTATTACCTTTCATGATGCATGTCCCGATTGTTTACTCTCTTTTTATAAGTTTCCAACTCCCAACACAACACGCCGGGGCACTATTATAGCGGATCAACTGGAAGTAGACAGCGTATCGACTTGATGAAGACGTGATAGAAAGTCAACGAATGGAGCTAGTCTGCCCAAACGACGAAGTGTAATAGCGCCAGCTAACGGGCGATAAGTAAACGTCGTTTATCCGAACATCAGAGCTTGCCCGCTGTATATAGCGTGTATTGAGCTTGCCTCACACTAAACTCTTGATAACTTATCTTTAATTAACTTTTAATCTTACTGGTTCGTGGGGAAGAAGAAAAGAAAAAGAAAGAGAGAGAAAGAAATAAAGAATTATTGAATGATTTCAGTAGATAAAATAACAATACCAAAAATAGAGAAGTGAGAGGAATATCAAAATGATAGAGACAGAGAAAGAAAGAACGAGTAACATCTAAGGTTATTATATAGGAGTAAGCATGGACCTACTAATTAGTAGGTCCGTGGAGTAAGTAATTATTTTCCCTTTATACTAATGTATGGCCACTATTATTACCCTGAGTCATAGACAACTATACCTACAGGGCAAGCACCTCCAGTGCTTTTCGAAATAGTCAACTATTGAATTGAAAGGTAGACTGGTTTGGACCAGATATGAAAGCATTGTTTTAAGTCAGTATTGTCCCTTTATACTAATGTATGGCCACTATTATTACCCTAAGTCATAGACAACTACGTCCAAAAGGGCAAATAATATTATATCCGGTGCTTTTCTAAATAATCAACTATTGAATTGAAAGGTAGACTGGTTTGGACCAGATATGAAAGCATTGTTTTGCTAAACAATAAACCCGGAACCTGAGCATAGATATTAATTCTTGTTCGGCTACAATAGGCTATACCAAATTAATAAATTTCGTAGGGGGTCGAGAGGGGGGGGGGGGCAGAATCAAGAACAAAACGCAATGTGCTTAGTCATCTGTGGTCAAGTAAGAAAAACAAATCGAAAATATATTGCGGAGGTGGGCTATGGTTAACGATTAATTGCCACTGTGGTTAATATATTGAAAGAAAAGAAACCGCATTGTCCCGACTCATAAATCTTGAAAGGGTTCAACATCAGTTATATCCAAAGGGATTTGAATGTAGAGTGAAATATTAAAGATATCAAAAACAATTCTAAACGCCATATTATTCTGGAATGAGAACGGATATTGAACAGTATGCGGACAATATGCGATTTTATTATATATTATACTATGTACAGTAATACAAAAGATTTAGACAAACTGACAACCGCCTTTGTTTCCGGGTCCTATAATATGCCGTTCCTTTTGATAACCTTGACGATGATATTTTTTATATAGAGAGGTCAGAGACAATAGGGCTAAAAATTATGTTCAGTCAATATAACGAGAACAAAATCGATATGACATTGAATAAGAACATTAATGCTATGAGAAAAGTGAGAATAATTCAGTCAGCTTTAAAAATCTGAAGCATGTACAAAAAATAGAACCAAACAACAACAAAACAAGAATAACGACAGAAAAACAACAACAACAACATCTAAAATCAAACAAAAGGAGTGAGCGAGGTCTACAGAGAGAGAGAGAGAGAGAGAGAGAGAGAGAGAGATAAAGAGATAATAGAGAGATAGATAGAGAGACAGACAGAGAGAGAAAGAGAGAGAGAGAGAGAGAGAGAGAAAAAGAGAAGGGGGAGGCTGTAAGTATGATGAACACATGTTGTTTTACAAAATCACATGAATAATTATAACATTTCTTTAGACATGAGGTATCAGACAAACGTTACATGAAAAGAAAATAGAAAATAGGCGTTATAATTATTTTCATCATCTTCGATCTTCGTGTTATCCTTGGGCCTACGTCGTGTTTTCAAATTAATGAAGCCATGATGTTCATACACGTTTTGTTAGGTAAAATTATGCATTTCAACAAACGTATAATCACTCCTTCCGATTATGTGTAGTAGTAACAAACTAATAATACATGTACGCAGGCGCGTACACAGGGGGGGGGGGGGGTGAGGAGTTAAACCCCTCCCCCCTTTGGTATTTTTATGTGTGTAAACCCACCCGCCACCCCCCTAAACCACCCCCCCTCCTTTGGATTTATTTTTATTTTTTTAAGTGTCCTCTTAAAAAAAAAAGTGTCCTCTTGATACCCCCCCCCCCCCCCCCCCCCCCCCCCCCCCCACCCCCGCTTATTCAGCGGTCGGCTGAGTCGTTGCGATTTTTTTTGGGACCAAAAAAAAAGAAAAAGTGTCCTCTTACCCCTTATTCAGCGGCTGGCTGAGTCGTTGCAAAATTTTCTGCCCGATTTATAAATGTTAAACCCCCCACCCCCCCCCCCCCCCCCCCCCCCCCCCCCCCCCCCCCCCCCCTTGAAAAAAATCCTGCGTACGCGCCTGCATGTACGAGTTCTCTGTTTCCATGGATACTCCTCCCACCCCACAGACCGTCTCGATCAATCTTGGCACGGTCTTCTCGTGTGAGACTGCACTCCGATCTTGTTCGCCTCTTGTACAATTACTCCGCACGGCCGTCTTCGTAGAAAGGAGTACAATCAATAAACACCAATGCACGCAATGCATGGGGTGCATTTTCGTCTGAGTCACCCCCGAAAGAATTGACAGTCTGTGGTAGGCAGTTTGACAGGTGGACTTAACGATTGTGCTGTTTATCTTCTCAGCGATTTTCGGCTAGAACGAAAAGTTTTTGGTGAGTGAGACTTGTCTAGACTAGATTTGTGGTGGGCCCATATCTTTTTAGAGCTTATAAGAATGTGGCCAAGTGGTTTTGAGGTGTGAAAATGATGAAGAAATATAGCGATGCGAGAGGCACGTCGATTCAATTATTGCATGCAAAAATATCGATGTGGGCGTGATGCAGTGGTCCATGTGAAAGATTTGTACGGTCCTCCGAAAGGTTTGGTGCCAGGAGTATCGGCGTGGATTATTAGATGATGCTTGGTCAGACTACGTCAATAAGAAGATGGAGGTAGATCTACATGCATGTTCAGTGATTTATAATGTATAATACTCTTTCAATAGATGTTAATTTCAGTATAAAGTAAGACTAGATTTACATACTACATATTGTTGATTGATGGTGAGTATGAAATTTGGAACATTCTGGTATTGTCTGCATCATTTGGAGAGATTCTGGTGTAGTTCAGATTTCAGACCCATCATGTCGATTGAAACTGAAACGTAGCAGTATTGCATGACAGCTTGTTCAGTGTTGAGTCACAAAATCACAGTGGACAAATCATCAATATAAAAATAATTTCTGCCTTCAAGGCTTTTGCATTGATAAGCTTTTCTGCGTAAGTGTATTAAATATCATTCATTTGACATCTTGAAAATTAATTGATTCAAATTGAGTTGGGTTTTATTCCTAATTATTTTCACTTTGATACTAGTACTAGTAGACTGTATAACAGATTCTAATGTTGATGAGTGAAGAGTTTGATGTGGCCAACCAAATATTTATGTTATTAATGTCATTATTGGATGTCGATCTTCATTGTTGCAAATGCATATGTGATAAAATTAAATTCATATGCTGGACGATGGAACAAGTTAATGGTTGCATGCTCATTGTTGGGCATGTTGGGTAGAACATTCATCTAAATATGTGGGTGCTCTGAATCGAAGAAGAGTACATAGAGAAGGAAATATTAAGGAGAGGAAAGAGAGAGAGACACACACACACACACACAGAGAAACCTCGGAAGAGAGGGAGGGAGAGGGAGGGCCAGGCCCCCCCACTCCAAGAACGGACGGACCCCATGCGTGTTACCAAAATGTCCGGTAAAGGGGTACTTTTCGTGCGACAAAGTCCGGCCCGAGAATTGTAAAAAAAGGGGTGTATTAACTTTTCACCCGGAGATTTCTTTAAAAAGGGGGTGTTTTTTCTTTTTTTCTCTCATCTCTTTGGACTCCTGAGAAATTATTCAGAATTTATGGGGGGGGGGGGGGGGGGTACATTGAGCATTTCATCATTTAGGGGGGTCTCCATGGCAGGAAAAGCCCACGAAAAGCCAGCGAAAGGGGGGTTCGGAAATGTTTGCAGTCCTCAGATAGGGGGTGCTTTCAAAAAGAGGGAGCAAGCATATGCGTACCCTAAATAACACTGAGTGGGGGGGGGGGCGGGAGGGAGGGAGAGAGAGAGAGAGAGAGAGATGAAGGATAATGGAATCCTAAATTCACAAATGGAGGGAGAGAGAGAGATGAAGAATAATGGAATCCTAAATTCACAAATGGGGGAGAGAGGGGGAGAGAGAGAGAGAGAGAGAGGGAGAGGGAGGGAGAGGGAGGGAGAGGGAGGGAGAGAGAGAGAGAGAGAGAGAGAGAGATTATAATCTGAATACCAGTTCCATAACTTGACCTTTCCTATTCAATGTCCATTATCACCAGATCAGTGAACAAATTGTATGAGTAACACCAGCTCTTGTTAGGTTTCCTAGGCCAGCTGCAGACAGGTTAAGGTCAGAAAATGGAAGAGACCTGGAAGTGAATTATTAAAGAAGAAAACTAGAAATGCAATCGTGTCACAACGATGTGCGTGCAATGACGCCGTGTTTCTACGTGTCGAACGAAAGAGCTTCTCTCGGACTATCCAGAGCAATTTGTACGAAGTCTTTAGCTTCTGTAATATTGGAGACAGGTAGGGCGAAAGAAAGGCCTCAATAGTGACCTTCATGGGATGGTAGTGACTATGCCTACGAAGTTTGAAAGAAATTGGGATAGGGGAAAGAACCTAGAAAGGGCTCGCAAGCACTGCGTGCAAAAACAAATGGGATTAGTTGCATGTTCGTCAAATCAATCAAGATCGTTCTAGGGGTCAAAAGCGTGAACCCGATTTGCCCCATAGACAATGCGTGTAATGCATGGGCGGAAAACGTACAGGATCTGTATTATGACCGGAGTTAAATTGTTTTTTCTCTCTCTCTTTATGTCTCTTTATGGGCCGTATATGGTTTCATTGGAAAGAGAATTTCATGGTTGTTATTGTAAACTACTCTCTTTTTTTCTATGATAATCCTATCGAAACATGTGATGTAAAATAGATTTAAAGGACAAAATGGCGTCTTAAATGACCCCCTTGACTACTTTCAAAAATCCGGCCACGAGGTGCCCTGCGTATTGCATCTCGGAATGTCATTGCAAATTTTCAACGAAAAAAAAGGATGTTTAGGGGGCGAAAAGTAGTCTGAAAAAATGACGTCATCGCCGATAAGTGTTATAATCGGGCGGAATTCGTATAGTGACCCTTGTTCAAATGCGATTTACTCACAATTTTCTGTGTAAACATATACCATACTTGGTATCATTCGAAAGGGCACTTCATTGCGGTCAGTTTGACACCATTGTTATCTGCGCGCAATGTATTGCACGCATTAAACGCGCTATTACGTAATGCATAGTAAATTCATCATTTTGGGCGATTACTTTGCGCTGACATATTTGAATTTTACCAAACTTGGTAAACAGTTGTCACGTATATGGATACATATGTCTGCCAAGTTTCATTGATGTAGGTATAAAGATCGCCATTTTAGAGCAAGTTGAAGTTATTTCGGAATTTTCTTGAAAATGGCGAATTTGGAGGGCAATTTTCTCAAATTTGGTCAGTGATAGGGTATATAATTTTGTATATGGCTGGAAAGGGCATATCTTCAAGTATCTAAATCCAAAAAAGGGTACGGGTTTGCTAAGCCATTATGGAGATACGGCCACAGAGAGAAAGCCAATTCCCAGAACTTTAGAGGGCGCTATTTATGTTGTGCAAAGCCATTGGAGCATGAAATTTAGCATGGCTATGTGCAATTATGAGATAAAGATACTGTGAGATTTAAATACAAAACGGAATTTATATGAGAAAGTTATGGCAGTTTTAGATTATTTAGGGGTCCATTTTTCAAGAACTTGAGAGATTTTTGACGGAGTCGGTTTTAGATTTGAATTTCGAGTATGAAGATGGCATTTTGAAGGTCAAGTCATGCGTCGCAGATGAAAGAACATCTCTCAGACTATCTAGAGGAATTTGTTAGAAGTTTGTAGGATCTAGGATAGTGAGATAGGAAGTAAGATATAAAGGCCTTAAAATGGACCAGAAACGGACAAAATGGCGCCTGGACGGTCATGCATGAGTGATTTCCAAAATCGAAGAATGTAGTGACCTTGATGAGATGTTAGAGACTATGCCTATGAAATTTGAAAGGAAAAGGACATGAGGAAAGCACCTAACTAGGAATCACAAACACTACGTGCAAAACGAATGCGATTTCCTGACGATAAGGATAAGGATAAGGAAAAGGAGGAAAAGGAGAATATTAATGGGGCAGAATGTGAACGAAAACAAGGCAATGACGAAGGTCGTCATTGCAAAAATGACCGCTTTAGAAATATCAGACCCCGATTACATGTAGGCAACACCTGTAAATGTCATAGTGTGCAATAGCATTTTAGTGGGTACAACATGTACAATGTACTTGCAAGCAATATATACATGTATCTCTCTAGGACTTCTTGGGTGATTTTGAGTATTAACTCACTTGTTACTCACTTGATCCAGGATTATTCAGTCTTTAGACTGTTGTTCCTATCCATGGCTTCCTTTGGTTGGGGTTGTCATCATATTTATCGGGGGCATCTTTCCACCACTTCTCAAGTCCAGTTTAAAAAAAAGTTAGATTCTTTTTCAATATACTGTATATTTAACAACTTCAGTACTAGACATGTAAATATTTCATTGTGAAAAAAAAAACAGAAAGCAAGTTAATAAGTAAAAAAAGTTGTTGCATGGTTTACTGTGAGGCTTGGAATCTTATCAAAAAAAATGACTCTGTCTGGTCGAAAGACACTTACACTACACACATGGGACACACATGGGACTACACAAACCATGTGGCATTCCAAGTTAGATCCAAACTTTTTCAGTTAATTTCTTACATTTTGAATATGAGAGAATTTGAAAAGGAGTCCTTCCCAGGTAACATTTGTTCTATGATATATTGTACATCAGATTAAAAGTAATGAAAAGGTTCACAAATTATTTTTCAATTTTAGTCTTTCCAGAACTCGAAATTCTCTTTACATGATGGGAAATCATTTTTTTCACAACACACATGTGTTGAGTTGCTGACCTGGAGATGTGTTCGGTCAAGACTCAAGAGTGACCAGATGTTTGTTTTGTACTGGTCAGCTTTTTGTGACACCTAGGCTCTATCAAAATCCTATACTAGGCTACGTTCAAACGGAATCGTCACTCCAAGTTAACTTTAAGTTTTGTAAAAATGAGTGCATCCACGTGGTCCCTAACAATACAAGATAACTTTGAAGTTGATACCCATGACCTTAACTTTAAGTTATAGAACTATCGTGTGAACCTTACTATAGTTATACAGGCTTTCTTTTGTTCATGTTGCGTTCCCGTTGAGGTGACAGTTCACTGAGACCTATTTCCTGCTTACTACTCACTCAACTTTACAAAACTTTCTTACATTACAACACTGTTTGGCAGTTATAATCCAATATATTTTTGTTTAAACATTCGGTGTATTAATCTCATTACTGTGTTTATGAGAATTTGTTTTCTGTCATTCACAGTTCCAACACAATGTTACAATGTACCTTTAATATAACAAATAACATGGAAAGAGTCTGTCAAATGTAACACATCTCTGTCTGAATCATGTCAAGATTGGTTGGCCG